AAATATGAAACCAATAATTCGGAAAAACGAAACTTTGACTGCGCCTAAAAAGAAAATCTACATGAACTTGGATTTCAAGGGAGATTTAGCAAGCGATATTCTCAAGAGAAGGATCACATCATCTCTGAGAAGAACATTCTTTGCAGCAACGCTAAGAATAGTGTTCTCCAGTCGCCCACTAATCTGCAGAAGCCTCAAGGACAAGATCCCGCATCTGGCCACTTCTATGTGCATATACCAGTTCACCTGCTGCTGTGGAGCCAGGTACATCGGTCGTTCGACGCGCATCCTGTCCAAGAGGATTCAAGAACACTATCCAGCATGGTTGCGAAAAGGCAATACTGGTGCAATAAGGAGTGCGATAATTGAACACCTGGTCAGCACTGATCATTGCATTTCAACGAACGCCTCCTTCAGAGTAATCTACAGAGTCAAGAACAACCTATCAAAGGCAATACGGTTTCGTCTCCTCTGTATCGCTGAAGCTCTAGCCATTCACATGGAAAAACCGGAGCTGTGCATACAAAAGGAGATTACTCAACCACTTCTACTCTCATGGTAACAATGTTTTGATTTTTTGATTTTTATTTTATTTTATTCTGATAACTTAACTTTGTTTCTTTGCCTGTTCCTTAGTTGCTTATAATTCTTGTATTCACTTAGATCTCTTACATAGTTTCGTATTATCTACTTTGTTTCTATGTGCATCCTGAGTAAAACTCACTCATCAAAATATTCATATTATTATTGCATAACCTCTTTTAACAACTGTTTGTGACAACTCATCACTTTTGTTACTATCCTAGCACTTAATTGCCTTGACTTATATTACCAACCTTTACCTGTTTAGTTAAAATAACCTTAAGCAATTGTAATTCTTGTATCCACTTAGACCTCTTACATAATTTCTACTTTGTTTCTATGTGCATCCTGAGTAAAACTCACTATTATTATTACAACTGTTTCTGACATCTCATCACCTTTGTTACTACCCTAGTTTTCTTGACCTGTATTACCAACCTTCACTTGTTTAGTTAAAATTAACCTTAACCAGTTGTAACTTTGTTTGACAAACTTAATGTACACATACAAACAAAACAATGCATATATATTTGCGATTGTACAGCTAAGAAGATGAATTCGCCGAAAAGAGACTCTTCGCTGATCTACGTGTTTTGTTTTCAGATATTAGTTACTCTACCTTCCTGTATACAGAGGTTTGATCGAAGTCTTTTGGTGATAACAGTGGCTTCTGTTTACAAAAGTAACTACGGTTTTCCTTTGTGTATTGATAATTTTAAAAGTCTGACTAATTTACACTGTATGTCCTGTGTTACTTACGTGTGTTTGGCAACTCTACTGTAGAACATTTTGCTACCTTTCATACACAGACTTTCAGGGATATGGTCATAGAATCTAACAGACTCTTACCTCTCATTCCTTCCTATTTATTTGCTGTTGCAAGTGCAGGTGAATTGGCAAATGCAAGTGAAGTTGACATCAACAGGATACCTATCTACTTTTGATTGAATTAACCAGCCATCGTGGTGGAATGAGTGAAATGAGTCTAGCCGCGCGAAATGTTCTTTTGATTGCATCCTTAATTATGTTTACCGTTCTTGTGGATACTTCTTCCTCCCTTTATATGCTGAAAAGATAACAGTTGGTTTCTTTTCAAGTATATCGGGTTTCGGTCTAGGTGTCTTTCCCTCCTGTATTTTGATGTGAACTTTCGATGTGGTAATTAACCAACAAGTTTATAGGGCAAGCAGCGAAGATTTGATTTCAGGTGAAAACAGATAAGAAAAATGGTGATAAATATACATGACAGCCAACACCAACATGCACTAGTCCCATTTATGGAAGAAACTGAGGGGAGGTCGGCTCATTACATTACCTGGATAAGCAGCCTACTGTCATCTTCTATAGACTGAAAAAGTGAGAATGTCAAAAGTCACCCAGGGTAGAGTGGCGAAAAAAGACGAGATCATTCCTCTGGAATCAGTATGTGGAACAAAATATGAATTTTTAGCATTTATGTCAAGTCAGCACTTCTAAATGTTTCAGGGACTTGGCGCTAGCATCACCAAAAGCAATTCCAAAAAGCCACAGGAGACTTTAATCAACAGATACTTTAGCTCTGTGAACACCGAATTTCAGTTGGCCTTGACAATAAAGGACTCTGAAACCGAACCAGTCGACAACCTCTCACTCAACTAATGGAGATGGACTGAACATACTATACTGAGGAGATATTGTGAGTGGCATCACATGCAAGGTCCACTGGTTGGGCTCAAATAGGAAGACGGCGAGGAGTGGTTCTTGTGTCCGAGAGTAGTATGGAGGAGACTAATATGTGGATCGATAGGTTATCTGCAAAATGGACCAGTCAGCTGTCTCATAAATTGCTGAATATACAACCAATGGATTTATCTTTCGCACACTCACATCATTGGCCCATGTATATGTTCTTTGTTTCTTTGTTCCCTGTATATACATAATTGTCTCCTTTCATATATATACCTTCCTTCTCACCGCGTTGTACTTTCTTGTCTAAGTAGCCGTCTATGAAATCAGGTAGCTGCTATATTCGTTGTTGGTGTAAACAAGCGATATTTCTTGATCACCGCGTCTGTACTAACCCATGCATCCCAGTCTAACTCCAAATTTTACAGAATATAAAAGTAATTATGAACGGAGGCGTTAAATACTTGTGAGGAGTGGTGGAACCAGTTGCAATGGATGAAAGAGAACTAAATATTGCGAGCAATGCCATCTCTCGAATGGAACCCGAATGGGAAACGATGAGTGGGGCTTCACTTCGATGTTGACATGGAGGAGGTAGCATGTCAAGGAGGAGATGAGAGTCTATGATAAAAATTTTAGGCCCAGCTAAAGAGGATGGCAGCTAAATAGATTAAAAGGGATATGTTCTGTTGAAGTACTTACCATGTTTTACTTGGAAGTCAAGGGAATAATAAGAATAATGCTAATAGAAAAAGATAAAACGAATCTGAAAAAAAGTAATAGCAGTTAGCAGAGTTCTTAATCGCTGGTTTAAAATGTATGATGTGATCTATGTGTCTTTTACTCCTTTCCTTCATATTACCTAGTATCTCAAACTTTATGCCAAATTCTGTGTCATACAGCAAGTTGGATAATTACGCAGTAAAGGATAGTATTAAACAAAATGAACTATATCACGTGATGACAGAAGTTTGGATTCATGGGCTGGCCATTGGATCGGGTTCCAGTGGCCATTTAACAAGAAGGTCCTAGATTGGAACCCCCGCAGTCCCAAACTAGGCTAACAAAACAGTTGTTCAGTACTCTTAGGTTTTCCAATGGTCCTCTAAATAACGTCAACTCGTAATCAAACCTGTAAAACAGACTTCAGTCGGTGAAAATGTGAAAATCTATAGGCTGAGGTATTTATGGCATACGTTAACTATATCTAGATAAGGTGTAAATCAACATAGTTTGCTAAGAAAAAAAGCTTCTGAAAGAAATGGCGTGAAATAATGCTCTTGCCCATGACAATTGAAATAATGAGTCCTGTCATCCTGGAGAAAAATAAAAGATGCACTGAATGCAGAAATACGCTAACCAGAACAAGCTGGATTCAGGAAAGGCAAATCATGTGCTGATCATATTGCAACTGTACTCATCGCCATCAGAGAACAAAGCATAGAATGGCAGTTAATCCACTACCTCAGTTTCATCGACTGTGAAAAAGCCTTCGATAGCGTTGACGGCGAAGCAGTTTGGAAACTGGTTCAACACTATGGCGTACCCCGAGTCTTCATTAACCTCATTCAACAGCTGGCTATATGACAGTGCCACGTGTCAAGTGATCCACAGTGGTCTGGCTGCCTGCTGTCACCTATGATGATATTCCTAACTGTGGTGGACTGGATTAAGTGGAAGACCACATTAGTAGATTGAGAAAACAGGAATACGTTGGAGCGGAAATAAAAATGGTAAAGATCTGGATTTCGTAGACGATTTATGTCTAGTGTCACGGGCAAAAACCAACAAACTGGCAGAAGAGGCTGGCAATGAAGACAGGACTCAAGGTGAACATAGAGAAGACAAATGTGATGAAGATAACCAGACAACAACACCAATAACAACAACAACAAGCACTAACCACTATCAAGAAGATAAATTTGGGAAAGGTTACTTCCTGCACCTATCATCTAGGGAGCATCGTTTCGACTGCAGGAGGAAAGGATGAAGATGCCAAAGCCACCCAGAATCGGTGTGGCAAGGTAACTTTCATCACTCTGAACAAGACTCGAATTTTCAACACACTTTTTAAGTCACTTTTGCTATATGGGTCGGATATTTGGTGGAAGCGTCACGAAAAGCATCTCCAACAGGTTGATCGATAGTGAACATCAAATGACCAGAATTATTTAGCAACCAGAAACTGTAGTAATGAAAGAATCAACCAAGAATCTAGTGCTCAACAATTATGTAGGGGAATTATGCAGGTGGATTGGGCAAACGCCACTGAGGTGACCGTCAAACTAAATCGCTTGCCAAGCTGTCTGTAGAGTGAAACCCGAATGAAAAACGACGAGTTGAGCGTCGGTTCGAAGGATTACATGGAGATCGTTTGAAGAGGAGATGAAAGCTAATGTGCAATCATGGGATCAGCTAAGGAGACTTACAGAGAATGGAGCGAAGTGGAGATGTGATGATAAACGCCTAAGCTCCACTCAAAACCCAAGGGAATAATAATAATAATGGTGCTAAGAAAAAAAGAAACAAGCTGGGAAAAGTAACACCAATTAGTGAAGTCTTTAACTATTGGTTTATAGTGTACGTGATCTGTGTGTCGCTTACACCTTACTTAGCTTCTGATGCTTAATGAGAAATTGTGGGATTTAGAAAGCTGGATAATTATGTAATAAATGACAAGACTTTCAGAGATCATAAAGTTAAACAAAAAACAAACCAAATTAATATGCATAATAAAACGGTAGAGCACTTACTATAAACTGTTATAAACTTTCTAAAACTGTATATGCTGTGATTCCGACTTTTACTCTTTAGTGAACATTCCAGTTGTATTGTCCCTGTAACAGTGTATGCATCACTGAATAATGGTGGTTTTATATAACTTTGATTATTCTCTTGCACTATAGATACAGTATCATTTGATCCACTGATTATATCAGCTATCCAATAACCATTAAATGCCTCTTCAATATTTGGTAGGATACCACATTTATATGTTCTACTTGAACCATATCGAATAACTAAATTTGAATCATCGATACTATTCAGTGTTCCGCGTATATTACAAGCTATCGTGTAATCATTACAAGAATGCGAATTTGAACGAAATATACATTAACTTATGTAAAATGTAAAAAAACGGTTACCCACAAAAGTTCATTGACAAGTATGGGAGACGTCATGTTGAAAAAGTGAAAAGTAGCACAGTAGAAAAAAAAAGCCTATCTTTCTGCAACTTGCATTCAAAGGTGATGATACTACCAGTAGAATAAGATGCAAACTGAACGCTGCCTTGAAAAGAACATATCCAGCTGCCAAGCTTGTATGTGTTTATCAAACAACTAGTAGTTGTTTGAGACAATCAAAAGTGGACAAATACCCACCTCATGTTACCTTCAACTGTGTCTACCAATTTACATGTACGTGCCAATGCACATACCTCGGAAGAACAGAGAGAAGGGTTATTGTCCGCATTTTTGAACACATACCAAAGAACCTGAGACTGAAAGGTCCACAAGTATTAAACAGTGCAATTGCGCGTCATCTATTAGACAACTTGAAGTCATTCAAAATAATCAACAAGCAAAAGAAACCTGGCTTGCTACGCTTTGCTGAAGCAATTGCTATCAGATGACTTAAACCAAATCTATGTACGCAGAAAGAGACAGTGGTGAATCTTGCACTGCCCTGATGACAACACTAAAAATATACAACAGCTTGTTTTTGTTTCCAAGCCTAATTGCCTAATTATTCTATAAATATTTATAAACTGTCAAATATTGATCACAGTTCATTTGAATTATTCTATAAGTAGTCAGTGTTTGTAACTCTTAATTAGGTAAATCATTCCGGACTAATGCTACTTTTACTTCCTACCAATTACTCCTTGTGATCGTGGAAAATTATGTTCAAATCTTTAATGTAATGTAATTCATATTTTTCATCGTTCAGGTTGCAACCACATTGAGAAGAATCCTCGAAATAATAAAAGATGAGTACATATTATCCTGGTACAATTGTTGTTCTTGCTTTGTTCAAGTTTATCAATGGGAAGAATTGCATGAAGTTTTTAAAGAGGGATTAGTCAGTCTGTTATTGGAGAAATGGCTTATTAGTATAAGCACTTCTCTTCCAGCCAATAGAACCTGGGTTTGAATCCCGCTACTTCATTTGATTCACCCTGAGTAACTGAGTAGAACCACTGACCATAACAAATTTAGCGTAACTCCAAGTCTAGAAGATGGAAGACCTTTTTCTCGGAGCTGAGTTTAAACACAATAAAAGTGTCAGACATATGAAATGTTGGATTTAATTATAGAATATGTCTTAATAAACTGTTAAGTGATAAATCTTTGATACCATACAACGGACAAACCGCGCCGGTCATCAGCCAAACCACGTAATCTTCGTGACGCAATCCATTGTGACTGCATTTAATCTAATAGCATCAATGCCGGTATACCGATCCATTACGTAAAAGAACTGTCACTACGATGCATCTTCAACGTAAGTACATAGAGTGGCAGTGGGTTCTCACCTAGAACCCTTCCTGGCGGACTGCTTCATGGCTAACCTAGAAAAATACATTCCTTATCATCAACTATCGACGACGCCCATCTCTACAACATATACATCGATAATACTTTTATTATTTGTGATGAGAATTGTGATGTAAAAAAAACCTACTTCAAATCTTCAATAACGCCCACCCAAACATCGACTTCACCCTGGAAGTTGAGTCTAACTCAATGTTTCATTTCCTCGACGTTCAACTACGAAGAAATGCAGACAACTCGCTAAGAAGATCCATCTACAAAAAGCCCACATGGAACGGACAGTTTATTAACTTTCAAAGTTGTGCCTAATATACTCTCTTTCCTCGAGAATCTGAAAGGTTTGCTCTGAACAGTCAATCGACGAAGAATAACAAAACCTCCGAGGGACTTTGATAGAAAATGGATTCCCACCTAAATTCATAGACAAGAATCTGAAACCAAGGAAAACACCTGAAAAGGTCCATGTCGCACCCAAAAAGATTATGATATTGAACCTTGAATTTAAAAGTGAAACCAGAGCAGAAATTCTCTGCAAACGGCTTTCGATCTCTCTCAGTAAAACACACTTCGCCACCAGCCTACGAATATTACTCTCCTGCAACAAACTACTCACCGAACACGTGAAAGACAAGCTGTCATATTGGGCCACTTCAACATGCATATACAAGTTCACTTGCTCGTGTGGAGCGGAGTACATTAGGCGTACCATGAGTCCGCTTGTAAATTGCTCACAGGAACACTATCCAGCATGGCTAGCAAAGGGAGAACACGAAGGGGTATGCAGTTCGATAACAGAACATCCAGTGAATTCTGGACATTCAGCCCCATAAGAAAAGTCCTTCAAAGCCACATACAAGATCTGATCAAACTTCTCTTACAAAGAAAGTGAAATCAAGACATCTAGGAACAACCGAGGCACGGCCCATCCAAAAGCTCAAGCCTATTCTATGTGTCTAAAAGAAATACATCCAACCGTTATCCCTGCCATGGCCATCATGAAAAGTCAGTCTCACCAATAATGATCATCCTATTACCTTCCTTGTTCAACCTTCCCGTTTATTTGTTATATTGACCTTTTAAATCCCTATCTGCATTATTAGATTTGGTTACTGTTTTTATTTTTATATGTCCTAATCTCCAACCCATTTCGTTAATACTACATCTCTGACCGCAATTACAAAAACTGACTAGTTTTCTAGTAATTATAATCCTATTTCGTCTTTTTGTTATGTGCATTATTATTAGCGTTATTCTTAGAGGAGCAGTAACCTCTTCTGATTGGTTATCTTCTTGCTGAAGTTTATTCTGTTATCTCTTTGTGGCAGTCTCCTAGAAAATAAAGTCACAAATCTGCGAATCATATTTCCCCACTTCAACTCCGCTGTGATTCGGTGGTAACTTCCTCAATTTTAAGCTTTCTTATTGTTTTTCTCATGACTCTGATTCGCGGCGTGAACATTGATGTAAACTGTTGTCTACAATTTTGGCTTGTAGACATCTCTCACCACAATCAGGCATGAACGCAGGTCAACAGGCAGGCCATACGATATGCAGACGCACGCACACACAATCACGCAAACACAGACGAGTGCATGTGTATATATGTACATACACCTATATACAGACTGTAACACACTGGTGTACGCACAGGTAGCGAGACAGGCAGACAGTGAGAAAGGCCGGCTGGTTGGCTGACTGGCTAGCTGGCTGGCTGACTGACTGACTGACTGACTGTCTGACACTCACAAGAATAGCTGTTCTTGTGACTGACCAATTCTGAGGCTGTGAAAATCACTCATTGTGACACGAGCAAGGTACATTTGGGTGTAAGCGTGTGCCAAGTCCTCCCACGAATTTACCACTTCTCACCTCTCACTGGCACAATCTCTTGTCACCACATGTCGAGCAGCCATGTCTGATGTCAGCACTACCTTAATTTTCGCTGAAACATCTCAGCTGTATAGTGACAACCTGCACTTGTGCAAATAATGCTGCTTCATGTCTCTAGAGTTCGATGGCGTGCATCTCACTGGTCTTTTCACACTTGAAATTCGACCGAGAATCGCCATATTCGTATTGCATGCAGTAGAATCGCTAGGTGATACTGTTGTCGTCGAACTCATCCTTTCTATGTTTAACCCTCACATCTAAAGGTGTCCAGACATTGACGTCCCAGGGAATGTCGACAATCAGTGAACAAATCCTAACCACACACATCGCCAACGAGACACAGTCAACAACTGCACCGACAAGCACAACCACAGTATCTGAGATTCCGGTCATACCATCCACCACTTCGACGAGTGTTTCTCTGTCGTCTGTGGATGGCCATACATCGACAGTCATTCCTCAATCGACAAATGCATCCATCACACCTGGTGAGTATTTTCAAATGACGATTTCGACTGTACTCATCTGACCACCCGACACTGGCTCATCCCATTCACCTGCACTCATGCTCAAACTCCACACTTGTCTACTCATCAGTCCAAGGTGCATTGGCCTCAGTGCAGATGTCGTCAGGCCCACTCCTTTTCATCTGTTTGATTAGAGGGATTCTATTTATTTCCAGATAGATTTCTTCAAAAAAAAATCACTTGAAGTGGCATTGAAGACCAGGATGTATTCAAAACCTATCTCACTCTAGTTTTGGACTCTTCAGTAGCACACATCCATAATCATGTCTTTGATCACATCCAGATACTGAATGACCTACAGCCTCGCCTAATAAACTAAAGGTTTTGAGTGCAATTCCCTGTGAAATCATCAGCACTCACTGCTAAATAGTTCCGAAACCCGGATGAAACAGGTGTTTTGGGGTATTTCTTAGTTTTCAGTGGCTTTGTAAGTAACTGATATCGGTTGATGGAAAAAAGTTAGCCTCAGAATATGTTTCATTGATAAGTAAGGCAATGTTGTGAACAATGTAAAACTATTAATGTAGAAATAACTAAGCTTACATACGTTGATGGTTCAGCGGTAGAACTCTCCCCAACCACGCCTCAGGTGGCTCGGGGTTCGATTCTCGAGTAACGCAATCCAAAACCTTTCTAAGCCGACAAAGAGGCACGATTGGGAGTGAAGCTAGTATCCTTACCCCGTAAAAATAAAACCACTGCCACTGGAACTTTAGAGCTCTACTCTAAAGCCCTTATGAAACGTAAAGAAATAAAGCAAAGCAAAAGTAAAGTTACTAAATTTACAGGAGAAGTCCATTAATGAAGATACATCACTCAATAAAGTGAAACTTACATGATACACTTATATCAGCAACCATTTTAAAAATTACATAATTATTTGATTTAGCTATAAAGGAACAAGTTAATCGAACTTGGCCTTGATTATCATAAACTGTACTACCATTTGGTGGATCAATAAACACTTGTCCATTTTGATGACTTAGAGAAAGAATTTCATGCAATCCATCGCTTAAAGAACCATTCCAGTAACCGTTTACTTGAGTATCAACACTTCCAGGTAACAGAGAACAATTTAATTGTTTACTTGATCCCAAAGGAAGTATAATATGCGATGAATCATCTATCCCGTTCAATGTTCCCCTATAATCACAACCTGCAATAAATAAGATATGAAAAACGAAATAAAGATTTGTCTGTTTTTGAAGGTTATTTATATTTCAAGCTCATATACATGAGTTTACTGTTTAAAAGAGATGCAGTAACTGAATTACTGGCTGGTATCGAAACTTTTAAAAATATTGGCTAAAACATTCTTTCATCATAATAAAGGTCTTTGTATTCCCCAATGAATGAAAAACAAAACGATAGTGTTGTTTTTACTGACGTCTCGCTATTTAATGCTGCTACTAATAGCTTTATCAAAGTATTATTAAACCGGAATTTACTAAATCCACTCAGCTTATATATAACAAAGAGTTAAGAGGTGAGAAAATAGACTTAGGTCAAGTTAAAGGGACATATTAAAAGTCAAAATAACAAAGAAGATCACTTAACCAAATGTCAAAGGTAATCGTATATCTGTTATGGTATCAAAACAAAGTTTACTAGCTTGATCATTGTTCATCAGTCTGGGGTCATTTTTCGTTGTCAAATTGGTCAATTAGTAAAAATAACAAAACGAAGTGTAGATCGTTGGATTTGATAAGTGTGTAAAACTATAAAAGCAGAGCGTGTTTATATAAAGATACTGCTTATCACATTCGTGTTGATTTTGTCACTTCATGGTTGGGGAGGGAGGTGTTGTAACCAGGTCAGATTCTGCTTTAGTCCATCATTCCTATTCAGACAATTTGGATTCCACTTGTTATGAAGTGCTTCTGATGATGTTAGACGTTCTTTGTGATATCTGAAGTTTTTCTGGATGATGATTTCAATATTGTCAAAATCCATTTTGTGGCCTAAGGCGTGTAGACCTATGCCTGATGAATTTTCAAGGCTTTCTAGTTCAACCGGATTTCTCGGTGTTCGAAGAGATGCTCTACGGTGTTCATTTCTTGTCATTACCTTGATTTCTCTGTGGTGATGTTTGTCCGATGTATATCGCATCACATTCCAAGAATTTTATTTTATAGACACAATTAGATAGAGAATCTTTTGGGATTTGATCTTTTATATGGACAAGATTGTTTCGTGGTGTGTCTGATGTTTTGAATAAAACCCTAATGTCGATCTGATTGAGTACTCTTCTGATATCGTCTGACGTCTCTGCTCTATATGGAATGATGACTGTTGAGGTCCATGTTTTTAGAATGTGTTTTCGGCCATACTTAATGTCTGTGTTGATTTTGTTGATGAAGTTCCTTGGGTAGTTGTTTTGCTTGAGAGTTTCAGTAATGTTAGATATTTCTTCTTCTTTTTCCTTCTCATCCGTTATGAAAGAGTGTTGTCTTTACCAATTGACCAACTTGACAGCTAAAAATGACTCCAGACTGACGAACAATGATCAAGTTAGTAAACTTTGTTTTGATATCACAACATACGTACTATTACCTTTGTTATTTGGTTTAGTGATCTTCATTGCTGTTTTGACTTTCATTATGTCCCTTTAACTTGACCTAAGTCTTTTTTCTCACTCCTTAACTCTTTGTTATACATAAGCTGAGTGGATTTTGTAAATTCCGGTTTAATAATACTTTGATAAAGCAGCTATTAGCATTTAATAGCGAAACGTCAGTAAAAACAACACTATCGTTTTGTTTTTCATTCATTAGGAAATACAAAAAATTTTTTTGTGATGAATATCATATACTTTTAAAAGTGAACATGGTTTGGACACATAAAACATTCTTTACTTAAACACTGTGTTTAAAGTTCACCATTCGGTGTATAATTCCAACGCAGGTGAAAGATAAGCTGACGAGTCTGGCCACTTCAATGTGCATTTATAAATTTAGCTGTCCATGTGCAGACAGCTTCATAGGTAGAAAGACCCGCCTTCTGGAGCATTGTCCAGCATGGTTAGGTAGAGGAGTCGTTAGGTCAATTGGAAACTCCATACTGGAACACCTTAGTGGATATGTGGAACAAGACTGATAAAAAAATTAGGCCTTCACAATTCCATACAAGGTTCCACCTCAAATCTCTGGATTGATACATCTTCGGTTGCTAAGCAGAGCTGGGTCAGTTGCCAAAATATATTTTTCAACCTAATCTCTGTTTTCAGATATAGTTTGTTCAACCTCTGTCTCTCTTTTGAGCCTTCATCCCCAACAAAGTTTTTAAAAAGAAGAAGTATCCTTTATATATATATAAACCTCTGTTATGCTAATTTCGATTAATTTCCCTGAAGAAGTTCGAACCAGTTTGGCGAACAAAACTTTGGAATTATTCATTTCAATTTCTCTGAGATTTTACAAATATGATTTTGGAAAGCGTGCGCTTTGTGCGGCCAATATAACTAGCTCCACACGAGCAAGTGAATTTATAAACACACATTGAGGTGGCCCAAAGCGGCAGTTTATCCTTCACACATCCGTTGATCATTTGTCGGCTGTAGAAATTGATACGTAGCTCAGCCATAAAGAAGGCTTTCCTCAGTGATCTGCATAAGCGAATCTTCAGGATCTCTCAGTACACAAATTTCCATAGCTGGGTCCTTTTGAGAAGAAAGAGAAATCTGATCCATTCCTTATCCTCAAGAATAAGGAGGATATGTTCAAGTGATACAATCGTTGGGGAACTGGAGCGACTTAGACAAGTCCTCATAGAGAATGGATATCCTCCAAGATTTATCGAGAAAAACATGAAGGCAAGGGAAAAACCTGAAAGAATACAGACGGTGCCGAAGAAACTGCTGTTTATGAGTGTTGAATTTAAAGGTGATACCGCAGCTGAGATCCTGAAGAATCGCTTATACAGATCATTGAGGAAAGCCTTCTTTATGGCTGAGCTACGTATCAAACATGATGTTTTACAAATGTCTAACCAAACTCTTGAAAGTTAATCTGATGCTCACTAGTGACTTGCTACAAGATGAAGTTTGCTGAAGTTCTAATGGAAAATCGTGACCATTGACGTCCAACCAATTGGGAGTGAGGAGTGGAGTTCCCACTGATGACATTGGTTGGCGGTCACGCTAGAATCACGAATTGATAGAAGTAAGAATTCATTTGGACTGGTCATCCAATCGGTTCCCAGTGGCTGAATAGTTTACGAGCTAACTTGCCTTGTAACCGGAAGCTCCTGGGTCCGAATCCTATCAGTGAGGCAAGGGTGCGTACTGCCGATGATTCCCAAACTAGGATGAAACACCTGTCCAGTATTCCCTGGTTTCCAATAGTTCTCTAACTAGTATCAATGCGTGGTCAAACTCTTATAAACAAGCTGGATCCTTACAAATTTAACTCTTGAAAATGTCTACTTCTCACTCGGCGCCCAATTATTTTTGCGAACTCGATTCGGTCAAATCTTGATTACAGTTCATATGATTTATAACCCCTGTAAAAGATAGTCTAACGTAATCATTGTAATCTCAAACGTTTAAACAGAAAAAAACAAAAAACAAAACATCTATTGGCTTACTTGTAATAGTTACAGTCCGATTAAACCCATAAATTATATAATTCTGTTTTCTAGCATGTTGTAATATACATTGGAATATAAATTCGCCTTCTTTTAAGTAGACTCCGTGTTTAGCCAGTGGTTGGATATAAGTTTGTCCATTTTCTTTGTCTATATTGATTGCAACTAAATCTTTTGGTCCACTGATAATCTTGCCTGTCCATTTAGCTACCAGTCTTGATTCAAAACTTGCCGGCAGTAGACCACATCTGAGTGTTTTATTTGTACCAATTATTAATTTCACATCTTTATCGTCAATACCATTCAGTGTACCGTTAATACTACCTGATAAATGGATATTCAATTATTAGAGAAATTAATTATAGTTATAATTAGATAATAAATAATTCAAATTATTAAAAGAAGGAGTGATTGAATAAACATTTTATGTATACGTATATAAACAAATCATACAAAGTCCCTACAAAAACTCCATTATTGATAAGATTTTAGAATGTGTTGGTATTTTATAAACGCTAATAGATCTTTAGACTTTAATTCATCTCATCCTTTAACTGTTAAGGCAAGCTTAGTTAAGTGTCTAACAAACCGAGCAGTAGCACTAAGTAGCACAAGAAAAGACCTAAATGATGAAATGAAGCAGATAGAAGAGGCGTTGGGGTTAAATAAGTAACTATCCTGCAAAATTCATTAAGAAGATTGTTATGATGCTGGATCCTTTGTCACGCGGTCACTGCTTAAGTACTGACCAGTGCCCACTTAACTGGTAAAGCAGAACACGCGAGAATCAGCGGTAAAACCAGGTTCATTTATTATGACAAAAGTGACTGTATTTATACAGAAATTAAGGTAGACTGGAAATCAACCAATCCGGTTGAGAGTTGGAATTGTGCAAGCGTCCAATCAGAATCAGGAACAATTGCATGTCAACGACTTGTTAATAACGCGATAATAACTTGACTGAGACATGATAATGACCTGATAATTGCATGTGTTTTGCCTCTTCCTAACAAAGATCAAAAAACACTAAAAGCAAATTAAAAACAATTGTGAAACTAGTATTGATAACATAAATAAGACAGTATATAAGTCATCTACACTTATACTATGTAAGGAGAGGACATCTGAGACCCTGCGTAGGATTCCCAATAAAGCAGGAATTAGGTTGTCATTCAAACCTACAAACTCACTCAGGTAAGACAAGCTCTGAAGGCTAAAGGACCCAGTTGACCCAATTAAACAAAATTATATAATTTACAAAATACCCTGCAATGACTATGAGGTAAGTCAACTACATAGGTCAGACTAGTATATCAGGGGTAGTAAGATTGTTGGAAGATAAGAATTTAGCCAAGGTAAGAATGGTTGACCCCGAGAGGATAAATAATTTAGAAAAAACATTCAGGAATAGCACCTCATGCATTAACACACAACCACATAATTGGGTGGGAGAGGGTTAAGATTCTAAGAAGTAATCTATGTAGGTGGAGAGAGAGAATCCTGGTTCATTGAGTCTACACCCAACACATGCAACAGAAATGACTCAATGCAAATACCAGAAATATGGAAGATTACCACCAGTCAGTCAAATCAGAGGAGGATAATAAATAATCTTAAAATTCTATTTCAATTCAAGCACATCACAACATTCTAACAAGTTACTTATTTTGACTATAAAAACACTCGTCTTATTTCCCATCTGATTGTATTTATCAATAACACTCATTTTACTATTGTTTCTGAATGTACATTATCCCAAATTGATTTTTATTCAAATATCTAGTCAATTCCACACATGCATATAAATGAAGGGAAAAAGTTGTGTGAGTAGTGCCTTGATATGATTATGAGTGGTGATAATTTGTGCTCGAAACGTGGTCATCAGTAATATTACTGTATAACACTTTGTGATTTATGGAAATAAAATCTTATCTATAATGGAGTTATACTCTACCACAGTGTCCAAGTTTTATACTTATATCCCTAAAAAACCAATACTTGAGAATTGATCTGATGCTCACTAGCGACTGGCCCTATTCAGGCAGTTACCTGGAGTTCTAGTGAGAATCCGTGACTACTATGGTACAGCAGATTGAAAATGACGACAGTTACTCGTTGAAGAAGACATTGCGAAGTGGTCGCACTATCTCATGAATTGGCAGAAGTTAGAATACATGGGCTTGATGGCCATTGGATTGGGTCCCAGTGAGTGGCTTATTGGTCTACAAGCTCTCTCACCTTGTAACCAGAAGGTTATAGGTTTGAACCTCAGTGTTTTGGGTGCGCACTGCTGAGGAGTCCCAAACTAGACTGAAGAAACAGCTGTCCAATACTTTTGGTTGGTTTTCCAATGGTTCCCTAACTGATGCCGGCTCATGATGAAATCCTCCAACCAATGTATACAAAAGTTTGGTTTTCCTATTTCGACGGTCTAAGGTAACTGACCAACTCTGTTTGTTTTCACTAGTTCACTTGCTCCTTTGAAGCTGAGTGCATATTGCTCGTTCAAAGTGCGTTTAGTCTAAGAGGGTGCGTGACTACGAAGAGATGGAAGTGAGGCTGCAAGGAGTGCAATAATTGTACATCCGGTCAAGACTGATTACTTTATCTCTATAACTTCTTCCTTTCAAATTATCCATAGGGAGAATAATGACCTATTCGACTCATCTATATCGCTGAAGCTCGGATCATCGAAATAGAAAAGCTAGTCCTTTGTATGCAAAGGAAATTTGTTCAACCACTTCTTCTTCAAACATGGTCCTAATCAGTTTTGTTTATTTTTTCTTTTGTTTATTCAACTTGTATTCCCTTCCTTTAATCTTCCAGTTGTTAATATTAATTTCATCTTAAACAATCTTTGGTATCCTCTCAACTGTTATCTCGATGGTGGTGGTGAAAATCCGAATTTTAGTGTTTATGCTGACCGAATGCAGAAAGTTTCCCAATTGATTTCAGAATGATGGAGATCCATCTGTCTGTCCTGGATTTCCAACCCTGACCGATTTTGAAATCCTTACTCGTGACGACTCTCTGTAGTTGAGACGAAGCTTCCAAGATAGAAGAAAGAGGTGGGATCTTTCAGAGTTCTCTCATTGATAGTGATTGATGCTGGTTGTTATTGTTAGTAGCAGTTGGTTATCTTCATCACCTCCGTCTTCTCTATATTCCCTTGAATTACTTTCTTTGTAGCCAGCTTATTCTCTCAGCTCCTTGGTTTTTGCCTGTAAGTCTTCCACTTTGTGTGATACTAAAGGTAAATCATCCATGAAATCCAGATCTTCTAGAGTTCCCTATTCTACACAGCGTATTTTCGTCTGCTTGCTCCCAAAAGTTTTCAAAATAATCCATATCATTGATGATAATAATCAGCCTTGTTTTACTTCTGTATTCACTTCGAAGGCCTCTCTGAGTTTTCTGGCACACGGCAGTGTCCTGGAGCTGTTGAGTGAGACTAATAAAGACTTTCGGTACTGCACACCGTAGTGTTGAACTAGTTCCCAAATAACTTCTTGGTCAGCGCTGTCGGATACCTATTCAAATTCGACGAAATCGACATAGGTATTTGACTGTCATCCTATGCTTTGTTCAGTGATGATGCGTGTAGTTGCAAGTGGATCAGCACATGGTTTGTCTTTCCTGAATCCACCCTGCTCTCGGTAGAGTACTATATCTAGTGCATCTTCCACATGACGTGACTTAGCATTTTACTTGGCGTTGATAACAGCATGACTTTATTTGGTACATAACCAGTTCTAATATATGTGTACAACTTGGGCAGTGCATTAGTATGTAATTCCATATTAGTTTGTTTATCAGATGTATCACACAGTCAGTGAAAAACGTACTCTCTACATTCAGTTGGTTCGATAAATAAAGCCTCCGTCATCAATCTCTCCCTCTACTCTGTCATATTAGATTATAAAACTGTCATCTTATCCCATTCTATTGTATGGTTGTGTGTGGTTGCATGTAGCGATTGCTATATCTGAATTAACTATTCTCTAGATTTCTTATCTTATTATTGGGAACAGCTAATCTAGATTTTGTTGGACTTTTGTGCTCCGCTATTCTGAGTGACTGATCCCGTCCTTCTACTTTGACCTGGTAATCATTGCAGGGTATTGGATAAACTAAATTGTGTTGTCAAATTGACTCCACAGGATCCTTTAACCGAAAAAGCTTCTTTCCAATCGAGTTTGTCTGTTTGAATTTTACTTTTATTCGTGAATTGTTAAGAATTCTCCGTAAGGTTTCTGAGGTTCCTTCCTTGTATGGAAGTACTAATAATGATTTGGATTCCTTATTGTTGGTGTTGTCATTATTCTCTGCATGTTTATGAAGCATCTCGTCACCATCACTACGATTATCGTTAATTTTTATACGTTTTCCAACATATTTCCTGATTAATTTGTCAAGGTAATCAATAAGTTTCCAAGCTTCTCTTACATACCTTATTTCCTATCTTGAATTTTCCTTGTTATTACCTAATTTTCGTGCCTTGTTACTTAAACATTTCACCAATCCTATTTTTAATGACATAGGGTGAGATGATAGGAAATCCAAATATCAGTTTAAATGTGTGGGTTTTCTGTAAATACTAGTGTTTAACCCCCCTCCCCCAACTTCTTTCCTTTTTACGCTAAAATCTATTATTTGAAGCTCCTCATCGCAACTATACAATTCATAAGTCAAATGAATTGCCTCTACCTTCGAACTGATGAGTACTAAAAACCTATTTATGTCCTGTGTTCTTATTACGATGAATGTGTCGTCTACATACGTCCATTGTACTTTAGAGATTAGATGGGGTTGAAAGTTTTGATTCCTACGAAAATAACGATAAATTGCGTTTCGATCTTCGTCATCCAGTAAACAATACTATTTCACTGTGTGATACATCCATCTAATAAACAAACTAATCTGGAATTACATAATACCACAGTGTGCAAGTTTTACACATATATTAAAACGAAGATTAGTCACCCTCAGTAATAAGATAAGAAATCTGGAGAATAGTTAGTTCAGCCATAGCAATCACTACATGCAATTATACACAACCATACAATAGGATGATGTGATAAGATGAGTTTTTTTATAATCTAATGTGATAGGGTAGATGGTGAAATTGATAATGGAAGCTTTATTTATCGAACCAACTGAATGTAGAGAGTACGTGTAATATGAATGATTCAACCGCTATTCACCCTGACATCTGGAGAATTCTACTACCCCTATGGCAATAATAAATTGTGTTCAAAACTTCGTCAACCAGAAAATAATACCAATTCACTCTGTGTGATATATCTAATAAACAAATTAATATAGAATTACATAACCAATTAATGACACGTTGGATTTCATTCAGGTTAGTTTTCAAACTGTATCAATTTGCTTATTATTATTATCGTTCTTCATCCTCACTAGCCAGGTCATCATTCCACAGCGATCAACAACACGTAATGCCCAGTAGTCATGTGAATCAGTATTACATCATTTTCTGTTTATCATTACAATGCCTGACCAGCTGAGTTTTCTCCTATCACTCTTAATCTTGTTGAATCATAAAGAGAAGATTAACATATTAATTGGTGTTTAGACTATTCAGAATAGTCCTGGATAATATCATAAGTCTCCAGACGGTTAGTATGGCTCATTACCCAGCTACATCAGAAGTCTTTTCCGAACAGGGCGAACAGAAATAGTACCTAAGGTTTGCGAACTCACTTTGGGGTGGCCAGTGGGAAAAAAGCTGTTTATTTCATACCGAAAAACAGTTTATTTACCAGAAAAATTAACACAATAATAATAGTAATAATAACAAAACACATAAAAGATGATATTTTTTCCTGACGTAACTCAAAAATAATTCCCAGTTACAATGAAGGTTAGCAGTTTTCAAGTTTCATATCTGTCAAAACGACTTCAGCTACATGAACAATGACACATTTGTAGAGCACAGACTGGTGATGTTGTTCACTTTTTATTGAATGAAAAGAATGATACATTCTGTAGTTCTTCTGTTTCCCATGACATCTTTGTTTATTGAAATATTGAAATTTCTTCTTCTTAAAGAAAAGCCTTCTTGGTAATGACTAAATGAGTCGCCTACGTGTTTACAGAAGCCCGAAGGACTAAATCTCTCATTTGGCTACCTATAAATGTGTACTTCAGTTCATCGACTGACACGTATCCTGTCCAAAAGGGTTCAAGAACACTATGCTGCACGACTGAAGGAAGATATTAGTGGCTCTATAATGAGTTCGATTATCGAAAACTTTGTCAACACTGTTTGTCCCGTCTCAATCAACACCCCCTCTTTCAAAGCGGTCTACAAAATGAAGAATAACCTGTCAAAGGCATACTCTTCCGTCTTTTTTGTACCTCTGAATATGTAGCCATTCAGTCAGAGAAATCTGAGCTATGCAAACAAAAGAAAATTATTCAACCACTCCCACTATCATGGCAACAAGCATGTTGACTACTAGTCACTTGACTTTTGTTTGTTTGTTTGTTTCTCTAGCCTCTATAACCCTTGCATTTGTGTAGAAATCCTACATAATCCCATATTTTCCTTCGTTTCTACGTGCATTCTGATCAAAACTTACACATTAAATTATTCATCTTATTACATAATTCTAATATATTTACTCAACTCCTAGTGTGCATTGACCAACAGCTATTTCAAGTTTGATGACGGATTTATATCAGTTAACGAAACATTGAAAACCAGCATTCGAGTACTGGACGGCTGTTTCGTCAGCCTAGTCTGTGACTCATTGGCAGCACTCACCCCATGGGTTTTTAATTATCTAATTAATGTGATGCGAGGTAGCTGCTGACTACAGGACGAAGTTGACTTGAGTTCTAGTGAGAAGTCATAACCAGTGGATCTACTAGGTCAGGAGTGTAGAGAATTACCAGCGAGCGATGACGTCGCCTGGTGCTAATCACGCACTGGCAGGAGTTAGAATTCAAGGCCTGGCCATTGAGGGGTCAGGTCCCAATTACTGAATGGTCTGCGAGCAAGCTTTCCTTGTAACCGGAAAGTCCTGCATTTGAACCCTAACAGTAGGCCGGATGCATACTGATGGTGAGTCCCGAACTAGGTTGACGAAACAGCTAACTGTCCAGCACTCCAGTACTGGTCTTCAGTGGTTTTCTAACTGATATAAATCAATAATCAAACTGTAAATAAATCAGATGACAACAAACAAACTCATAGAAATCAATCAAATTTATCTACTCCTGGATTAATAACATGAAGGTACTTGTCTCATGATGAAGTGTGTGTTTAATTCTACTCGAAAATCACCATTTGGAGACACCTCCATTTGAAAAAGGGAAGACGTTCAGCGAAGAGACTCTTTTCGACGGGCGAATTCATTCACATAGCTGTACAATCGTATTTATATCTAACTGTTTTGTGTGTGTGTGTACATGAGTTTTGTCAAGTTTAGATAATTAATTAGGTAATGCAAAGATAATCTAATATAGAAACAAGGTTAATTAGACAGCAACTAAAGTAAGATTGGGTTAGTAATTTAGATGACATCATGTAATTGACTAAAATGTTCCAACCTAGGTCAGGATAGCAACAGAGGTAATTACAGATAGAAACTAAGTATATATACCTTGGTATATAATTTTTGTATTATATATGTATACGTAGTCCAAGCTTTACCCTCAGATTCCCATTGAGCACACCCAACAAGTCAATACCAGTAAAATATCATGTTCTTAAACACATTCACACAGAAAACACAAATAAATAAAAATTTAAAAAACAAACAAATAGCTAACTAACCTGTAATTGTTATGGTTTTATTGAATTCAAAAACTATCTGTTTATTACTTGTATACCTAAACACGCATTCAATCTTAGCATATCCACCAAACATATAGAATGGTTGTCGAACTGGCGGCTTTATTAGTATATGCTTTGAAACTTCTTCTAAATATATTAAATCATTAGTGTCCCCGTCAACTATACGTGCTGTCCAATAGCCTTTTATAGCATCTTCACTTTGATATGGTAACATACCACAACTGAATGTCTCGTTTGAACCAACTGATATGATAATTTCTTTATCATCAAGTCCATTCAATGTACCTATTGCATTATCTATAAAATAAAATTTCAAAACAAAACAACATTGAAATACTTACTAAGTCAGGCAAAGTTAAACTTTAAGCACCATTAACTACAACCAATCAGCGAATGACCTCGAACGCACCAATCACGTGAAGGAGGCATTTGTGTGTATGGAATACATAAATTTATGAAAAACAAAATGCGTAAAAGCTGTAGAAAAGTGTTACAGAAGATACCTTGCTCTCACATATGATAAAAATAGGGTGAAGTTCAACAACGGTCGGTCGGTCGGTCGGTTTTCGACATAGAACTTTGCACCGATGTGCGGCAGTTCAAGTAGCCACACTCCCTCCATGTAGCACACAAAGCAAGAGAAGAAAGTAGGAGAAATGCATATTAGAGACAGTTAACAGAGGTGTCAGACAAAGGAATAGTAATATCGATGAACAATATAGTTTCATTGGAAATCATAAGTCACAAGGAGTGGATGCATCTGCGCTAGCCACTGAAAACGATTTTGAGCCATGTCACCAATTGTTTCCAACCATTGGTTTTTACTGTCCCGAGGAACCCAACCAGGAAGTCTACACCTCCCTCCCTACCTGGCTGGCTTAGACTAACTGTTGTGGATTTCATTGACTGGTGCCATGTTTTCGTTTGACCGCCGCTAGCTCTTTTTCAGTCTGGCCCTATATCAGCTAACATTGCCCATTGTCGAGGAAGGCGATGACTAGGCATTCGTAGCACATGTCCTAACCATCTCAGTCGATGTAATTTCACAGTTTTGTCGACTGATTTCCTCGCCTTACTTAGCACTCGACGCCTAATCTCAATATTGCTCAACAACAGCGTCCCAGGAGTGCGAATGCTCCAATGACCTTGAACGCATGCTAATCGTTGGCTCCCAGTTTTGGAGTATCAGCAAAGTATAATTCCATTGTGGGTAAAATCGATTTTGATAAAGTCTCATAGTGTAATAAATTGTGCTCGAAACGTGGTCATCAGTAAATACTACTGTATAACACTGTGAGACTTTATCAAAATAAATGCTACCCACAATGGATTTATACTTTACCACAGTGCACAAGTACTATTCTTATATGAACAGAGTAATTTAATCACATTCTATGCATGTAATTATATAGGTCTTCTAACCCTAACAATAACCCGGAAAGATAAGAATTCAGTCCACAACAAACAAAAGACTAGACACACTATACTATTATTTATTTTTTATTGTTCCCCTGGGTTCCTAGTGGAACATAGGGCTTCAACTGCACGCCTCCATTTGCTTCTGTCTTCTGCTATACTTTTCACCTGCATCCATGTTAGTCCATACTGTTATAACTCCTCTTCACACGATCTCCTCTATGTCACCCTTGCACCGACGTCCCAATCGCCGCTTCCCTTTCGGGTTCCACTCGAGTGATGGCCTGACGCGTGATGTCACACAGCGGCCTCCTCAGCGAGTGTCCAGTCCATCTCCATTTTCTCCTGCATATTTGTTGAGCGATTGGTTCTTGTTTTGTTTCTCCCCATAGTTTCTTGCTGGTGATTCTTTCCGGCCATCTGATCTTCAGTATAGAGCCAGCGAAGAGAGTTGTTGATATAGGTCTGCAACAGGCTGTTGGAAATATTCTTTGTGACCCGCTGCCAAGTTTCTGATCCGTATAGAAGAACTGACTGACTTGACGTTTGTATTGAAAATCCGAATTTTGTTGTTGATGCTGAGTGAGTGACGAAGATTTCCAGATTAGTTTCAGGTTGATGAATGTGTTTCTCGCCTTCCCGATTCTCGATTTCACATCCTCCCTCGTCCGTTCCACTCGCCTGTAGTTGAGACAATGCTCCCTAGATAAGTGAATGAAGTAACCTCTTTCAGATGCCTCCCGTTGATGGTGATTGGCGCTGGATGTTGCTGTTGTTGTTGTTGTTGGTCATTTTCATAACGTTCGTCCTGTCTATGTTCACCTGGAGTCCTGTCTTCTCTGGCTGCTTCTTCGACCAGTTTGTTGGTTTTCGCTTGTAAGTCTTCGATTTTGTGTGACATCAAACATAAATCATCTGCGAAATCCAGGTCTTCTAGATTCTTCACGTCGGTCCAGGATATCCCTGTCTTCTCGTTTCCCACTGTCTGACGCATAATCCAGTCCACCACAATTAGGAATATCATTGGTGATAATAAGCACCCTTGTCTGACTCCCGTGTTTACTCCAAACGCTTCGCTGAGTTTTCCGTTGTGGATCACTTGACATGTGCCGTTGTCGTACAGTTGTTGAATAAGGTTGATGAATATTTGGGTTACGCCGTAGTACTCGAGTAGTTTCCAAATTACTTCGCGGTCAACGCTGTCGAAGGCCTTCTCAAAGTCTATAAAGTTGAGGTAGAGGTTTGATTGCCATTCCCCAATCTCCAACCTTAACAGAGAGGTTTACACAAAAATGCATCATTTCAAGTTGTTATACATCGAAAAACTACACAGAAGTAGAGAAAATGAATAAAGTCAAACTTCTGTAAAATAAGATGCATAGGAAATAGAAGAATAACTGAATGGACACCGGTGGAGACTCCCTTGAAATGTAAATAAATCTACACCATTTTTAACGTCACAGAGCAACGTCACTAGTAGCTTTCAACCACCCCAAATCCTCAACAATTCCCAACATGGCTTAAACAAACAGTCAGTAGTTTCAAGTGTAGGCTTGCGGGGATTTGACTGGTTACAGGGTTTCCTCATGAGCTGACATCAGTAATAGAGAATCATTGAGAAACCTGAGAGTACTGGACAACTGTTTTATCAGCCTAGTTTGGGACTCTCCAGCAGTAAACAGAAGTTGGAATTCATGGGCCGTTGGGCCGAGTCCCAGTAGCTTAATGGTCTACGAGCTAGCTCGCCGTGTAACCAGAAGGTCCTAGATTCGAATCCTGTCGGTGTGTTCATACTGCTGAAGAGTCCCAAACTCGAATCAGTTGTGTTCATTGGACTGGTTGATTCGTCGTCCCAAACAAGGACGAAACAACTTTCGAGTACTCTCAGGTTTTCTAGTGGTTCTCTAACCACTGTCAGCTCATGATAAAACACAGTAAAGTTATTACAAAATTATAGACACACATACAGACAAATATGCACAATGACAATTAAACATTATTGTTTTGCTTTTTTCCATAAACATTCTGGGATTACAGGATTTTCATCATGAGCTGTCATTAGTTAGAGAACCATTGGAAAACCAGGGAGTACTGGGCAGTTGTTTCGTCCTAGTTTGGGACTCTTCATCAGTACGCACCCACCGGAGTTCGAACCCAGGACATTCTGGTTACAAGGCGAGCTCGTATACCATTAAGCCACTGGGACCCGATCCAATGGCCAGTCCATGAATTCTAACTTCTGCCAATTCACGACATAGCGCGACCCCTAGCCAATGTCTTCGGCGAGTATTTGTCCTCACACCCGACCTGCTGCACCCCACCGGTGGGTGCATACTGATGAATAGTCCCAAACTAGGACGAAGCAGCTTTCCAGTACTCACAGGTTTTCCAATGGTTCTCCAACTAATGTCAGCTCATGATGAAAATCCTGTAACCAATCAAATCCCTACAAACCAACACCTGAAAATTCTGGGATTATTTTAAATAATAATTTATAATAATTCAATCTGACTCGGTGCCTAAATCATTCCAGGAAATTAGTAACATCTACAGTCTGTAAACTATAATTGTTGAGAGTGGTTAGCACCAAGCCTTCAACTGAGGCTTCAGGAGTTTAACCACTCTTCAACAAAGCGTTTCTGCAATCGCTAAGCGATTAGTGCTCTCTTTCGGAAGTTCGAACCCGTGTCGCCAAGTGGTACAGTAAAAAAAACACGTTACCATGGAGTTATTAGGAACCTTAACTTTAGTAACAACATAGGTAAGCTTATAGATTGATTTCGTAAAACACTTAGAACTTAACAAACGTTATTTTCTTAACCCTGTTCTGAACCTACCAATTCAAATACTTACTTACCTAAGATAGAAAAAGTTTTATTGAATGAGAAAATTTTTTGACCACTAGCCGGATCAGTAAAAGTACATTCAATGATAATTTTTCCACCAGTTATATAAACAGGATATTTTGTTGGTGGTTTAATAAATACTTCTGTTCTTTGACCTTGTTGATTTGTTTCAAATTTTACAATATCTTTTGGACCATTAAGAATTTTAGCACTCCATACACCTGGAAAATCTGTTGGTGGTAGGTAGCCACATCGGAAAATTTTATCTGAACCAGCAAATACTTCAATATCTTCACCATCATTTCCATTCAATGTTCCAATGGTATCAACTGAAATGACGAAAAAAGCAAAACAAAAAGACAAAAAATGCATTGAAACCATTGAAAGTTGATTCAGTGAGGCGGAATTTTGAAATGTACTTCAGCCTCAATTAATGTTAAATAATAATATGACTTTTTATTTCATCTGATGTAAACGGAGACAGTGTGGTCTGATTTAGTTGTTAAAACTGTGAAGATATATAATAATTCCCTCGTAAAGGCTTTATATATATATCTAACAGATACCTTTCGCATTTAGATTTGAAAGTGTTAATTCAGTTATTTCAGAATCTCTACCAGTCTTCAGATACCTACAGAGGCTGCTAGACTGATTCCTTGTAGCGATTCGATCAATCCCTGGGGTTCTGAGTGCAGCATAGGGCTTCAACAACACATCTACACTTTGTTCTATTTTCTGCAATACGCTTCGTCTGGGCCCACGATTGCCCATAGTCTCTCACCTCCTCCTCACTTGATCTCCTCAATGTCAGCCTTGGACGACCCACTCGTCCTCTCCCAATCCGGTTTCACTGGAGTGATGGCATGCATTAAGCTGTATTATCTCATGGCGTAGAGACTGAGGTATGACCGCCAACCAACTTCCATCGTTCTCTCTTCAAGTTCACTCGAAATCCATCTTTCTGTCTGAGTAGCGTAGTCAGCTCCTTACCCGCCATAGGTTGATTCACGTTGGTTCCGTTAGTGATCACCTGTATGACTGTATTCAGGGTAGGGTCTGATTTTTGACTGCGGGGAAGTCTTAATGGGTCTTGTTTCAATGCATGCACTCCATAAACTATCTCCAGCAACTGAGCTTAGTCTTCCGGTCTAGATAAAATGTCTGCCAAAACATTTTCTTTGCCAGGGACGTTTCAGATCGTGAAGTCATACTCCTGCAGGTGGAACATCCACCGCAACAGTTTTCCACGTGGATCTCTCGCTGTCCTCAGAAACTGTAGCGGCTTGTGATCAGTTTCAATGTGGAACCGTTAGTCGAGTAAATACGGTCTCCATTTGTCCACCGCCCATACTATTGCCAAACATTCTTTTTCTATCGTAGAATATTTCTGTTCTGTATTTATTAAAACGCGAGTGGCATATTCGACAACTGCTTCACCCTGTCTAAGTACTGCTCCTATGCCATAGTCACTCGCACCTGTACACACTGTGAAGTGTTTTCCAGGTACAGGCAGTCTTAGCGTCTAAAAGCCGCTTAGTACTGTCGAATATCTTCTGGGAATTTTCTAACCAAACAAACTTTGACTGCTGCCATCTCGTTGAAGTTTTTCATGAATCGACTGTAAAATGCTGCTCTCCCCAGGAACTGCCTTAGATTCTTCTTGGAATTTGGGGCCGTAAGGGTCTTTATCAAGAAGTTTTTCTCCGGAAGCGGTTTTATATCACCATTGTCTACTTTATAACCCAACAGCGTAACACTCCGTCTGGATATCTGAGATTTGGTCTTGTTAATGCACAGTTCAAGCTCTTCGATGCGTTTTAACACGGCTTCGACATGGTTCACATGTTCGCTTTCCTTTTGACTGCAGATGACGAGATCATCACCGTACACTTCTACATTCTTCAAGTTTTGAAGTAACAGCATCATCAGTCGTCTGAACGTAAACGGTGCACCTGCTAGTCCAAATGGCATGCGTTTGAACCAATACTGCCTCTGTTTCACGATGAACGCCGTCTTATCTCCGTCACTCTATTTTATTGGTATCTGCCAATATCCTGACCAGATATCATGCACTGTAGACAAATTCGCATTTTGAAGATAGTCTAGGGTCTCTACTACAGTTGGCATGGCGCACTTTCTGACCTCTGTCATGCTGTTTGGCTGTCGGAAATCAACGCAGAAACTGTACTTCCTGTTCGCTTTCTTCACTAAAAGGACTGGAGAGTTAAATGGGCTGTCAGCTACTTCCCCAATATCATCCTGTAACATCTTCACTTGTAGCTCGACTTCGCCTTCTAGTTGACATGGGACTCGTCGTGTTGTGGATGGTGCCGTTTTTGCAACCGATCAGTGGGATTTCATGCCCGACCTTATCACAATAACCGTTGGCGTCCCCATCTCCAACAAACAGATGGTCGTATTCTTTAACTAACACAGTCATATTCTGTGCTTTCGACGCAGTAACGCCTGCTATCTCGCTTGTCTCATACATGCTGATAGGTCCGTACTTCGTTATCACTTCCCTCTCTTTCGTGTTAATTACCGCACCAACCTCTAGCAGAAAATCAGCGCCAAGTATTGTTTGCTGTAACTCAGGCACAACAATGAACGGGAAAATAACTTCGCGACTCCCAACAAAAAGGCTACAGTTCGACGTGCCAGCGATGTTTAACACGTGTCCACCTACCGTTTGAACTGTTAATGAACACAGTTTGACATAGCTTCCGATATATTAGTGAGACTGCCGCCCCTGTATCTATCAGACATACGACTTCTTGGCTATTCCCTCGCAACTTAGAATACATTTCTCCCCCTCTCATTAGCCCCGACTACTTCTGGTCTGCTCACCGATGTCCATGGGTTGTGCAGAGTTAACCAGTTTTAGTTGCTCAGACATGTGATCTGGGACGCCAATAACTGCAACTCCGACTCTTCATTCAATACCAGCTTCGATGTCTCCGTAGGACCACTAAACAGTGCCATACGCCACCCATGCTTGACCTCACCAAAAGCTCCGAATGTTCCCTCCCTCGAAAGCAGCAGGCCATGGAAGCTTCGTTGCCTGCAAGCAGCGACACGGAGTGAAACGTATCTCTGTATAAGCGAATTATGTATACCTTTTCTTCAACGCACCATTTGCACAGATCTTCATGGTGTGGTACTTATGTACTTCATGTTGTGTTTCTTTGTGTTCCTTCCACGTTTCTCATGTATCTCCACAACGCTGTATTATTTACCCTCTCAAATCTAATGTATCTCTCTGATATTTGATGTTTTTATGTCAATGAACGTGTCTTTATATACTACTGATAAGTCATGTCAATTACTCACAAACGAAACTGTGTGCAGACATAGTTTAAAAGGGTTCAAACACATTGTAGCACTCCAGAGTTGAAAAGAATGGAAGAAAAGTACCTACAAACGGTCTTCAAAAAGAATGGTTATCCAAAAAATTTCATCAAAAAGTGCTTAAAGTCGAATCAAAACACCAACAAGAAACCATCATCAAAGACCACAAGAAAATTCATTCTACCATACATGAGGAATATCTCTGAAATAACAGCTAGAATACTGAAACCGTTTGATATAGATATAGCACACAAGCCAGTAAAATCGCTTAATTCCATATTATTGCAAACCGAAATATCCAACAGAAAAAGGAGATAAAATTAATACCATTTACAAAATAAATTGTATGAACTGTAACAGACATTACATCGGTCAAAGTGGGTGTCCCCTTCGAATCAGAATCCAAGAACACAAATCAGCAGTGAAAAGACACGATATATATTCCTAAGTATCAATGCATATAGACAATTATGGTCATCAATTGGATTGGGATCGCGTCAAAATCTTAGACAGAGGAAACACCAAAAGTGCAGTAAGGGAATTCCTAGAATCCTGTTACTCAAACGAATACGCAGTTAACAAGCATGTTAATATAGACGAAATATACCAACTAATAAAAAGTAAATCAGGTGACCAAAAAGTTTAAAATCCAAGTCAATAGAAAATGATCAGTACATATGTAAAGATGGTTACCGGGAGACGCAATTATATCACTCATGAAGAAATTTAAATCAGTTCACTTTATGCTAAATATTGCGCTGAAGGTGTTGTCCAGAAGGAGGACGAAAGCTCCGCAACTAAACCAACCAGCTCAGAGAACACTATTAATTGCAAATCATCCACCTGAGCTACAAATCTTCTCTGTTATTTCAAAGTCTTGTCAGTGACACTCTCCACAATTAGACATGAATCATACGCGAAATCCATACCTCTCAGAATCTTCTCATAGGTTCAATCTATTGAAGTCTTCCCACTCCCCAATAAAAAGGGAAGGATGGGCGGGAAGTAGCGTGAATACAAACCCACCACGATCATCACAACTAAACCTCTAAATCTCTAGCTTGAAGCACTATGCTGCAGTGGGACAGAAAAGAAATGCATAAAAGAAAAACAAAAAGATAAATAATAAACTTACAGGTTGTTGTTAGCATGTTATCAGTGAATGGTATTTTCACTTTCTTTCTCTTCTTATCCTGCATAAATCTATCTGACAAAATTGAATCTGTTTTCTCTTGTTTTCATTCATTTATTTGTTTGTTTATTTATTTATTTTCGAAAGTATAAAAATTAAAAAAAAACAAAAAAATGTGTATGGAAAAATAAGATTAGAAGTAAATGAATTTATAGTAATTTGATCCAAGTGAATAACTGATTAATTGACTGATAAGAAGCAGTTAAAACTAGAATGAACCCGTTTAGGTCAGTAATCGATGATATCGGAGATTTCAATATATTAAATATTCCCATAGTAAAATTTAGAACAACACATTTAAGCGAACAATACTGTTTTCAATTAGATCTCATCAGGCTTAACTCTGATATATATAAGTTTACAAATAAACATTCAAATTTAAACCAATCATGGTGTTTTTTCTATAGGATAATAAGATGGTGAATATACTGCACGTAAGAAACCTCTATTTATTAAGTTACAATTTAATGGTGACTTATCTAGTGAGATTCTATTCCAAAGACTTTCAAGGAGTATACGAAGAACATTTTATGCAGCACACCCATATTTGTCATTCTCTAGCCGACGAATGATTGGGACGCAAACGAAGAATAAGCTAGGTAGTTTTGCCACATCTATGTGCATTTATCAATTCAACTGCACCTGCAGTGACAGTTATGTTGGGCGTACTACTAGACAGCTTAGCCAACGTGTCACCATTGAACATCTCCCATCGTGGTTTGGCAAAGGACAGACAAAAACAATTCGTAGCTCAATTTTGTCACACTTAATTGATAGTGGTCATGTAATCGAGAAAACGACAGCCTTCAAAGTGATTCATCGTATCCCACCAAATCTTTCCAATAGACTTCGTATTCGTCTACTACACACAGCTGAGGCGATAGGCATTCGAACTATTAAACCTAAACTATGTATTCAAAAAGGTTTTTATTTGCAAACTTATATATATATTAGAGTTAAGCCTGATGAGATCTAATTGAAAACAATATTGTTCGCTTAAATGTGTTGTTCTAGATATCGGAGATGTTGCATTTTAGTTTTCGACTAATGTTGCTGCTGTTGTTATGTAGAGGTGATAATTTGATTTGACAACCTTTGACACCCCCACCCCCTGCCACACACACACACACAGCCACATCTTCAATGTCTTACAGCAAGATGTCCGCCTTATTGTGTGTGTACAACCTCGGCACTGTAGTAGTAAGTAATTCCATATTAGTTTGTTTATTAGATGTATCACACAGTGAAACACTCTTATTTACCGGATGACAAGGTTTCGAACAAAATTTATTGTTCATAATCATATCATCAATTATAATCACACGACTTCGAAACTTGAGTTTTATAGTTTTATTTGTTCTCTCCTATTTGTCGTTGTAGGGGTAATAGAATTTTCCAGATGTCCGACTGGACAGGTGCTGAATAATTCCTATTACACGTACTCTCTTCAACTGATTCGATCAACGAAGCTTCCGTTATCAATCTCTCCCTCCACACTGTTACATTAGATTTTAAAACTGTCACCCTATCACGTCATCCTATTGTATGGTTGTGTGTAATTGTATGATGTGACTGCTATAGCCGAACTAACTATTCTCCAGATTTCTTATCTTATTCAGGTCAACTAATCTAGATTTTGCTAGGTTTTATGCCCCACCACTCTGACTGCCCCTGTTCTACTACTATGACCTATGTATTTGACCTGACACACAATTGTTCTAACGGCTCCACAGGATCCTTTAACCGACAAAGCTTGTTTCTAATTGAGTTTGTGGGTAGTTTGAATACCAGCCACTTTTATTCCTGCCTTGTTAAGAATTCTAAGTAAGGTTTCCGAGGTTCCTTCCTTGTATGAAATTAGTACTGATGATTTAGGCTCTTTATTGTTGGTGTTGTCTTGCGCACATTCGACTTGCATATGGCCATTAATATTATTATTATCACTATCACTACTCTCATTATTTATTTTATTTTTACGTTTCCTTACATATTTCCTGGCTAATTTATCAGGGTAATTATTAAGTTTCAAGGCTTCTGTTAAATGTTTCATTTCCTGTCTTAGATTTACCTTGGTAACTAAATAGTACCAACCAATAACGTTCAAGCTCAGCGGGAGAAATGACTTATAAACTCGTGGAGAAATCTAAAAGCTCACTTTAACGAATTGGTGTATGCGCTGAAGATGTTGCCTAGTAAGTAGGGCCATGAAAGCTTCGTAAATCAACAATCTAGCTAGCTCAAAGAACACAACCACATGAAAAATTAAATTCCTGCAAACTTACACTTGAAAAATTGTATTATTTATCGAGGATATCAAATGCTCACTTCACATTGGAGTTAATCTCTCAGATGGTTTATCTAGACAGACGATAAAAGCGTTGCAGTTAAACCATCCAGCTTGGAATGTACAAAAGCATGAAAGGAATATACCTTGGCCGAGAAATTTCTCCATCATTTGTAAGGTGATGAACTGTTTGATGGCCTACACTACTTAACAATACTGATAGTGAGTTAATATCTTTCCTATGCAACACAAATAAATGTTTTGATTGAAGGCAAAGTAGTAAGCAGCTAGTATCATGCGTCTAGTACTTTACTTGCTGTAGGACTAAACTCTGCCAGTCAGTGTGTGCAGTGTGCCCACCACCACGCTGAGTGGCTCACCATCACGGTGCACTCAGAATTGTTGTTATCAAGTGGTTGAAGGCAATCGACAGGAAACCCTACTTAAACGTATGTCTCATGCTAGATGGTGCTCACCAGTCAGCAAGGTGTATCTACAATTCAGTTTAAGGTGCATCGTGATAGCGAGCCACCTAGTACCCCAGTGGCCACACTGCAAACTTATCTGACAGAATTCAGTCTGAACCAAATAAAAGACTAGACTAGACACATTACACTAGTTACTAGCTAGGATCGAATCAAAACATCCAATACAGTCCTACAGAAGGTCAGTCATAAGTCCTAATAACCCAGTTGTAACATCTTTGACCGCAGTACTGGGTGACATGGTTTCTATACTCAGAAGAGAGACGAGTTCCTTCGAGACTGCAGATGCGCCTTGCTGAATAATGCGCACCAACAACCACGAAACATAGGTCAGGTGGGGCTACCCACCAATTTCCTCCAGCCATCTTATATCAACAAACAAATGTTCTCCTATTATTTATACTCATATGTTAGTGTTAAGCTCACTTCTTATTTCTGAAGTCTGTGAAAAAATTAATAGTCATGTACCGCAAAAGAATCAGATCCAAACTAGGACGAAACAATTTCCCAATACTCTATTGATTTTCACTGGTTCACTAACTAATGTACGGACGAGGATGTCAAATCGAGAATCGGAAAGGCGAAAAACACATTCGTCCACCTGAAACCAATCTGGAAATCTTCGTCACTCAGCATCAACAACAAAATGATTCGGATTTTCAGTACAAACGTCAAGTCAGTCAGTTCTTCTATACGGATGGATCAGAAACTTGGCGGGTCACAAAGAATATTTCCAACAGCCTGTTTCAGACCTTTATCAACAACTGTCTTCGCTCTATACTGAAGATTAGATGGCTGGAAAGAATCACAAACACGAAACTACGAGAACAAACAAAACAGGAACCAATCGCCCAACAAATATGCAGGAGAAAGTAGAGATGGATTGGACACTCGCTGAGGAGGTCACTGGGCGACATCGCGCGTCAGGCCATCATTCGAGTGGAACCCGAAAGGTAAGGGGCGAGTGGGACGTCCAAGGGTGACATGGAGTAGATCGTGTTAAGAGGAGCTGAAACAGTTTGGAATAACATGGATGCAAGTGAAAAATACAGCAGAAGACAGAAGCAAGTGGAGACGTGCAGTTGAAGCCCTATGTTCCAATAGGAACCCAAGGGAGCAATAATAATAGTCATACTGCAAAAGAATCAGTTCCAAACTAGGAAGAAACAATTTCCCAGTACTCTATTGATTTTCACTGGTTCACTAACGAATGTCACTTCGTGATCTGACTGAAAATCCCTAAATGCTTGGAGGCAATCGCCGGGAAGTCCTGAACCACCTAGATTTCTTGCTAGTTGGCATTCAGCAGCCAGCAAGGCGTATCCGCAGCCTTGAAGGAATTCATGTGCCTCCTGAAATTCGAACTGACAGAATTTAGTCTGTACCAAATAAGTGACTAAAAGACACACTACTCTAGTTACTGACTAGTGTCGAATCGAAGTAACTCCTGTAAACCAAATATATGAATACACTTTAATAGGCAAAAATTATCTTAGCATCACCACTAATACTACATACCTAGTACACGAAAGTGTACATTTTGTACAGTTTCAATAAATCCCTCCTTGTAAGTACTTTTAATCCATACTTGTAGCATTAAACTGCCCGGTTTACGATATTGTCTAAATAAAGGGGTAATCATTAGTTGACCATCAAAACCAATTTGATTAATGTATGCGTCAAGATCAGGTGTTACTTGTAGGATTGTATATGACCAATTAACAGGTTTTACTGTCTCATTATTACTAACATATAAATGATAAATGACTGATGTATTGGTCTCAAGTTGTACCATGTAGACTTTTGGTCGTATTTCAAGAGGAGCTGAAAAGATAAATTGAAAACAGAGCAGAAAAAAACAATAGACAACAATAAGCTCCGGTAAACAGGAATTCTCCAAGATCATATCTCTCACTCACTCATACATATATGGTCTACAACCTTGCCTCGTAACCGGGAGGCCCTGCGTTCGAACCCCGATGGAAGTGTGCTTCTGAAGAGTTCCAAACTAGCCTGACGAATCAGCTGTCTAGAAGTACACCAGTGCTGGTCTTCTAATCGTTCTGCAACTGGCATCAGTTCGTAATCAATCCTGTCACAAATCAAATCCCAGCAAGCCAACACTCGAAGCAAATTTTCGCTTGATGTTTTACGTTCCAAAAGCTTCAAGCCTCCGACTTTCAGGGTTCAGTAGCGATGATGTTGTCTTTATGAGTTGTCATTATCAGACTGGCTCCCAAACCTCCCTTTTCTTCCATGTTTACTGTCAGCCGATAACCTAAGCGAAATTTGGGAATGCGCTGGTTGAAACTCAGTCCTGGACCACTTGCTTGGCTTGCAAACATTCCACTCTTGAACCATCACGAATTTTAAAAAATTTCCCTCTGTATTCTAATGTAAAGTGGATACTAGCAAGTTATAAGGGCTAAGAACTCCAATGGGGTCTACTCCTTGGAAGGTAGAAGGCTTACGTTTAATTAATTGGTGCTAAACCACTGGATATAATCACTAGAAATCTGCGAACCTATTCTCAATTCTTTAGGACACACGTCAACAAGGCGTATTTGTTATATTGAAAGGTTTGATTTCCTTTTAGAAACTTCGACCTATCTAGTAGTGTTCTGAATACTAAGAGACTTTACCTTATGAGGCTTTCAGGTGGCAAGGACTGATTTTGTTCACAGCTAACTTCATTGAAATGAATATTCACTTCATACAGAAGAATATCTCACGTCGATGGTTCGGCGGTAGAACCCTGGCCAACCACGCCTCACATGCCCAGTGGTTTGATCTTCAGCCGACGCACTCCTATGCTCCGCTGGACAGGAAGGAAGGCAGGCAAAAAGGAGAGGTTGAAAGTGAGGCTAGCAACCCAACTCCATTAAAATGCAACCACTGCTACTGAAAATTCAAGGCTTTAGCTTGAATGTAAGGGAACAAAATGTATAACATATAATACATAACATTAGGATATCAGAAAAAACTGACTTTTTCACAAAATGAGAGATATAAATTTCTCTTACTTAATTTATTTTACTACTGGCTTTTAATCTTTGCTCACCTAGGAACTATAAGTTCCTAGGTTCGATTCCTGATGAGGTGTTAACCCCAGGTTGTTAGTAAAATTTCCAACTCATGCACTGAAGACACACTTGATGAAGCAGAAAGAAAGTTGACACAAACTCTGGTTGATAACAATTATCCAGATAAGTTCATCAGGAGATATAAAGTAGTCAGAACACCAAGACACACTCTCCAGCTCGCCCCTAAGAAAGACGTTTACATCAAGCTATCCTATATGGGGCATCATAGCAGCTTGATATCTAGACAAAGACTAAACACTGCTGTTAAAAAGACTTTTATGCAGCTAATATCATAATAACAGAGAATGTGAAGCCAATATATCCATCCATCTAAGCCCTTCAAACATGCGAAAAATGATGTCACATCCCACTGTATTTACCAATTTGAATGTAGGTGTGGACACACGTGCACAGGGAGGACTCATCGATCTCTGCAGGTAAGGGCTTCAGAACATATTCCTAAATGGCTCCAGAAATAAATAGAATCTTCACAACCCATTAATGGTGAGAAGAGGAGACCTAGCTCCTCTATGGTGAAACATATTATGGGGGAGACAGGACATAAAATTGACGTTAACAGATCTTTTAAACCTATCTATAAAACGTGTCTGGAGTAGGGTGTATCCTAAAGTTTGTGGAAGCCCTAGATGGCAATTAGAAAGTTTAAACCACCTCCATGTGTTCAAAGCAACAATTCGTCATCACATTAAACCTTCCTTGCTAAACTTTGTTTTGATACTATAGCAAATGGACTACTACCTCTGCTATTTGGTTTAGTGATCTTCATTGTTATTTTGACCTTCATTATGTCCTTTTAACTTGACCTAAGTAGACTATTTTCTTACCTCTTAACTCTTTATTAATTTCACAAATATGTACTCCTATGACAAGTCTGTGTGTGATCAGATTGTTCGAAATATGTTGTACAAATACAACATTAAACGATTCAGATAAATTACCTCTTCTTATTGCTTCATCTAAATTTATTAAGGGAACGAATTGTTTTAAATTAGAAGAAAAAGAAAAAGTAAGCAGCGAAGAAAATTTTCTTTTCTATGATTCATTTTCATAAGCTGCCGTACAATCATAATTATATATTTAACAAAGAAACCATAAGACGACCAATCAGATACTGGCAAAATTTGTCCTCGAAAGACATATTACGTAGTGTAAGGTGTAACCTATAAAGGGGGAGATTAATTGGACTCACCGAATCCTTCAATATCATACAAAGGGACCTAGAATATGCAATCTGTACATAGCTGAATCATTGAATATTCGGGATGTGAAACTGGACCTCTGCATTCAAAAGCACTACATACATTCACTCACTACCATGCCGTGGCCAGAGTATCGTTCTGACTATAATTTTGCTCCCTTTTATTATTATATAAGTTTGCTATTATTATTGTTATTATTATTACTGTTTATGAATAACATTGCGTTTTAATACAGATTTTACATAAAAACACCTTATCGTCTTTCCAGTAGTTCTTGTCAACTCTACACAACCATATTGATTAGCCATTTTCCCACACTTATTACATCATGCCAACTTCTGCACATTTTTTCTAGTTTCCACCTGGTCACCCTTTCCAGACTACACCTTATGTTGCGTAATACGAATTTGAGGACAAATGTTGCCAGTATCTGATTGGTCATCTTGTGATTTCTTTGTTAAATAATCATTGCAACTGTATGGCTTATGACAATTGAGTGAATCAGTATAGGTTGAAGGATTTCTTCATGAGCTGGACAACTGTTCTGCCGGCCTAGTTTGGGACTTTTCACAGTATGCGTCCGCCAGGGTTCGAACCCAGGACTTTCTGATTAGAAGACGTTTTCGTAGACCATTAGGCCACTGAGACCCAATCCAGCGGTCAGCCGATAAATTCCAACTTCAGCCAGTTCACTATATAGAGCAACTGACATTTGCCAATGTTATCGCTGGCGAGTATCTATCCTCATTCCAGACTAGATGGACCCCACTGGTCACAAATTCGCACACGAACTGGGCCAGTCACTAATGAGCATCCGATTGATATTCAAGTGTTGGTTTGCAGGGATCCGATTGGTTTCAGGATTCCATCATGGACCACTGGATTGAGTTCCATTAGCTTAATGGTCAGTGGGGTTAGCTCGCCTTGTAACTTGAAGGTGCTTGTTATGAAACGTATCAATAGGGTGGGCGCGTATTGCTGAAGAGTCCCAAATTATACTGAGGAAACACCTAGCTGTCCAGTATTCCCTGCAGGCTTTCCATTGGTTCTCCAACCGATTTCAGCTCATAATGAAATCCTCCAACCAATCAAACAAAATCAATATTGGGGACTGAGTAATATTTCTTAGAAAGGCTTAACTGAATTCCACTATTTGCAATAACTTACATTCATAAATAAGATTTAATGATTCCCTGTATACTTGCTCATTGATTTCAAGTATACATTCATACAATATTGTAACTGTACTAGTAGATAAATTCCTTGGAATTAATTGATTCCCTTGAATATTGAATAATTTATACGTATCTTCAATACGAATAAAATAAATACTATAGTTGTTTACTGTTGAATACATCCAATTATCTAGAATACACTGAAAATTTGGTAATTGAATTGTGTTTATCCATTGCAAATTAGGTACTATACTAATCTTGATATGAGGAGCTGAAAGAAAAGAAAGCACAGTAGAAAAACACTGTTTAGAAAATTTAATCTTTATGCATGTATAACACATTATTTAATGCTAAATAATCAATAATAACTAAATTCAATGAAGTACATTCTGCTACGAAATTCCCAAAAGAGAATTGCCTTCCTGGAAAGACATATAGAAGTGTCAAAAACTTGAGGAGGAGAAGAAAGATTTCAATAACAAAACAGAGAACTAATTAACCAGACGTTTGAAGAAAGTAAGGGAGGAACAGATATTTCCCAAAAGTGTATATGAAGAAATCAGGGTAGTGCGCATGTACACGCCAAGATTGCATGGCCTACTTAAAGTAGATAAACTGGGAGTACTGTTAAGACCGATACTTGCGCCAATCACCATCAACGGAAGGGATTTGAAAGAGGTCACTTCATTCACTTATCTATGGAGCATTGTCTCAACTACAGCAGGAACGGACGAGGATGTCAAATCGAGAATCGGAAAGGCGAGAAACACATTCATCAACCTGAAACCAATCTGGAAATCTTCGTCACTCAGCCTGCATCAACAACAAAATTCGGATTTTCAATACAAACGTCAAGTCAGTCAGTTCTTCTATACGGATCAGAAACTTGGCGGTCACAAAGAATATTTCCAACAGCCTGTTGCAGACCTTTATCAACAACTGTCTTCGTTCTATACTGAAGATCAGATGGCCGGCTGGAAAGAATCACCAACAAGAAACTATGGGAACAAACAAAACAAGAACCAATCGCTCAACAAATATGCAGGAGAAAGTGGAGACGGATTGGACACTCGCTGAGGAGGCCGTTGGGTGACATCGCGCGTCAGGTCAATGCTCGAATGGAACCCGAAAGGGAAGCGGCGAGTGGGACTTCGAATGGTGACATGGAGGAGATCGTGTGAAGAGGAGTTGAAACAGTATGGACTAACATGGATATAGGTGAAAAGTGCAGCAGAAGACAGAAGCAAGTAGAGGCGTGCAGTTGAAGCCCTATGTTCCAATAGGAACCTAAGGGAACAATAATAATAAATAATAATACTCTAGCTAGATGGTTAGTAAACATTCTCAAACCTGTGAGTGATAAGATAGTCGAACAGCGTCAAGGATATACTTGAATTCGTAGACAAAATCAAAGATATTAATATCAAGGATAAAACTATGATACCTTTGGACATAACACCTTCATTCACAAATGTACCTCTAGTAGAAACGGTTAACTGAATCTATGAACAAGAGTATAACCAGTCGATAATTACTGGCACCCCTAAGGAAATCCTAAAAGAATTGTAGTTGAGGTGTACCATGAATATAAATTTTAAATTTGATGGCACGCTTTACACATAAGTGGACGGAGTGGAGTTGGGCTTCCGATTAAGTCCTATTTTGGCAGATTTCTTTCTAAGTAAAGTAGAAAATGGACCTCTGAACAACCTTATCAGAAAGTTCTCATTTTATTGCCGATATATGGGTAATACTTTTACTCCTTGTGATAGTGATTTGGATAGGAATGTAATCATAATTCATTTCAATGAAGTACATTCTGCTATAAAATTCACTTGTGAAGAGGAATCCCAAAGGAGAATTGCCTTCCTGTATGTCCTCCTTACAAGAAAACCAGATGGTAGCATGAAGAAATTTGCATAGAAAAGGTACATGAACAGGACAATATATACATTTTCATAGCTTCATTCCTCTCCAATACAAAAGAAATTTAGTTAAGACCCTCAGACACATGGTAGAACCATATGCTCAGAAGAGATAATTGAAGATGAACTAAGGATTGTATATGATACCTTGATCGAAAATAGCTATCCATACGTATTTATCAAGAAACACATGATAATGAAAGCGGAAAAGCACTACTCACTATCCGTAAACAAGAAGCCACTTTATATACGACTACAATTCATGGGCGATATACCAAGTGAGATAATTACGAAGAAATTAAGAAAATCAGTTCAAAGAACTTTTAATGCTGGCGACCTGCACGTGTTATTCTCTACACGACCGATGGTGCTACCTCGACTGAAAGATGAAGTACCTAGACTGGCTGACCATTTCTAATTGTATCTACCAATTCAACTGCACTTGTAGGGGAGCGAGTTATATTGGCCATCGCTCTAGGAACTTGATTTTTTGTCCTCGCTCAACAACGTCTCCCAGTATGACTAAGTAAAGGTGTAGTAAAAACCATCAACAGTTCGATATTGACCAGATGGATGACGCTTAGGTTCGACTCTCTGTGGAGACACTGTCACTCACTGGGGATTATAGGTGCATCCAGCTAACAAATCTCATGCTGGATGAAGCGCGTGTCATGCATTCCACTGCTAGTTACCATCTACCGAATAAAACAAGCTCTGTAGGTAAAAGGACCCGGTGGATTCAAATAAACAAAATAATATAATTTACAAAATACGTCGCAATGGCTGTGAGTTAGATCAACTACATAGGTCGAACAAGTACATCGGGAGTTGTCAGATTATCAGAACATAAGAGTTAAGCTAAGGTTAGAGTGATTGATCCCACGAAGATAAGTAATTCAGAAAACAGCTCTGCAGTTGCACAGCATACATTAACACACAACTAAACAATACGGTGGGTGGGACACAGTCAAGTTTCTAACATGTAATATGGGTAGCTGAAGAGCGAGAGAAATTGATTACTGAATCCTGGTTCATCGAGTCGACCTACACGCAGCATATGCAATAGAAGTGAACCAATGCAAATACCATAGATATGGAAGACATTATTACCAGTCAAATCATAGGACAATAAATAATGTTAAAATGTATTCAATTCACATTGTAACATTCTAACAAGTCACTTACTTTGACTGCCAAAAGCATCTTATTTCCCCTTTTCTATAGTTGGTTTTTGTAAGGATTTTTACCAGTTGATCACAGATTGATATCATTTAGAGAACCATTGAAAACCAGGGAGTACTGGACAACTGCTGTTTCATCCTTACAAAAACCAACTATAGAAAATTAATCTGATGTCTGCTAGTAACTTGCTACAGGACTGAGTTTCTTGGAGTTCTAGTTAGAAGTCGTGACCAGTGAGGTCCATCCAGTCGGGAGTGAGGATGGATGTCCCACCGACGACATTGGTTAGGGTTGCGCTAAATCACGAATCGGTAGAAGTTAGAATTCATGGGCTGGCCATAGAATTGGTTCCCAGTGACTGAATGGTATACGAACCAGCCTGCCTTGTGACTGGAAGGTCCTGGGTTAGAACCCTGGCAGTGAGGTGGATGCGAACTGCCAATGATTCCCAAACTAGGATGAAACAGATGTCCAGTACTCCCTGGTTTCCTATGGTTCTCTAACTGATATCAATCCGTGATCAACTCGTGAAAATCCTATTTCCCATCTGATTGTATTTGACAGATAACACTAATATTATTATTTCTGAATGTACTTTATCCAGTATTGATTTTATTCGAATGTCTAATCAGTTTTTACTCATGGTAGTTATGTGAGTACATTGATATGATTATGACTGGCAGTAATAAATTGCGCTCGAAACGTTGTCATCAGTACATATTTTGTAGAACGCTGTGTGACTTTATCAAAATAAGATTTTTATTCATAATGGAATTATACTCTACCACAGTGCTCAAGTTTCATTCTTATATCACTATATGTATGTAAATCTTCAAAGATCATGGAAATATCTGCACTAGAAGATGACACTTCAACAGACACCTAACATTTCACTCTAACATAATCAACCAACTGGAAATAGAAAATTAAATAAAAACAATTCATGCGTCCGAATACTAGTTTAATCATAATCTACTGTCTTTTGAATAGCTTGGCAACATGAATTAAAAAATTCCCATTTCATGTAATTAAGAAAATACATAAGTCAACAAAAAGAGATCCTCCTTGCCTTTCAATAACTTCCCTTTAAAGTTAGTTATACATTTATTTAGGGTGTTTATATATGTACGACGGGTGTCGGTGGCACAGCGGTAGAATGCTCGCCAACCACGCCTGATGTGGTCGATGTGGGGTTCGATTCCTGGCCGAAGGACGCACTCCATTATTTCGCTCGCTAAGCCATTAAATAAGACTAGTAAAGAGGGAAGGTTGAGCATAAGGCTAGCATCTTCATCCCGTAAAAGTAAATACCACTACTACGGAAACTTCAAAGCTCTAGATTGAACCCCTATGTTCCACTGGGAACGTAAAGGAATATATATATTATTTATTTTTATTGTTATTTCCTTTAATTCCTAGAGGAACATAGGGCTTCAGCTGCACATCTCTATTGCGTTCGGTTCTCTGCTAAAGTTTCCACCTGGCTTCAGGTCCGCCCACATGCTTTCATCTCCTCTTCACATGGCTTCCTCCAAGTCAACCTTGAGCGAACAACTCGCCGCTTTCCTTTCGGGTTCCACTCGAGCAATGGCTTGTCTAGTGATGTCACTTGATGGTTTCCTCAGAGTATGGCCAATCCATCTCCATTTCTTCCTGCCTATTTGTTTCACAATCGGTTCCTGGTTGGTTCACTCCCAGAGACCTCTGTTGCTGATCTTTTCTGGCCGGTCATTTGATCTTGAGTAGTATTGAGCGAAGACAACTGTTAATGAAGGTCTGCAGTTTGTTTGAGGTGCTCTTTATGACGCGCAGTGCAAGTCTCTGATCCGTATAGTAGCACTGAATTCACATTGGAGTTGAAAATCCGGATCTTATTCTCATTTTGATGCTGAGTGTTGTTGATCTCCACACAGACTTGAGAGTAGTGAAAGATTGTCTTGCTTTTCCAATTCTTGCTTTGATATCCTCGTCAGTTCAGCCTGTAGTTGAAACGATGCTTCCCAGGTAGGTAGGTATGTAAAGGAGGTTGTTTCTTTCAGGTTCCTCCCATTTATGCTGAATGTTGTCTGTTGTTGTTGTAGCTGTTGGTGGTGTTGCCCAGGAATCTTCCTCCCCTCTGTTCTCTCTATGTTCACCTGAAGTCCTATCTTTGATGCTTCTTCTGCTAACTTGTTGCTTTTCGCTTGCATATCTTCCAGTTTGTGGGAAATCAAACATATATCATTGGCGAAGTCCAGATCCTCTAAGTTTTTTGTGTGTGTCCATTTTATGCCTGTTTCCTCATTGCCCCGCCCGCTGCTTGTCGCATTATCCAGTCTACTGCAATCAAGAAAATCATTGGCGATAGTAGGCAGCCTTGTCTTACTCCTGTCCTCACTTCGAAGGATTCCGTAAGTTTCCTGTTGTGGATAACTTGGCATGCAGCATTGTCGTACAGCTTTTGGATGAGATGTATAATTGTCGGTGGCACCTCATAGTAGCGAAGTAGTTTCCAAATCACCTCTCGATCGACGCTGTCTGTTGAAGGCCTTTTCAAAGACAATGAAGTTCAGGTGGAGTTAGAGAGGTGACTGCCATTGCAAGCTCTGTTCAATAATGATCCATATTGTTGCGATTTTTGATCGATGCATGACTTGTTTCTCCTGAATCCAGCCTGTTCCGGTTGAAGTTTCTCATCCAGGGTTTGTTTGATTTACAGTTTATTCTTAGTTTGTAATAAAGTGGACGAAAGTGGATGAGTAATAATATTCCTCATTTATTATGGAAACATAACTGTAGAACCTGATGAAGAAGTTACCATATATAAATATTCGTTATTTAGTAATTAGTCTGCTTAAAATTTGGGCTACGAAATACAACCTCCATCATTATATATATTGCATATAGGTTCCCTCATTCAATTTGTTTAAATCTGGTGAAATATAACCTTTAATTGTATTGTCTACTCTGCTGATTCACAAATTGCTACTAAACATGAGATAAACCATTATCCTGGACAGCAGTCTCTCCTAACACACGAGATAAATGCTTTTCGATTGTGTCCTTAGTTCACGGAAGGTACTTCTGGACTCTTTGTAACTGGCATGCAACAAAATATCGTCGTGTATTTCTCGAAGGAGACAAAGAAGAGATATCATCATAATGGATTAGTTCGCGCTTCAAGTCAGACAGAACTGTGTCAAACTATCCATTATCAATCACTTTTTTATTTGGAGATCGCCAACTAGTCTTACGATAATTATCAGGATTGGTTGAATGACAGAATTTGATCAAGTGTTTCGGGATAAAACTTTTTACAGTCATCCTTTCTTTCTTATAACACCATGGTGAAAGAAGCTCTATTATTTGTGTTCATCAATGAAACTACTGATATCCTTACTAATTTTCGCTGCGTCGGTGGCACAGCGGTTAGGACTCTCGCCGACCATGCACGTGGTCCTGAGTTCAATCCCCTGCCTGATATCAATGGTCGGCCTGCAAAATTTTGGCTACCGATATCACATGCTGAAAATTCCATACCTGTACCGAAAATAATGTGTGGTTTCAAGCTATATTTAAAAAATTAATTAACTAATATAATAACGTTTCCTACTTGTGGCATCCTTTTATACGCTTTTCCAAAGTGTAAGGACATGACCTAACACACTTCTGGTGCAAATTCTTCATTATTTTCAAGCACAACCTTAGTGTATCGACTGAGTTAGGCGTTATGTTCTCTAAAATTCAAGCTCTGATAAAGAATCTTTGAAAAAAGTCTTTCACGTAGGATTTAGACGAATCTTATGAATATTCAAATATTTTCTAAATATCTTTGATTTTAAACCTTCTAAAACTTTAATTTAGTGGTTAATGACTAACAAGGGGATTCAGGATGGCCAAGTGATTAAGTGAATAAAGCGCTGGCGTTTGGAACGATGGATACTGGGTTCCAGCTTCATTGGGTGACACCATCACTCACTGGCGAATGAAGCTACATCCAGATGATGAGTCCCAAACAGGACGAAGCGCGCATTGTCCTGAATTCCACTGTTAGTCAAAAACCCCTAAATAACTTCAAGTGAAATCCTCAGACATAGTCGAGGTATCCACACAAGGAGGAGTCAACATATCAACTTGAAGGCGAGCACTTCACTCCAGTCATCGATCAATGAGAAAGTTGGAAATTAATTATAAAATAAGACCAGTTACTTTTTAAAAAACCTTTAATCTTACCGTAGGAATTTTGTCGAGTAAATTTGGTATGAAGTTTAGCTTCTTTGAGATGATGAACACACTGGTATATTCCTTTATTCCGTTCCATACTATATGGCCATGTAATTTGTTCAGAGAAAATGTCAGAGACATCGTATCCATCAATTAGACTCACTGTAGACCAACTATTTGGTGAAAACTGCTTCCCAATTGAACATTTTCCACTTGCAGGAAATAACATTTTCGGACGATCTATTTTATTTTTTTGAATGATACGGGATAAATTTTGAAAAATAATTGGAAGATGGAGCAGTGAAGTATGCAGATATAATGGAGAAAATCTGCAGTTCAGGTGGATGATTTCGATGTAGTTATGTACTCTGAGCTGGATGGTTTATTTGAGAAGCTTTTATTACCCTTCTGATCAGTATCAATAAAAGTAGCCTATGGTGTGTGAAAACACACAGAAACAACCAATCACGATGCTCAAGGTCACCAGGAGAGATGACTAATAAACTCGTGGAGAAATCTAAAAGCTCATTTCAACGAATTGAAATATGCGCTGAAGATGTTGCCTAGTAAGTGGGGCAATGAAAGCTTCGCAAATAAACCACCCACCAGCTCATAGAACACAACTACATCAAAAAGAGAAGTATATGTAACTCTTTCAAATACATTTTATAGATCAATCCTCTTGAAAAAGATGTAGATAAATGAGTGAAAGTCGGTTTTCAACGTAGAAAGTTACACTAAAGTGCAGCGATTCAAGTTGTCACACTTGAAAGAGCGAAATTCATAGAAACTATAACAAATTGAAATATGTGGAAGAAAAAAATAAATTAAATGAAGAATAGTGAGGACTTGGCAAATTTAGGAGTCTGTGGAGACTGAATGCACCACTGAGAAAGATTTTGAGCCACTGTTTCTCGCACCAAGCTATTCGTTACTACAGTCTTGGAGAACCAAAGTTAATAGTCTACACCTCGCCAGTAGTTTAAACTAACGGTCAATAAATTCGCATGAATTGATGCCATGTTTTGATCTGACCACACCTAACACTTTACCATTCCATTCCTATGTCAGCTAACATTGCTCGATGAGAAATGCGGTGGCTTGGTGAATATATAATACCTCTTCTAGTCATCTCAAACAATGAAGCTTTGGAAACTTACCGATTGACTCTTCAATACTACTCATCATATTATACCACTTAACGCTGGAGATAGAACACAAAATCCTTTGGACACATGAAGCTCGCCTCTTAATGTCCTACACTTTCATCATCTAAGCCTCACAACCATAAACAGGGAGGGATGGTACGCAAGTCCTTTGATCCGTAGCCGGAAATTACACTTATGACAGAAATGATGTAAGTTGGCGAAGGCTACACAAGCGATTTGTATCCTTCCTGAGATTGTGCCAGGAATCACTTGATTTTTGCTGAAGCAACTTCCGAAAACATTGAAGTAAACAACATCTCCAACCAATTCACTTCTTATCTTTTGACCACAGGCCGATGCATACTAGTCCCTCAGTATTATCTTACGTCTGACTGTTGGTGGGGGTGATAGTCTTATGCGAAACACAACAAGATTTACGATCAGAGTGTAGAGAAGACTGAACTTTTTCAGCGTCTTCAACTAGAAGAACTTCACTGTTTGTATACTCTAGATGAACGAGACACTTACCTGGTAACAATTCAACCCCCAAGTAACTAAATTTAATTAGAGTCCAATTGATTGCCAAACACTTGATGAAATCAAATATTAATGGGTGTAAAGCCTGCCGGTGTTCACTGAAAGGTTTCTCCCGAGTAAAGAATGATTCACGCATGTTAATTGAACCTAGTCAAGCTAACTTCTCTATAATTAGTACGGGAGGACTTATCTATATTCTTATAAACTAGGATCATCAATGATTTACGGCGATCCAACGGGAGCTATCTCTGATTCCTTTACATTACCTATTATCTTAACTAACCTAGTTATGAACTCATCGCTACGATACTTAAGCACCTCTAGGGTCATTCTGTCAAAATCCGCTTTATTGTCTCGCTTCAGACTACAGAGAGCCCTTCGAACGTGAGTTATAGTTGAGTTGGATGCTAGGTAACTCCGGCGTGGCTGTTGGCTATCTGAACCGCTCCTAAAGGGTTTTCTTTTCAAGATTTCAGTTGTCTACCGTGAGCGGTAATTAATGCATCAGTCTTCACAGAAGTAGTATCGCTTACCATTGCTTATTATAATCTTTTTCCATAATGGTGTTACTTAATATAGCTGATATCTTTTTTCATCTTCCCCGCTCTTATCGGCTACCACTGATCACTGTTGTTGTGGATGCTTTTACTTAGCTTACATTTGAGTAGCTTTCGCCTCTCATCATTTTCCAGAACCATCGGAATCAGTCGGCTTACGTCTATCAGTTTGGACGGGACAGGGTTAGAAAGAACTGTGTCACACGATCTACCGTTGGTCAGTTAATCTCTTATCTGGAGATCCTGGATAAAGAGAAAATATCATGCCACAAACTCTGCTGAAACTTCTGTACATTATATAAACGTTGTTTACGGATAAATCTATTACCTTTACGATTATTATTTCTATTAAAACTTGGATTTACCTAGTCAGAATGAATGTGAGTAAGGCTGGAGGAAATTTAAAGGTATATAAATCGTGATGTGATATTAACTCAATCAATACCGGTCTCAACCAACAGATGGAATATAAATTGCACGGTTGTTATGCGCATTGCCTCTGGAACTTGTAGTTGGCAAGTCTAAAATGCATAGTCATCTAGAAACGACCTCATTCACTGCGTTTACTACATATTACACTTATACATTTACTTTGTCTAACCTCATTTTGATAGTGAGCCACTCTACTTTTATTAGGTGCTTTATTTTATCTTTCCTTGTCTTCCTTTTTTTAACTTGATTTGTGTTGTTGAGCTTAAAAACTGCTTAGTAGTGCTAAATATTCTCTTAATGACGTCTATTTTTCTGTTTTTCTGACCGATTAAAATAAACGGTACTAATCACAACAGGCACCAGTCCTCGAACAAAAGCATACATTTTGAATGCAATCAAGCTACTGAAGTTGGCGAAGGTATCAGCACTGGACAGAATTCCAACTGAAGCGTTGAGGACGGATCGAGAAAACCTCTGCAGGTATCTTCACACCAAGAATGCGAAAAGTTATGAAGGAAGGAAATATACCTGCTGATTGGAAAAAAGAGAGACTTAGGCCTATGAAAGGACTACCACCGAATCATGCTATTGTCCGAGCCGAGTAAAATACTAAGTCATGTCATTCTGAAGAGAATAAAACGTTCTCTAGATGTTGAACTCCCCCAGTCGGAACAGACTGAAGTCAAGAAAGGCAAATAGTATGTTGGTCGAATCACAAATCTACGCATCATCACTGAACAAAGCATAAAATGGCAGTCAAATCTCTCTCCACCTCAGTTTCATTGACTTGGAAAAGGCCTTCAACAGCACTGACCGCGAAGTAATTTAGAAATTTATTCCAAACTATGGCTTCCACCAAAATCTCTACCAAGCGTACTCAACAGCTATGCGACATTTTCACATGCCAGGTGATCCACAATGGAAAACTAAGCGAAGACTTTGAGGTAGATGCAGGAGGAAGACAAGGCCGGCTGTCTTCTATGACCGACGATGATATTCCTAATTGTGGTGGACTGGATTATGCGAAAGACCACATGTGGGGAATGAGAAAGCAGTAATTCGATGGACCAATGAGAAGACTATAGAAGATCTGGATTTCGCGTGCGGATCGTTTATGTTTAATGTCACACAAACTCAAAGACTTACACGCGAAAACCAACAAACTGATGGAAGAAGCAGCAAAGACACAACTTCACATGTAAGTAAAGAAGATAAAGATGACGAAGATAACCAACCAAAGAACAGCGACAACAAACGGCACAAATCACTACCGACTGGAGGAATTCGAAAAAGGCCACTTCCTTTACTTATCTGACCAGGAAACGTCATTGCAACTATAGGCGGACAGCACGGATGAAGACGTCAAAGCCAGAATCAGAAAAGTATATTATGCCTTCAGCACTCTGAAAGCCATCTTTCGAGTGGAACCTGAATCGAAGACGAATGAATGGCTGTGCGTTATTCTGAGGATGATTACATGAAGCAGATAGTGTGACGATGAGGTCAGAAATTATGGGCGATCGTGAAGTCAGCTAAAGATGATCACAGAGAATAGAACAAAGTGGATACGCGCTACTGAGGCCCTATGTTGAGCACGTAACCCAAAGGAACAATAATTATAATAAGCATCATAAAAGTAAAGGAAATCATAAAACTTACAAATAGTTGCGTATATATGATCTTAAGCACAATATCATTAACTTACCTATGATTCGTATTTCATGCTCAGTTGATGCAACATATGAAGATTCAAACAACTCCAAGTGTAGAACAATTTTCTCTATACTTTTATCCATTTGATTTCTATTGGCTGATGAAGGTATAGTTAGCTTTATATTACTCATTTCAGTAGTAATACTACTATTATTCTCTGTGTTGCCATTCTTGCCATCAATATATATTTGTTGATAAACTATATTACCATTATGTAATATAGTAATATTAGCATGACGCATGATAGCATAAATTATATCATCAGATAGTTGATCACGTGGTTCAAGAATCACCTTCAAAGTGATAGATTCTCCAGTGAATAAAAATCGTCTCATAGGTTCAACAGACAAAGAAATCTGGGGATGCATAGCTGTTCAATTTGGTTATTGTTTTACAAAAGAGGTTCAAATAAAGAGATAAGAACAAAAAAAGGAATATAAGCTCATCTTTCTGATTCTAATTCATATTAGATTTAAAAGTGAAATTTAAGAATGCACACACGTGGAAAATAAAGCAAGATATTAGATGGTTGGAGGCAATCGGCCACAGGAAGCCTTCGACCTAGATTTCGTGTTAGTTGGCACTCGTCAGCAAGGCGTATCTGCAACCTTGAAGGAACTCATATCCCTTCTGAGATTCGAACCCGCGTCACCCAGTGCTGCAGTCAGAGACGTTACCACTGAGCTATTTGGGCTTGTGATTGACCTCCTGTAGGACTGTAGTGGATATTTTGATTTGACACTAGTAACTAGAAGGGACATGAGTTCCTTCAAGGTTGCAGATACGCCTTGCTGACGAGTGCCAACTACCACGAAACCTAGGTCCAAGGCTTCCTGTGGTCGATTGCCTCCAACCATCTTATATCACCAAATCAATGTGCACCGTGATGACGAGCTATCTAGAATGGTGGCCACATTACAGCCTGGCTGATAGAATTCAGTCTGCACCAAAGATAGGACTAGACACATCACACTAGTTACTAGCGTCAAATCAAAAAATAAAGGAAGCTTTTCAGTAAAAGTTCACCACTGTGGACCCAAACACAGTTTGCCAACTCTATGTCTGTTTACCAGTTTATTTGCTCCTGTAAGAGTTCGGTATATTGGTAGTTCAGAGGCGGCTTTGTGCAAAAGAGTGTAAGAACACTATCTTTTCAGCCTACAAAAAGGTGGAAGTGGCTCAATATTCCGGTAGATGCTGATCACATTATCTCTACAACCTCTTTACATTCCCAGGTTTTCCAGTCGTCCTCTAAATGATATCAGTTTATGATGAAATCCTAAAACCAATTAAGTGCTTGGAGGTCATGACCACTGGGGTACAGTAAGCTGGGAGTGAGGACAAATACTCGCCAGCGATGACATTCACTATCTGTCACGCCATATCATGAATTGGCATAAGTTGTGATTCCTGTACTGGCTAATGGATCAGGTCCTAATGACTTAACGGTCTCCGAGCCCGCCTTGAAACAAGAAGGTCCTGGATTCAGACCATGACAGTGAGGTGGGTGCGTACTCATGAAGAGTGCCAAACTGGGACGAAACAGCTCTTGCAGTAGTCCCAGGTTTTCCAACCGTCCTCTAACCGATGTCCCCTCATAATAAATTTATTTATAATTATATAAAAATGACCTTCCAAGACCAATGCTTCTCCGACTCATCTGTACTGTTGAAGCTCTGAACATCGAAATAGAAAAGCCACACGTTTGTGGATAAAGTAATTTGTTCAACCACTGCTTTTTACATGGTCTTAATCAGTCTATACTAAACTATTATAGTCCCCATTTTAACCTCAGCCCTACTTATTTTCTGTTTTGTTTATTCCCTCTGAATATCCATCGATTGTTATCACCATTTATACGTTTGATTACGAGATGACATCAGTTAGAGAAACAAAGAAAGCCAAGGATTACTAGACAGCTGTATCGTCTCAGTTTGTAAATCATCAGTACTACGCACCTACCTGACCTAAGTTCCGTGCTTGTTGGTGCTCACCAGACAGTCAATAAATTTTTTCATTTTTGATTTTGATTAGAGTTTGATTCCACACCGTATTTTTGGTACAAGTATGGAATTTTCAGCATATGATATCGGTAGCGCAAATTTCGCAGGCTGACCATTGATATCAGGTGTGCGTTGGCAGAGGATCGAACCACAGACCATGTGCATGGTTGGCGGGAGTCCTAACCGTTGTGCCGCCAATGCAATCTGTACATAACTCATGTCCCTTCTGAGATTCAAACCTGTGTCCCTCAGTCCTACAGAAAGTCAATCGTGAGCCTTAATAGTTCAGTAGTGAAGTCTTTGATTGGAGCAGTGGGTGACGTGGGTTCGAATTTCGGAAAAGGCACGAGTTCTTTAAGGAATCCAGATTATTATTATTATTGTTCCCTTAGGCTCCTAGTGGAACATAGGACTTCAACTGCACGTCTCCACTTGCTTCTGTCTTCTGCTATACTTTTCACCTGCATCCACGTTAGTCCATACTGTTTCAACTCATCTTCACACGATCTCCTCCATGTCACCCTTACACGTCCCAATCGCCACTTCCCTTTCGGGTTCCACTCGAGCATTGGCCTGACGCGCGATGTCACCCAGCGGTCTCCTCAGCGAGTTTCCAATCCATCTCCACCTCGCCTAGATTACTAGCTCGCTAGTTTTCTAGCCGGTGCCAAGCCCGCATAAAGAGGGAGAAACTTCAACGCATAGATATATTAAAGGATTGCAGATACGTCTTTCTAAATGGTGAATGCCCACAACCACGGAACCTAGGTTAGGTTGGGTTCCCTGCCGACTGCCTCCAACCATCTAATATCAGTATAAGGCTCTTAATATATACTTTCGACCAAATATATCAACCAGAAATTCAGTTGAATATAAAATAGTGGTCAATCATATGCAGCAGGCATCCACACAATCCAAATTAAATTCTATAAATAAGTTGGTTATCTAATGAAAATCAATATACATGTTTGCTGCTGGATATTACCTCAAGTATTTTCAAATCCCTATTTCAAGTTTGATCGCAAATTCATATCAGTTACAAAACTGTTGAAAGCCAGCAGTCGAGTACTGGACACCTAGCTGCTTCATCAACCTAGTTCTGGACTCAGCGGCAGTATTCACGCACTCTGCTGACAGGGTTTGAAACCACAACCTTCTGGTTGCAAGCCAAGCTTGCAGACTATTCAGTCACTGGGACTGGACTCCTCAATGGCCAGGCCATGAATTCTAGCTTCTAAGAATTCATGATTTTAGTGCTACTGGCACTAGCCAGTTTCATCGCCGTCGAGTATTTGTCCTCACTCACAACCACCTGGAGCATCCGAGTGGTCACGAACTTTCACTAGAACTGGAGGCCACGTCGTCCTGTAGTCAGTCAATGGCAAATATCAGAATCATTTTCATGAGTTGCCTGGAGTTATAGTGAGAAGTCCTGACCAGTGAGGTCAACCAGGTCGGGAGTGACGAAATATTCTCGCCACATATGACACATTGTCTGATGACAGTCGCTCCAAAAGTAGTTATAGGCTGGCTATTGAGGAATAGGGTTCCAGTAGCTGAATGATCTATGAGCTAGCTTGACTTCTAGGCGGAAGGTCCTGTGTTTGAGCTCAGGTGAGGTAGTTGCGTACTACGGATGAGTCTTAAATAAAGCTGACGAAAGAGGTGTCCAGTACTCAAGTACTGATTTTCAATAGTTCTCTGAATGATATCAATCCGTATTCAAACATAAAACAAATCAGGTTAATTACACAAATGGGATCAGTCAAAAAATTATTACTTCATTGAGTAATCGGAGTAGGGGGAGGAGCAGCAGCTGCAGATCCTAAAAAATGTCTACAAGATAACGGATATCCACAAAAACGACATATTTAGGAAGAATTAAAATAAAAGAAATAAAAAGTGCCACAATGACAGTCTGCATTCATCTGCTTAAAATTTAAAGATGATGAGATTGCATAAGAGATGACCAATAGATAGATGACTTGTGAAATAGGGAACTTACGCAATAGAATATTTTTATATTCTATATAAGATATAAATATATTTTCATAGAATGCATAACATCTAGCGAGTAGAACACCATAACATGCATTTTGTGGTATGATTTTTAAATGTCTACCAGTAGTATGCATGCATTTCATTGGACCATGTATGATATCCCAGTATAATAGAGGAGTGAAAGATTTACTTCCATTCAATGAACATGTGATCGTTGTAGGCGTCGTCAGATAGGTGATTTTTGTATCACCTTTGAGTTGTAATACCATTGGATGAACTATGAAAATAATGAATGAATAAGTGAATAATTAAATAACAATAGTAATTAATCGATGAAATCAATAAAAGTATCAAATTTTACTGTTTTTTACTAGAACATTTAGGCTCTACCCCTTACACATCATTTCATGAACTTACTTATACCTCGCTTGATTCTGTAATGAAATTTTGAAACCGAAATGGTTAGTATCATTATGGAATATAGGCGCCTTGAACTGATTGATGCCTGTGCATATTAGCAAGATTTTAGAATTTAAAAATTACTCTCACCACCGCAACACAAATACTACTCGAACTATATAAATAAGAGAGAATATAAGGCATCTATCTACATGCAGTTTTACTATGTAAGAAGGGGGCATCTCAGACCCTTCCGACGTATGATTCTTAATAAAGCAGGAATTGCGGTGGCATTTAAACTGAAAAACTCACTCAGGTAGGACAATCTCTGTAGGCTAAAAGACCCGGTTGACCCAATTGGACAAAATAATATAATTTACAAAATACTTTGCAGTGACTGTAAGGGAGGTCAACCATATAGGTCAGACCAGGAGATTATCAGAACATAAGAATCTAGCTAAGGTTAGAATGATTGATCCCACGAAGACAGATGAGTCATTTAGAAAGAATAACTGAGCAATCGAACTGCAAGGATTAACATGCAACCACGCAGCAGGCTGTGAGGGATACAGTAAAATTCTAAAAAGTAATATGGGTGAGTGAAGAGTGAGAGTGGTTCATTGAGTCTACCTACACTCAACACATGCAATAGAAGTGAACCAATGCAAATACCGGTCGATCGGTCGGTCGGTTTTCGACTTAGAACTTTGCATATATGTGCGGCAGTTCAAGTCGCCACAATCTATGTAGCACGCAAAGCAAGAGAAGGAAGTAGAAGAAATGCATAATATATACAGTAAACAGAGGTGTCAGACAAAGGAATAGTAATAACGAAGAACAAAACAGTTTAATTGGAAATCATAAGTCACAAGGAGTGGATGCATCTGCGTTAGCCATTGAGGACGATTTTGAGCCATGTCACCTATTGTTTCCAACCATTGGTTTTTACCGTCCCGGGGACCCCAACCAGTCAGGAAGTAGACACCTTCCTACGTGGCTTAGATTAACTGTTGTGGATTTCATTGACTGGTGCCATGTTTTCGTTTGACCGCCGCTAGCTCTTTTCCATCCTGACCCTATATCAGCTAACATTGCCCGTCGAAGAAGGCGACGACTTGGCATACGTAACACATGTCCTAACCATCTCAGTCGAAGTAATTTCACAGTCTCGTCGATTGATTTCCCCGCCTTACCTAGCACTCGACTGATGCCTAACCTCAATATTGCTCACCTTATTATACCACTTCACGCGGGAGATAGAACGCAGACACTTATGATCGAAGACAGCTAATCTTTTCATGTCTTCTGCTCTCAATGGCCAGGTCTCACAGCCATAAAGGAGGACGGAGCGGACTGTTGAGCAGTACACACGCCCTTTGGTCGATAGTCGGATATCGCGTCTACGCCAGAGACGGCGTAAACTGGCGTATGCGAACCTAGCCCTCTGTATTCGTGCTGAGATTTCGTCGGCGATCAACCCGTTGGGGCTGATGGTACTTCCCAAGTAAGTGAAGCGGTCAACGTGTTCTACCACTTCACTTCCTATTTCTAATCTAGGGGTCGATGAAGTCCAATCCTGCAGCATCATCTTACATTTTATAGGGGCGAATCGCTTGCCAAACATGCGGAGATTGTTGCTCAGGGTGTTCAGTAGACTCTGCATTTTGTCAGAGTCCTCGCCTAGAAGGACTATATCGTCCGCATATTCTAAGTCAACGAGATTCTTCCCTGGTAGCAAGTCAATCCCTGAGTCGCTGAAGTGAGTTAGGGTTAAGTCCATTAGTACGTCTATGATGAAATTGAATAGGAATGGGGATAATGGGCATCCTTGACGGATGCCACTAGTCGTCACCACTTCAGATGACAACTCGCCATAAGCCCTCACCTGGCTGATGGCATGAGTACGAGTAGAGTGCCTTAATCAGTGCAATGTATTTTCTTGGCATTCCCTTTACAGCCAAGCATCGCCAGAGAACCTCCCGGTCGACAGAATCGAATGCCGCCTTTAGGTCAAGAAATATAATGATTGTCGGACGCCGGTAGGAATGCTTATGTTCTAGAATCTGTCGAAGGGTGAAGATGTGATCAATACACCCTCTACCTGGCCTAAAACCTGCCTGGTTTTCTCGTGTTTGTGTCTCCCGAGCGCCACTTAATCTACGCAGTATTATTGAGCCTAGGATTTTAGATACTATATTAGTCAAGCTAATCCCTCTGTGATTATCACAAGACGACTTGTCCCCCTTCTTGTATATCGGGATGATCAGTGACTTACACCAACCCGATGGGACTTCCTCTGATTCCCAGACGCTGCCTAGAACCTCCGTTAACGCAGACAGTAAACTGTCTCCACCGTAATTAAATACCTCTGGAGTCAATAAATCAGGTCCCGCTGCTTTGCCTAGCTTCAGATTGGTGACAGCTTTAGTAACTTCGGTTAAGGACGGAGGACCTGTGTCTATCTCCCATTCAGGGAGGTGTTGGATGTCCGGTAGGTTAAGTGTGGCTGTGGGCCAATTAAACTGCTCCTCATAGTGCTCCTCATGCAAATACCAGAGATATGGAAGATATTATTACCAGTCAAATCAGAGGATAATGAATAATGTTAAAGTGTATTTAATTCACATTATAACATTCTAAAACGTTATTTATTTATTTTACCATAAAACATCTTACTTCCCATTTGATTCTATTTTATTGATAACACTAATATTATTTCTGAATGTAATTTCTCTTATATTGATTTTATTCAAATGTCTAATCAGTTTTTACTGATACATATAAATGAAACAAGAAAGTTGTGTGAGTAGTGCCTTGAAATGATTATGAGCAGTAATAAATTGTCCTGGAAACGTTGTCATCAGTGAATATTACTGTATAACCACACTGTGTGACAGTTTATCAAAATAAAATCCTATCCATAATGAAATTATTCGGAGGTGGATTGTAGCAGAATCTAAGATCGTCACTTTTCTCTTAATTAGCAGTCTATATCTGCATAACATTTCACTGTTTGTAAAGATAAACTGTAGGTTCGAATCTCACTGAGAACATAAAGATGCGGATACATCGACCTTACGAGTCTTAGATTCTACAATACGCGGATCATGGAGTCTAGTGGTAGCTGTTAATAGTAAGCTAGTAGCTAAGGGTAGAATGATCGACCCTGCTCACCAATTGCGATGTGTGCATCGCCAGTCAGTCATACAATACGGTGGGGAAGAGCTATGGTTCTGAAAAGCAGTATAAGTGAATGGGGGATGGAGAGGTTGATCACTGAATCTTTGTTCATTGAATCTAAACATAGAATAGATGCAATAGGAATGAATCGACATCAATTCCAGAGATATAGAAGATATTACTACGAATGAAACTAAAGGATAAGAAATAATGAAACTGTACAAACGAAGTTTGAATGTCTTGTGTATTGTTATGATTATAAGCTGTAAACTATGCTTGAAACGTCATAAGTAAATAATGCTGTGTCACAATCACTTTATTCCAAACAACAATAATAATTATACAGAATGGAATTTTCAGCGTTTTTATACACAGTGCAACAGTTTAGCTCCTTTCATAAATATGTACATACATAAAAATTTAAAAAAGTAATAATAATATAAAAGCAAAACCACAAAAACCTGAATTATAAATGAATAATATAATAGATAATACATGCGATAATAACAGTAATCTTTGCCTATACTTTGCAGTTCAGTTACTGATTTAAAAAGGTTATAAGTTCTTTTCTGATATCTGATTCTCTCTTCACAGACAACCACCTGCGCTAAATATGCTGGTATGGTAGAATTTTTATATTCAACAGTCATACGAGCATACATTCTTATGAAGTTTCTTCTGGTTTCATTCCCCGAAGATATAAAAGGAAAAGGTTGGGAATCAGAACGAGGATGTTTGGTATCAGAAAAGATAACTTTAGCTAACTACCTGCAAGAATTGAAATGCCAATCAACCAACAACGTGCGTCGATGGCACAGTGGTAGAATGTTGGTCAGCCACGCGATGTTGTCTGAGGTTCACTCCTTTACCTCACTAAGCCAGTGTTAAGACTGGTAAAGAGGGAAGGTTGTGGGGCATGAGGCCAGTAACCCCATCCCGTAAAAATAAACACCACTGCTGTCTGTCTGTCTGTTTTCGACATAGAACTTTGCACATACGTGTGGCAGTTCAAGTCGCCACAATCTATGTAGCACGCAAAGCAAGAGAAGGAAGTAGAAGAAATGCATAATATATACAGTAAACAGAGGTGTCAGACAAAGGAATAGTAATAACGAAGAACAAAACAGTTTAATTGGAAATCATAAGTCACAAGGAGTGGATGCATCTGCGTTAGCCATTGAGGACGATTTTGAGCCATGTCACCTATTGTTTCCAACCATTGGTTTTTACCGTCCCGGGGACCCCAACCAGTCAGGAAGTAGACACCTTCCTACGTGGCTTAGATTAACTGTTGTGGATTTCATTGACTGGTGCCATGTTTTCGTTTGACCGCCGCTAGCTCTTTTCCATCCTGACCCTATATCAGCTAACATTGCCCGTCGAAGAAGGCGACGACTTGGCATACGTAACACATGTCCTAATCATCTCAGTTGATGTAATTTCACAGCCTCGTCGACTCAGGGAACCACTGCTACCGAGACTTCAAGCCTCTAGCTTGAAGCCACCCTTTGTTCGACTGAGAACGTAAAGGAATAAAAAACAAAAAAAATCAAGCAACAACAAGATCAGTTAGTTTAGTGAAAGGCGCATTACTCAGCCTACTTACAGCCTTCAGTGTTCTACGAAATATGACAAAGTCCTTTTTTGAGAAGTTCAGGGTAGAATATTTCATCACTTTTATTTATTTATTATTTTTGTATTATAATATTCCTTTGCGCTTCGAGTGGAACATAAGGCTTGAAGCTTCAGGTTTGAAGTTTCACCAACGATGATTCTAGTTTTCCGGGTGGGGTGGCATAGTGGTTAGGACTCTCGCCGACCATGCACATGGTCCGGGGTTCGATCCCCTGCCGGCGCACACCCGATATCTATGGTCGGCCTGAATTTGGGCTACCGATATCCATGCTGAAAATCCCATACTTGTACTGAAAATACGGTGTGTAATCAAGCTGTAAATCAAAATAAATAAAAAAAATAAAATAAATAATCTCACACCCAACCTTCCCTCTTTACCAGCCTTACTACCAGTTAAGTGAGGTTTAGGAGTACATTGGCAGGAGATCAAACCCAACGCCTTTGGCGTGGTTGGTAGGGATCCTACCGCTGCACCACCACCGACGCATAAAGCACATCACGACCAGGAAGTGAACCTGCGAGGGGACACCCCAATGGATTTCCAGTCACTACTAAGTTTAGTAATTTGTAGCGGAAAAATGCCATCATGCTTCCTGACAAAAGTCTCCCACAATTAAATGTTAAGGCTAATGAATACAACACATTATATATTTTTGATAGAAATTAAAACCTACCCGACACAATAGATTTAAACTGAGCATATCCTATTTGTATATTTGTTGTATTATCTAACAGTCGACAAGTGAATGTCCAAATCTCTTGTTTTCTTATATTCAGTCTATGCAAATGAACATGTGCTTCATTACGTAGACCATATTGATGTTTATAATATATTGGATAGATAGTGAAGTTATTTAATTCAATAATAAAAGTATAATTTGTAAATGTTTCAATAGCTGGTGCAATACACGTCAGTATTGGTTGATCCCCTTTATAGATAACATTGTATTGGGGAGTAAATATTGGGGTAATATTTGCTAAAATAATAGAAGAAAAAGAGCTTTATGAAACTGATAAAGTAAAAGACACCAACTAAGATAATCTGAGGTAGTCTTGGGTTGGTAGACTGATCCTGATATTGTAGGCAATGACAGTAGGTGGAACAAAAGTTTGGACTGCGGCAGGATTCGAGCCAGAGGAAGTCAAATTACTAGTTCGGCGCTCTACAAGGTGAACCAGGAGACCCAACCGTTAACCATGTTATTATTGTTATTGTGATCACTACGTTTGACATTCAGCTAAAACGTAAATTAATTTCATACATTTATTCCCCTTAATGAATTTGAATAAAGCGACAACTACAGCTTTAGCAGGATAAAGTGGTACCATCTTTTATTTCGTCGCCTTCTCGTCAGCTGCTTACAGGGCGAAGACATTGTTAAATGTATCTACAAAAACACTTTTAACATACTTGTACAAAGTTCATTTTAAACGAAATTCAATCCATCAATATACGCATACACTAATAATATATACATATATATATATGCAATATTAAACACACTTCCGAACAAAAATAATCATACACAATGAAAACCTTTCAGTATCTCACATTCGGGTGGAAAATATCCAGTTACCAGGGCAAGGAAAGACTGATAACCGCTTCTTTCTGAACTCGCAAATCAGGCTTTAGGCGCTTGATGGTAATAGCTTCAGCAAACTTAAGGAGAATTGAGCTCTTTTGCTTATTGATAATTTTGAACGACTTTTCGACATCCACCTCATGATCCGTGTCAAGAAGATGCCTGGCAATGGCACTGTTTAAAGCATTTGTTCCCTTTAGACATAAGCTTTTTGGTACATGTTCAGAAAATCGTAGATATGCCCTTCTTTCCGTTCTTCCAGTGTAACTGCTCCCGCAGATACATGTCAATTTGTATATACAGTTGGAGTTAACATGAGAGGGATATCTATCGATTTTTGATTGCACCAGGGAGCAAGTTGTTCGAAAGACGGGAACGAGCTTAGCTGCAGGATAGGCTATGGCTGATGTACTCAGCCTTCTGTTGATCATCGCTGCAATGTTTCCTCCTTTATAATCAAGCTCAAAGTAGATTGGCTTTTTTCTTACTGTGATTTGTTTTTCACTTGTGACTTCAGATCTTCCATACTTGTTGATGAACCATTGAGGGTACCTATTGCTGACACGTTACGGTCAGTTTATCATCGCCACAGTTGAAAAGCTAAATCTTCTCCTGGCAATCCTAATCATACCCTAAGCGCACTCCACCAATCCAAGACCTCATCAGATAACAATTTCCTACTGTCTTTACATTTCAGTATGATCAAGACCAATGGGTGGATACCTAACTGGTCAGTTAATGTAATGATAAACAGACAATGACTTATCATTCATTCATATAACATCTGAGAATTACTCATGACGAGTGCAGTGAAATAATGACGTGTTTATCAACTGAGTCTTCTAGGTCTGTTGGCAGAGCTCCAGACTGACTATTCAGCTCCCGTTGGTTCTTATCCTTCCCCGACCGAGGCTTTTAATTTACCTTCAGTCATCTCCCAGTGCACAAATGAATATATGTTGTATGCAAGCAGTTCATTAAACCGAAAAAAAATTTGTGCAAAGGAGTACCAGTTAACAAGTTAGTAAGGATTTATATTGAAATCTAATTCCTTTGAATTCCAAATAGTACACCAGGTTCCTAGCTTAAGCTTTGAAGTTCCACCAGCAATGGTGCTAGTCTCACGCCCAGCCTTCCCTCTTTACCAGGTTTTACTACTGCCTAAGCGAGGTTTAGGAGTTTATCGGCTGTAGGTCGAACACTGGATAGAGTGTATGGTTAGCAAGTACTCTCTGCACCGATACACTTAAGCGTTACCAACGAGACTCATAAGAGGGATATAAAGTCCCTACTATACGTTTTTGTCATACTCCACGAATAGAGAATCAAAGAAATTCATGAAACTAATGGAGCACAGAATGACTGATCCTCCTAGTTCAGTTTATTTATTTTTATTGCTCCTGTGGAAACAAGATCCATTCAAACAAGTGTAGTCTGAAGGAACAGCACCTGAGAATAAATAGAATATCTAAATAACCTGCTTTTCATATGCATTTGATTGGTCAAGTAGTTTAAACCATGAAACACTGCATTCTTGAAACGATAGAAGAAGCGTGGTGGAAATGAGTGGCCAGATAATTTCTCTTGATATTTCTTGATATTCCAGCAAATAAACTAATTATGCTGTCAAGTATATAAAACCACCTCAAAGATACATCTCCAGTGGTCTTCCAATTAAAGGCGATCAGCCAGTCAACTAGACACTTTAATTTATTTTGCATTGTCATGTATTTGAATTCTATGGTTTATTTACAGTCTTAATTAATTAATGATATTGGTACTTCTAAACGTCATTTTAAACATATATATTTATGCAAGTTCTGCCAACTATTTTTGGACTGTTGTTTTGAGATAGTAAAAAGGTCTCTTATCAACGTCCAGTATTCCCTTCTGTCTTTGCTCGCGGGCCGTGTTACTGTCATTGTTGTCGCTGACGTGCAATTAGGACAGATTAGCCAGCGAATTATGTTAGTATTCGCTTAGAGTCTACTGGGTCATAGTTCCAGTCATCACACCAGCAATCTATTCACCAAGTAACTGAAACATATTTACTAACAATCAATATTATCATCTGACTAGTCTCTGATACTCATTTGAGTTTTTGTTCCATATCCTCAATACACCACGAAACGATAAGCTTCAGAAAAACCTTTAATGCACAGGTGTTCACTTGGGTTACAGAAAAAATCAAACTTTTAAAAATTTGGGCAGGGACAGTAAGGTAGAATAACAAGCTAATTCGTGTCTCTTGATGAGCCTCAAATATTTCATCTTTAACGATAAATGTGCACCACTGGGATTAAAAAGAAATAAGAGATCCTTGAAAGTTAGGGAGCTTACGAAGAACAATAGCTCTGTGGCTACATTGTACTAGGATTATGGATTTTTATAACCTCTCATTGATCTCCTTGTCAAAATACATCTATGAACGCATGTAAGTCTCTTCTTCTTCACTGCCTGGGAGGCCTTGGCACAAGTTTAGAGTATACCGGGCTAGGCAGTAAGCCAATTGTATGACTAAAACTTTTTTCTATAACGTTAGGTGATCATATTACCACTAGTAATGTTGTTTCTATTTGAGGCTTGCAAACGAACCTTCAGTAATGTAAATTATTGGCCTCTTATACACTGTTCTGTGTAAAAGATCTGGATTTCGCGGATGATTTATATCAAATGTCACATAACCTCGAAGACCTGCAGGCGAAGACCAACGAACTGGAAGAAGAGGCAGGGAAAGGAGACAGTATTTCAAGTGAATACCGAGATAATGGAGGTGATTAAGGTAACCAACCAAGAGCAACAACCATCAGCATCAACCACTATCAACAGAGCTAACTTGAAAGAGGTCACTTCCTTCACTTATCTATCTAGTCAGCATCGCTTCAACTACAGATAGATGGAAATCTTCTGTACTCAATCAGCATAAAGAACAAAACTCAGACTTTCAACATAAATGTCAAGTCAGTCATTTCTTGTATATGGGTGTGGAACTTAGCGCCTCACAGAAAGCGTTTTCAACAGGCCACCGCAGACTTTTCTCAACAGTTGCCTTCTATGGCTCCATAATGGAGATCAAGTGGCTAGGCTGCCAGACAGAAGAAGCAACAAGAAGCTTCGGGAACGAACCAACAGTTGAGAACCCATTGCTCAACAAATATTCCGAAGAAAATGGAGATGGATTAGGCACACCCCGTCAAATGACATCGCTCAACAGGGCATCGCTAGAGTGTAATTCGGATGGGTAATGACGAGTTGGGCTTGGATCCGAGGATGACATGGAGTAGATCATGTGGCAAGGAGGAGATTATATCGTAAAATAATAATAATGATAATGATAAATAATTACTTACTCAGTAACGTTAACTCCACATTTAACATCAAATCACTTTGCCGCTGTTTACAGAAGAATTTAGATTGATCTAAATGTTTTCCAATAATTGTACAATTATGCTTGTGATCACATGTAAATATCGGAGGACGTAAATCTGTAGGATCTGGCAATAATTCCATAGAATTGCCATAATTATCAATACACTTTGGAAATAGATTATGCGTTACATATCTAATATTTGGATGTAATATTAAATATGGATTATCTAAAGGAAATAAACAGAAAAACAATCAAGTTTTTGGATAATACATACTATAAAAGTATTATTATATTACTAGAATGCTTAACTTAATAAATAACAAGTAAGCCACCGAAAAACCATAGGTAGATTGGCTTGAAAGAGTAAGGGACTCACTACTTTACTTATTTTAGAAGTTGTATTAGCCCTGAGGTACTGATTGTTGGTGAAATGTCAGCAGAGATACCAATAGGCTCGTTCAACATCTCCTAACTTCCTTCACCTCTGGTGTAGATGTGATAACCGTCTATCAGTCAGACGAAATGTTGAATGTGGAACAACTCTCTGCGAGGCCGTTGAAACAAGGAGACATTAGGAAGCTAACCTTCTTCTACTAAAGGTGTCTGTATTCTATCTCCCGTGTTAACGGGCATAATATGACAAGTAAAACTGAAGTTAAACATAGAGTGTTTGGTAAGGAGAGAAAGTCAACCAATTACATTATGAAGCTTATATGAGATAGTATAACAAAACTGTACCTTCAGACATGTGTTGAAAGTTCACTTGAAAGACAGCCCACATCATGTAGAATAAATAAGGTATAGAAAAAACTAAGTTTTTCACAGTAATCAACTTTTACTGTAGGAGGATTGATCACCGGCTGATATCAGTTAAAGAAACATTGGAAAACCAGCACCAGACTACCGGACAACTGTTTCGTCCTATTTTGAGACTGCCAACTAATGATACATATTTAGTGTAACGCTAGTCGATGTCACAGTTGAGTTCCTATCTTTTTGCCTGATTTAGTGGACCTAACCGATCATGAATCCTCTCACTACAGTCTCAGGTAGCTTTCTGTTAAAAGCCAGGGGCTAATGAGCATCAGATTAATTATCAAGTATTGATTTGCAGAGATTTTATTAGTTACAGGATTGATGACGAGCCGACTTTTTGTAGCCTCTTCATTCTGTATTAGTTCAAAGTGTTGAACCTTCCGTATATCAGATTGTATTTGGACACTAAGTGTGTAGTTAAGGGAGCCATCAGTTGTAGTCGTTTGTAATTTATTGTGCGTAGATTATATTCCTAATATCTTCAATATACGGTGGTTTATAAATACACAAAAGATGCATTCCCTACCACTCTTCAGTGCCGCTCACTTGTGGGGTATAAATACTCAGAAGCTAAGCATTATATGTTTTCAGATAGTATTTTTCACCTTTAGAGGCCAATATTTACAAGCCGATGGAGTAAATTGAAACATACCTAGAGGGAGATTTTATTCTTCAAACCATAAACTTGTAACCAATGGGATTTAGAAATTTCAATTAATACTCATATTCCTAAGCAGGAACAGTGTACTGTTCTGCATTCAAGATATTCTCATTTTGTCTCTTAAGTTAATTATAAAAAATCTCCTGACACTTTTGGCATATCACCTCAGAAAAGAACACACTGTTCTTTAACTGTGAGTCACCTCGATGTATACAGGAGACCCTAGATGAGTCTCAAGGGGTGGAGACACATTTCTGGTAAATTAATATGATGCTCATTAGCTACTGACCGTATTCAGGTAGGTATTTACCTGAGTTCTAGTGGGAAGTCACGACCAGTGGGGTCTGCCGGGTTGGGACTGAGGATAAATGCTCGCTTGCGATGATACTGGCTAGTGCCAGCTGCTCTGTGCAAAACACAAATCGGTAGAAGTTGGAGTTCATGGACTGACTATGTGATGGGGTCCGAGTGGGTTAATGGTCCACAAGCTCACTTTGTTACCAGCCGAAAGGTCCTGTGTTCGAGCTCTGGTAGTGGGGTGAGTGCGTACTGATGAAGAATCGAAAAGTAAACTCACGAAACGGCTGTCCTGTACTGCCTGCTGGTTTTCAACGGTTCGCTAAATCATGTCAGCTCATGATAAAATCTTGTATTCAATCAAATCCTGCCTCTTATTATTGCTATTGCTGGTTCTTTGGAGAGTTTCATCATGGGCTGACATCATTTAGAGAACCAATGGAAAACCTGGGAGTACTAGACATCTGTTTCGTTAGCCTAACTTGAGACTCTTCGTCAGTATGCACCCTCCGCACTGCCAGAGTTCGGACTCAGGACCTTCTGGTTATAAAGCGAGCTAGCTCACAGACTATTAAGCCACTGTGACCCGATCCATCAGAGCGCAACACGTTGAAGGTGAGGCAGTAACTCACCGTAGAAGACATTGAGAAGTGGTCACGCCATGTCGTGAAGTGGCCATAAGATCGAGTCCCAATGAGTGGCTTAATGGTCTACGAGATCGCTAGCTTTGTAACTGGAAGGTCCTGGGTTCAAACACTAGCGGTGGGTGCATACTGTGAAGAGTCCCAAACTAGGCTATTATTGAGTTCTCAATTCTTGATATATTCAATTTCTTTCACTCACTGATAACTGATTGTTTATTTAAGTGATGCAATGCATTGAACTGTAATGTTTTTGACCCTAATTATATATCGCTCTCTGTATGTATAGTATCCAGCTGAGGACGAGTTCTACCGAAGTTTGACAGATTCATTGAATCTTGCTTTATTAGCACATAATGGATAAGATTTTATTTTGATAAATCACACAGTGTAGTACAGTTATATTAACTGATGACGTTTTGAGCACAAACTATTGCTCATAATCACTTTATTAGCACCTTTTGTTACCTTTTAAAAATAGAGACAGTCACATAAAATATACCAGCCAATTCACTTACCAACAAGATTTCTCTCAGTCACAACAATTATCTTAGAATGTCTATCAGACAGTGTACAGGAATACTTAAAAAACAATAGATTATTAGATTCTGTAGTCAAAGCAGAGTATATATAAATTGTATTTCTGATGATAGGATATTTAACACCAGATATATATTCTATGTGATAATCTTCAATAGGTATCAGATTTCGAAATGTTTCATTTCTCATTTGACATTTAAGCAGACCACTCCAATATTTATAGAGTCGATTGTTATGCGGAGAATTTTCTTCATAAACAAATTCAAGAAGATCATCTCCTGAAATAAAAGAAAATAAGAGGAGGAGGGTGGTGGTGATGAAGAAGTAGTGCGGAACAAAGATGGAAGACGAATAATCAATCAGTAGATAGTGACAAACAGTCTCTACATAAAAACGCACTTATATATTAAGTGAAAATGAATATTTTGATAGTGATTCTATTCCGATAGGCAGTTATCAAATGACTAAGTTTGATTATCAGTGTCTATTGCTGATTATTGAATAGAATGAAGTCGTGAGCCAGATCTTTGAGTGGATTCCCAATGAGAAGCGACGAGTGAGTCGCCAGTGCTAGGGTGATAGTGAAGGAGATATGAGATGTGAGAGTTTGGGCAATCGTGGACCTAGCTGAATAGGTTGGTAGAAAACAGAACAAAGTGGAGGTGTTTTGTTGAAGCCCTGTGTTCCACTTAGGATCCAAGAGAATAATAATGTAAATCTTATTTTCTTCTGAACTAATATCTAATTGAGAGGACGATGCCTTCGTTTCCCAATCGGACTCCACTTGAGGTTCTATCTAGCGCGCTGTGTCACTCAACAGTCTTCTTAACGTGTTTCCTATGCATCTAAATTCCCTTAGGAATATCTGTTGGGAAACAGGTTCTTGGTTGGTTGGTTGGTTGGTTACCAGAGATCCCCGTCACTTATCATTTCTGGCCATCTAATCTTCACTATCAAACAAGAGAAGGCAGCTGTTGACAAAAGTCAGAAGCCGGTTTGAAATGCTTTTAATGATACGCCAAGTCTCTGAATCATATATTGAGGAACTGATTTGAAATCAATGTGGGAAATTCGAATGTTGTTCAGCATGCTGAATGCAGCAGATATGCAGACTAATTTTCGACTGATAAAGGTCTGTCTTGCCTTTCCCATCCTTACTTTGACATCTTCTTCCATGCCAATTACGGTTGAAACGATGCCAACTAGATAAGTAAAAGAAATGACTTCTTTCAAACCTAGCCCCAGTTTATTAGTCCACTAGTTTATTGGCTGGTCCTAAGCCCAGAAACAGAGAAAAGGTTTGACACTGGGCTAGATACCCTACTCCAGAACATCAACTCAATCGCTATAGATACTTGAACGTACATAAAAAAGATACAGCCACCGCTTACTTCCAATTAAATCGAAATACCAAATAAAAAAACACATTTTCAATGTCTTATAACTAGACTCTAGAAATCACTTGTTTGTCAGTAGCTAACACTGGAATCTGATATGTATTTTTCGTCCTTTTTGGGGCTCATCATCCGGATGCACTTGCACCCGAGCAAGAGTTAATTCGTCATTAGTTTGAGAGCCAAATTAATATCAGTAATTTAGTGAACATTTTCACTAAATTAAAATATAAGAATAAATGAGTGTGGCATTCGTTCGGAGTAAAACGTTCTTCTACAAAGAGAAAACACCTGAATCCGAATGTCTTAATGCTTCTCTGATTATATCATAAACTGATCCAAACAACGTGATCCAACCATAATTAAACCCCTGACCGTTTTACTTCCTATCTCTATATAAAATTTAGTTTACATAGGCTGGCATCGGTTGGAGAACCACCACTAACATCGGTTATGTCTAATTCGTCTAACTCCGGTGAACAGTAAAGATAAGCATTTGAAATTTTATGTTTGCCTTCACAAATAAAAACTTGAACAAATTTAAACTGTACTTCTAACTTTTGAGTCAAAAATATAAAAACAATCCTTTAGAACCCCGACTGGAACATTTTCTCGTGAAAATGGGTGAAGTGGAACAAAATGTGGGATGAAATGCATTCGAAAAGTGAGATATTTCTTGGAGTGACATTAGGAACGCGGGTAAAAGTGCGTAAAAACTGGGATAAATATGAAAAACCGGGTAATCAGTTAGCTGGAAACATGGGGAAAGTGTTGACATACATGAGGAAAGTCAGAATTTTATGTTGCATTTTACCTGCTATCTGCCCACGTCTCATCAGATCAAAAGTGGCTATTCTCCCCACGTCTCACTTAATTTTGTTATGTATATTTTCCAACTAGGACACAATTAAATAAGAGTTGGTTTATAGAACCATCATAAAAGTTATCTCATCAACCAACAGTATGATGATTGTCATCAAAGAGCTCATAATAATATTAAACAATTTAAGTAATTTCGCAGATATGGACTACCAGTGGAATCCAGGACAATGCACATTTCGTCCTATTTGAGACTCGTCAGCTAGTGGATGTAACTGCATTCCACGGTGATTCAGTGATGGAGTTTCAACTGAGGCTAGAACTCAGTGCTGATCATTTAAAACACCAAAGCGTTATCCACTCCACCATTTGGGCCATTAGTATCAGTTTTTATTTAATACAATCTGGATTTTCCTGTTGATTGATTGAACCAAAGTGTTCAGCCTCTTTTAGCAAGTTGGCTCCCTGTGTGGATGCTGCGACGATGTCTGAGGATTTCATTTGAAGTAATTTGGTGGATGGTGACTAGCAGTGGAATTCAGCCGAAAGCTTCGATTCAAATTGAATTAAATAGTGAACACTTTGTTCAAAATAACGGTTTTATAAAGAAAATAAATCTCATAGGAGAAATTTTTCGTTAAAATGAATAAAGTGAGGTAAAACTTGGGATGCATCGATTTTAAAAAGATGAAAATTGGGCTATTTCTTGAAATAACTTAGGTGAGATGAGAAAAAGTGAGTATTTCATGTTGCACTTTATCCACTCTTTACCCCGATCTCGTCCAACCAAAATTGGCCAATTCGTCTACGTTTTCCTTACTTTATTTGTGTGTATGCTACGAATCGGAAGTTATCAGCATCTTTATTTTGCATCATATAAAATATAAAATTGGTCTGCTACTAAATCTATTATTCACGCTGAGATAGTCAAAGTTGCTCGATTTATGTTTTTATGTCTTATTTCACATCATCAACCATCATGATAACTTCTGTCGAATTTATGGGCGTCACGAAAAGTGATAAGCGGAAACGTTTTCAAAAAATGTGCTGTTGAAAATAATAGCATTTGACGATAACTTAGATTATTGATATTAGGTGGTTGCAGGTATTCGGAAAGAAGCCCCCACTTGACCTAGGCTTCTTCCTAGTTGGCAATCACCAGTCAGCAAAGCATATCTACAATCGTGAGGGGACTCATGTCTCTCATGAGATTCGAACCCGCATCATCCAGTCTTTCAGTCAGAGAAATTTCCAGTGAGTTATTCGGGCTCGCGAGTGACCTCCTGTAGGACTGTATTATATACTTTGATTGGACACTAGCTGGTAACTAGTGTAATTTGTCTATTCCTTTGTTTAGTACAAAATGAATTCTATCATTCTATGCATCCCATGAATTGTCCTATATATGACATTAATTATTTTGCCACTTCATATTGAACTGTGACCATAATCATAAACATTTTAGTTGCATTTCATACTATTATTATTATTTAATGTATTCACACCTATGATTCAATTCCCTCACCGGATATTACTTCTTAAAAACCATATGTATATACGATTGTACAGCTTGATAATGAATTCGTTGAAAACAGTCCCCTCGCTGAGTCACTTGTTTTGATTTTCTGAATTCTGTCACCGAAGTTTGGTCAGTGTTAACGTTTCTGACTCACGGCAGCACTGGGTGGTGTCACCAGTTCAAATCTCATAACGGATATGAATTCCTTCAGTGGTCACAGATACGACTTGCTTACTGATGAGTGCCAAACAGAACGAAACCTAGGTCAGGTACGGCTTCCTACTGATAGCTTCCAACCATCTAATACCAACAATTCAATGTGTACAGTGATGGTAAGCCATGTCACCTAGTGGCATAGTGGCCACACTGTAAACTTGACTGAATGATAGAATTCGGTCCTTACTAAATAAATGATTAGACACATTATACTACTTACAAACTAATGTCCAATCAAAGAAATCTTAGAATACTTGAAAGAAAAGCAAAAGGCGGATGAGGTGTTTTTTCTAACTTGAAATTCAAACAGGTTACAAAGATTATCTTGCCTATTATGAACTGTTAACACACATAGAATGCAGTAGACTGCGTCATACCTTCATAAATCATAATTATGAAGTACTTAGAAGTTAATTGGTGAATGGTGACTAGCAGTGGAATCCAGAATAACGCACGTTTCGTCCCATTTGGGACTCGTCACCTGGATGTACCTGCATTCCGTAATGAGTGATGATGTTCCCACCGAGGCTTGAACCCAGTGCCTATAGTTTCAAATGCAAAAGCGTTATCCACAAGAAGCCGACATGTCTCAGCCTGAGACCGAGCACTTCAGTCCAATTAGTCGACAGGAAAATCTAAAATTGATTTAAGTATGAAGTACTTACCTGTAAATGAACATATCTGTTCAGCATCGGAGACAAAAGACATATCATTCGATAAAAATGTACATATATATTGTGAACATTCATCATTTTCTCTTTTATATCTGTGAATCAATTGATTACCATTATGCAGAGCAAATAATCTTCGCTTTCCTATTACAAAAGTACATTTGATTTGATATTGATAAAATACTGAAATGGGTAATACTTCCACTTTCATTGATTGATTATAGTTGTGTATTGATCCATAAGTGAATTTATTGGATATTTTAAATCCAGGAAAGGCTAAATAATAAGGTGTTTGAAAAAAATACTACCATAGTACATTTTAATGAATTTGAAATTAAGTGTGTCACTGATTCCTTTGTATTCTCTAAGTTAAATAATTCAACAGCCAAGACATTTTAGCTTTTCTCAACAAAATCTTTAACTCCAGTGTTTATTTCATTATATAACATTAATTAATTTAAAAGTTATGTATAAAAAAAAACAGGGAACAGCCATTTCATCAGCCTAGTTCCAGACTCTTCAGCAGTACCCACTCACCGAGATTCGAAACCAGGAACTTCCGTGTACAAGTCGTAACTATCGGGGCGCACCAACACAGCTAAGAGATCAATTGCTCACCAATAACGCTGGTGGCGATTGCGGTATATTTATGTATATATTTCAGTGCATTATAATCAATCCACCAAAAAATATACGAAATTAACTCCAATAATGAATGGAAAATATGATATAAACTTCTTATATCCAGTTGAACCAGAAAAGCTTGAAAAATCATCAGCCATAGATTCAACTGTTGGTTTGCAGGCATTTGATTGGTTACAGGATTTCATCATGAGCTGACATTGGTTAGAGAACCACTGGAAAACCTTGGAGTACTAGACAGCTGTTTCGTCTTAGTTTGGGACTCTTCACAGTACGCACCTACCGGGACTCAAAACCAGGACCTTCTGGTTACAAGGCGAACTTGTAAACCATTGAGCCACTGAGACCTGATCCAATGCCCGATGAATTCTAACTTCTGCCAATTCACGACATAGCGCGACCCCTAGCCAATGTCTTTGGCGAGTATTTGTCCTTCCACCTAACCTGCTGCACCCTACTGGTCACGACTTCTCACTACAACCCCAGGTAACTACCTACCTGAATAGGGCAAGTCACTAGTGAGCATCTCATTGATAATCAAGTGTTGCTTTGTAGGGATTTGATTGGTTACTAGGACGAAACAGCTGTCCAGTACTCCCAGGTTTTCCAATGGTTCTCTAACCAATGTCCTGTAATCCAGAAAAATTTCAGAAATTACAAAAAACGTCTCACATCATCAGAAGCATCTCATATCAAATGGAATCCAAATTGTCTGGATGGGAATGGTGGAGTTAAACAGAATTTGACCTGGTTATAACACACCTCTCCATAACCATGAAGTGCCAAAATCAACACAAATGTGGGATAAGCAATTTCATGTTTTTACAATTTTACACACTTATCAAATCTAACAATCTACACATGATGATTTTGTTATCTTTACTAATTTGCCAACTTGACAACACAAAATGACCCCATGCTGAGGATCAATGATTAAGTTATTATATATAAGCTGAAGTTTCATAAACTCTGGTTTAATAATACTGTGATAAAGCAGCTATTAGCATTAAATAGCGAAACGTCAGTAAAAGCAACATTCGTTTTGTTTTTCATTCATTGGGAAATAAAAGAAAATCTTTATTATAATGAATATCATATACCCAATGTCCAAACTTTATCAAACTGTTAAAAATGAACTTGGTTTGTGCATATATCACCTTCTTATTTCTCTAATCTCTGAACAAAAAATCGCGGTCACAGAATCCCTCTTAGTTATTTTGACCTTTCATCACACGAAGTATATCTAGTGACCTGAAGACACATTCATTATATTCCTGCAGGAAGTACGTCGTAGCCGGAATAGTTTGCCGTTCACGCCTCTGATTACAGAAAGTGAGGAAGGCAGTTCAAATCTCCAAGTGTACACGAATTCCTTCAAGGTAGTAAAGACGCTTTGTTGAAGAGTCCCAATGAAAGCACGAAATCTAGGCCCAGGATTGCCTCCTAATCCCTTTCAGTTATCTAACACACCTTACATATCATAATATCATTAGAATGCTTACATTAGCACTTGAATTAAAGATGTTTTCTTTTGTATCCCTGTTACAAATAGGTGAATCAATACTAAACACTATGCTGATGTGTGTCATTATGTTTATAAAACAAAACAGAGTATAAACAAACATTGTACTACTACTATTCAGTAGTATGTACCTTTGGCCATACTAAAGATATTAGTTCATAATAACGTATACCTACAAGTGGAATACGTAGAAGTGGAGTTGTTACTTTTAGTGGGTTGAGTTAGTTCATTAGCCTCAAACCCAACGTCCCCTCTCTTCTACGCTTATTTACCAGATAGGCGCTATGTATATCAGTGCATCCACCGGGAATCAGACTTGGACTGTCCTAATCTCTGGTAGCCAATATACCAATGAAACACTGACTCGCACACACGCACACACAACTGTAAATGAACACTGACATCTTAGTCAATCGAACAACCACAGGAAAATAAGAAACTCAAGTTTACAGAAAACCAAGCCATACAGATCAAATACCCAGTTAGAATAGCAACAACCCAATAACACACAAAAAGGGTTGCATTAAAAAAGTATTCAAGAGAGCTAGTACTCATTGCATCACGTTAAGGAAAATTGAAGAAAAATATCTCGTGGATGTCTTCCAAAATCACGGATATCCACGAAACTTCGTCGAAAGACATATACCCCGAAGTCAAACAACCATGTCAAAGGCCCCCAAGGAAAAAACACGAAGAAAATCGCCTTATGATATATTTTGAGAAAATCTCAGAAATCAATGCAACACTCTTCAATCCTTTACGAATTGATGTCTTACTTCACTCAGCTGGCTCCGTGTCAACCTTAAGAATCAGTAGCGAAAGAGGATACAAACCAACATCATCTGCGAAATAAACTGCAACAATTGTGAAAAACACTATATTGGCCAAAGTAGACGACTCCCTCTTCGTTTTCGCATCCATGAACACAAACTAGCCATCATAAGACATGATATCCACTCCTTCATCTCACTGCATATAGGCAACCGTAAACATCAATTCGATTGGGACAATGTTCAAATATTATACACAGGGAATACCAAGAACGTCAGAGAATTTTTTGAAGCCTGGTATTCCACAGAATCAGCACATAAGAAGAAAATGTAATGCACAAAACGTCAAACTTCAGGTTAAGGAAACAATCAATACCATTACAAGTAGACTAGTAGGTGTGAAAACAGATAAAAGTAACCAATCACGTTCAAGGTTGCCAACTGGGAGAGATGACTAAAAGACCCGTGGAGAAACTGAAGTATGCCTTGAAGATGTTGCGTAGTAAGTAAGGCAATGGAAGCTGTACAAGTAAATTAACCAGAGCAACAAAATCATCCACTCGAACTACAAATCTTCTCTATTATATCTAATACTGAAAAAAAATTCCAAGTATACAATAACCAGCTGGTAGGTAGAAATTTCTCTAAAGAAAATTTTACTATTTTGACGACGTAATAATTTGCTTACCAATAGTTTTGATGACAAAACACTTTTTTATTACACCGGATAATGTTTTCAGCATACAACAATATAAACCAATTGTACAGGGATTAGAAGTATTGACTTTTATTCCTATGAGCTTTTCCTTAATTGGTTGAAATTGTTTTGTTCCACTGATATATTTCATCCATGTCTGAGTAGTTCTCATAGTTAGTTGGGCTGCAGTAGTAGTAGTGATATTAGTATTACTACTGTTGTTATGTGGATAATCATTTAGACTAGCTGTACATGTATAAACTGTATGCATCATTTCATTTGACCAAACAATCATACGATTTGGAGTAATTTTTAATTCTGTCATAGCTAAAAACATAAAATTGAGAAAAGAAATAAGTAAGTCAGTTTATTTCTATGTGATTCAAGAGGTTTTCAAGAGTTAGTGTTTGTGTGGATTTGATTTGAGTTTCCAGTTTGATCACGGATTGATAGCAGTTAGAGAATCACCATTGGAAAACCTGTAGAAATAATTAAACAGTCAATACTAGGTAAAGGGACACTGAAAATGAGACTGGAAAGCCAAAATTTATTTCATTCAATGACTTAAACTCTTCCTAATTTTATCATCTTGCGATTCTAGCTTTAACAAACCTATTCCGAAGTGAACTGGCTACCATGTACTTTATATCATTCGATTACGTATTCATCCAATGACTGATATTATTATTATTATTGTTTCCTTTAATTCCTACAGGAACATAGGGCTTCAGCCGTGCATCTCCATTACGTTCGGTTCTCTGCTAGAGTCTTCACCTGGCTCCAAGTCTGCCCACACGTTTTCATCTCCTCTTCACATGACCTCCGCCAAGTCACCCACGCACTGACGACCAACTCGCCGCTTCCCTTTCGGCTTCCACTCGAGCAATGGCTTGTCTAGTGATGTCACTTGATGGTTTCCTCACAGTATGGCCAATCCATCTCCATTTCTTCCTGCCTATTTGTTTCACAATCGGTTCCTGGTTGGTTCGCTCATTGTCAGAGATCTCTGTTGCTGATCTTTTCTGGCCGGTCATCTGATCTTGAGTAGTATTGAGCAAAGACAACTGTTAATGAAGGTTTGGAGTTTGTTTGAGATGCTCTTTATGACGCGCCAAGTCTCTGATCCGTATAGTGGCACTGACTTGTATAATAACAATTAATAATAATGATAGTAAATAATACAGTATAACACTGTGAGACTTCGTCAAATACATTTTTTGAAAAAAACACTGGGTGTGTAATTTTCTCTCCTTGTCTTCATTCAACTTTTTCAGTTATAAAATCAGTTATTTTAAGTTTTTTCCATGCTCCTCCTGATCACACTTGTAATCCGTTTAGAATAACCATTTTACAATTATATTGTAATTTTTGCAATTGCAATTTTTTTGTTTCTATGCCTCTTGTAATCAAAATTCACACACACCTAACTTACATTTCAAGTTGAAAATTTTGATTTTAATTTGTTTCCATGCTCATTTTGTTCACACCTGTAATTCGTTCTATCCGTGCATAACTTTTTTCTCTAAGCCTCTTGTAATTCATTTCAAGTTGAAAATAATTATCACCTTTTATTTGTCTTTAAAATTATTTCTCCAGTTATCAAATTTTAATTTTGCATACATTGTAGCTGTTTTCCAATCCTATGCAATCTTGTCTCTAAGCCCCTTGTAATCTATATTCGTACCTTCAAACTTTCATATCAACTTGGAAATTATTATTTCCCTCCTTAATATGTGGAATTAAATAAATAACAATTTTATCCATGTAAACTAATGTATATAAATGCGATTGTACAGCTGCTATTGAGAATGAAATCGCCGAAAAGATATCTTTGCTAAACTTCTTGTTCTTTTCCTGCTAATGTCACGATGGGTATTTTCCACGATTTCAAAAAAAACACTGAGCTACCTAAACTTTCTATCCATCAAAATGCATCGTTTTTATACTCCATTTCAAATTGTTTTAATCATCTAATTACCACAAAGAGTCGCCATCTACTGCTAGGAGCTATTTTTTGAGGAAATGCAGGAAGAATGTAGTGCCGCCGCAACAGTGGAGTTCATACTTTGGATGGATCAATATTGCCTCAGATGATAAATTCTCAATTATTCTATTATTTGAAGATTCTGCACACAAGAGATGCAAGGAGGAGACAAGGGATTACGAGCAATCGTGGGCTCAACCAGCTGAAAAGAAGATCAGAAAATAGAACAAAGTGGAGATGTGTTGTTGAATCCCTATTTTTCATTCGGAACTCAAGGGGTAAATACCCTGTTATGGAACTCGCTGGAAATTCTGTAGGCATTTTGTAGAATAAAGCTATTATTAGTATTATTATTGGATTACTTCAACGATCTTTGATAATACACTTGTTGAACTTACGTAGAACAGTTATATTCACATATTTTGGCACAATCTCCGTATGATTTGGTACAAAACATTTCGCTGTATATTTACCCACAGATAGTTTTGTGATATTATTAGTAGTATTATTAGTAGTATTGTGATTGTCGCTCAATGAAATCAACCAATTATTATGTACAATGTATGAAAGAGATTTATCCTTATCTTGTGATGTTATCTCCCAGATAGGCGCATAATCAACAACTTGATGAACATCTTTCGGATTGAATAGACAACCAATCTTCCATAATTGATTCACTTCAAAGTAATATTCAGTTTTATTTGGTGTAATTGATAATTTAATGTCATCTGAAATGATGAAGTCAAGTATAAAAACAAAAATAGATACAGAATGAGAGTTTATGATATTAGATAGTTGGAGGCAATCGGCCACAGGAAGCCTTGCTTGAACTAGGTTTCGCGCTAGTTGGCACTCGTCAGCAAGGAACTCATGTCCCTTCTGAGGAGATTCGAACCCACGCCACCCAGTGCTGCAGTCAGAGATGTTACCACTGAGCTATTCGGGCTCGCGATTGACCTCCTGTAGGACTGTAGTGGGTGTTTTGATTGGACACTAGTAACTAGTGTAACGTGTCTAGTCCTTTCAAGGTTGCAGATACGCCTTCCTGACAAGTGCCAACTAAAACGGAATCTAGGTCTAGGCAAGGCTTCCGGCCGATTGCCTCCAACTATCCAATATCATCAAATCAATGTGCACCGTGATGACGAGCTACCTAGAATGGTGGCCACATTACAAACCTCACTTATAGAACTCAGTCTGCACCAAGAAAAGGACCAGACACATCACACTAGTTACTGGTGTCCAATCAAAACAGAATGAGAGTTTTAATAGTAGAAATATAACTTAGATTTCTTCGGTTCATAATGAGAAATAGATGGAGTCTCTTCACTGAACTGTTGTCACCCTGGATATTAGACAAATAGTAACTGATACTTGTTGGACAAGTGACCTAGTTACCTAATGAATAAGACCCTTGGCGTATGATATAAATAGGTGCTGAATTTGAGTCGTAGTGGAAACACCACCACCGTCAATTGTGAATGCATATACATTCAGATGACGAGTCTCACACACGGAAGAATTCCCATCTTGAATTCCATGGTTATCAACTGCAAAAACAAATAATATCTTGCTAGCTTTCAAACACTGTCAAAACGTCCATATCAGTAGCCTACACTGTCAAAAAAGGTTAGATAAATCAAGGAATGTGAAATGCAAATAAAATCTTGACATCACCTTCATACCATGTGACGATGAAAGTCATACATCTCATCAAATTCAAATATTCAGTGATGCACAGGAGAATATTAACTTCATAGTGGCACATAAAATTGATGGAAAGTTTCATTTCCTAGATATGGCCATACAAAGCTTGGAAGATTGAAGTTTACAAAGAACCATTCACCGAAAGTTCATGTGGAATGAGCTATACTTACATTTCAATAGTTTTTGTACAATTGGTTATAAAAGAGAATTGGTGAAAACTCAGTTTCACAGGGCCAGAAGAATATTGTCTATAGAAATTCTAGAAGAAGAACGCCTAAACGTTCAGAAAGTTTCAAAAAATAATGGTTACCCTTCGAAATTCTTCAAAAAGTATAAAGGATTTGAAACTCCAAATGTGAAACAAACCACAGTAAATTAGAAAACCATCTCCATCCAACTGAATTTTAAAGGCGATAATAATACAGGAATAATCAACAGAACATTGGAAACCTCTCCAACTGGAACCTATCCTGAAGCCAAATTGGTTCCCGTCTATCGATCAGCAGCAGTTACATTGAAAGAACAGGAGGAAGGTCATATCTCAGATTCTTTGAACAGTCTTTTTGCCAGACCTCTTGTTGATACGGGACATGGCATGGACACTGTGAAATTTTTTGAGATTATTACTCTACAGTACCACTTAACTCTCCTCAAATCTTCCGAAACAATCATTATAAAACGTTTAAAATCTGACTCATGTGTTCAGCAAGATCCCATTTTTGGTCTTTTGTTACTTTGGTAACCCGATGTATAATCTCTTTGTCTCAATTGATTACATTACATTTTGCTTTTAGCCCCTCCCCACCCATTTTCTTGCTTTGGTGGAATTCAGTTCTTTTTTGTTACTATGACCTGATATCGCCATGCAACGCCTAGACGATGGTAGTCTCCAGAGGTCAATTTACCGAAAGCCTGCATACACGGAATGGAGAATACCTACATTTTAATAGTTTTGCCGAAATAGCTTCAAACGAGCACTAGTCAAGACTCTGTGCTATAAAGCGAGGAGAATATGTTCAACAGAGAAATTAGAAAACAGAGATCCATTAACAAATATCGAAGATGTCAAGGCTCAAATATCAAACAAATCACAGTATGAAAAACGCCTGTCTTTATTCAACTCGATTTTAAACATGAAAATATTGTAGCGATGGTCAACAGAAGATTGAGTACGTCACTAGACAGAGCCTATCCTGCAGCAAGGTGAGTTGGTTCTCGTCTATCAGCCAACATGCTCTTTGGTCCAGTCAAAAGTCGACAAATACCCTCCTCATGTTAACTCCATCTGTGTATACAAATTTACGTGTATCTGAAGGAGCAGTTACATTACAAGAACAGAAAAATGGGCACACCTCCGATTTTCTGGATATGGACCGAAAAGCCTATCATCAACTTCTCTCTTTTTTTTCTCGATTGTGCAACTCAACAGCTATTAATTTTGCATGTTTGTATTTTGCTTGAACTTTGACCTCCTTCATAAGTTGTTATGCGAGTGAAACTTCTGAACACTGTATATTAACCTATGTGTCTCTATTAACAAAACTCTTGTTGATCCTTGCAAGTATGACAAAATTCTGTGTACATTTACATAATCAACTTTTAGGTTGTAAGCAGATGAAGAGAGCCCGACGACGAAATAAATGATGACCTCATATTATTATTCTGCACAAACATTTGTTGCTTTTGCTTTGTTTAGATTCATAAAGGGGGAATAAATGCATGAAGTTACTTGCAAAAATGGCTTGATTTTCATTTACTGACATTGTCAGTAATATTGTCAGCGGGCACTGTGATATACATGCTTCCGTGAAAGAATGTGTTTAGATAAAAAGAGACGCATATTACCAATATGGGATCAAGCATAAACTGGCTATTAACTCAAAGTGTTGCATTTGCTGTTCACATACTAAACAGAAGTTAACAAGAATGAAGATAAAGAAAACACATGGAGGACTTACTTTTTATTAAAATGTGAATAAATCTGCTGTACCTCGATAGATTTTTCGCCACATAACCTATATTCTCTAACCATTTAGTATACATTTAAATTTTGATAGTATTAGAGACTCTCTATAGTTGGTTTGTAAGGGTTAGATTTGTTCATATGAGTTGATCACGGATTGATATCACCTAGAGAACCGTTGAAAATAAGCCTCAGGGAGTACTGGATATCGACAGTACGCACCTACTGGGGTTCGAACCCAGGACCTTCCGATTACAAAGAAAGGTAGCTGGTATACCATTCAGCCACTGGGACCCAATTCAGTGGCCAGTCCATGAATTCTAACTTCTACGAATTCATGATTTAGCGCGACCACCGACCAGTGTCATCAGTGGGACATCCATCCTCACACGTGACATCTGGATAGACCTCACTGGTTAGGATTTCCTTTTTAGCATTGTTTTGTCAATGCGACTAAAACTGATGATTTACAGAGATCTGATTTGTTTTCAAGTTCGATGACGAACTGATATCAGTTAGAGAATCACTGAAGATCAGTGAGTACTGGAAAGCTGTTTCATCAGCCTAGTTTGGGACTCATCACCAGTACACAACCACAGCCTGTGAATTCCAACTTCTACCAATTCACAACGTAGCCCGACTGGCACTAGCCAATGTCATGGCTGGCGAGTATTTGTCCTCACACCCGACCTTCTGTACCCTACTGGTCATGACTTCCCACTAGAACCCAGCTAAATTATTTCTAATGAAAGAGGAACTATCTTCACTTACTTAAGACATCCTACTTATTACATTCACAAGTAACAAAACAGAAAACTTGACGAATCGGAATTATTCACTTACTAACAATAATTCCATAGACTATTTTAGAAATATTAAATGTAGAATGAATTGTCATTGAACATTGCATTCGTGTAATTTTATTCAATGGCCAAACACCAACAGCAGAATTGCCTTTCATAGTAAATTGATATGCTTCACCATCCAAATAGCTCATTTTGATGTCTATTCCATCATGTGTACTAAGATTTCTAGACTGACAGTGAATTATAGCTGATTGCATATTTTTAGCATAGAATAAATTTTTCTCTTTTACTTCAATGCTGTATAAATCTGTAAAAGCAGCATATATGATGATAATTAAGTTAGCAGTGCATCCATAAAAGTTGTCGTTTATGTAGGGGGCAAGAAAAGATCATACTAGTACAAGTGTAACGGCATAAGATCAGAGAACAACTTGCTCTTTGGTGCAATCAAAAATTGACGGATCTCCTTCTCATCTTAACTATAACTGTATGTTCAAATTTACATGTACCTGCGGGAGCATTTACATCGGAAGAATAGAAAGAAGGGCATATCTATAATTTTCTGAACATGTACGAAAAAGCCTATGTCTGAGGGGAACAAATGGTTTGAAGAGTGCCATCACCAAGAATTTCCTTGACACAGATCGTGAGGTGGACGTGGCGAGATCGTCCAAAATTATCAGTAGGCAAAATAATTCAATTCTCTTCAAGTTTGCTGAAGCCATCTTCACCAAGCGCCTGAAACCTGATTCATGCGTTCAAAAAGATGCAGTTATCAGTCTTTCTTTGACCTGGTAACTGGATATTTTTATGTCTCTTCCATCTGATTACGTAATGTTAAAAGTTTCCATTGTATATGATAATTATTGTTCGGAATAGTGTTTAATATTATATATACATATGTATGTATATATAATTACTGTATTCATATACTGATTGATTGATTGTTGTTTAAAATGAACACTGTACAAGTGTGTTAAAATTTTTTCTATAGATATACTGAATAATGACTGTGGCCTGTAAGCAGCTGATTAGAAGGCAACGGAATAACCGATGATGGTACCATTTTAATCTGCAATAACTGTAGCTCTTGCTAATGCACCTTTATCAGAAGAAACACATGATATTGGAATCCGAATGGGAAACGACAAGTGGGTCGTCCGATGGTGACACTGAGGTGATCTTGTGAAGAGATGAGAGACTGTGGGCAGTCTTGAGACCAGCTAAAGAGGACAGAAGAAAATAGAACAAAGTGGAAACGCGCTATTGAAACCCTGTGTTCCACTCAGAACCCATGGGAACAATAATATAAGTAATAATACATCATATTGTACGCTGTTGGCACAGCGGTAGAGTGCTCACCGACCACATATATGGTTCGAAGTTCGATGCAAGCCCGATGCACTACAAAACCTTGCTAAGCCAGTAATATGACTGGTAAAGAGGGAAGGTTAGGTATGTAACTAGCAACCCTATCCCGTAAAAATAAACACTGAAACTTCAAGCCTCTAGCTTATAGCCTTATGTTCCACTGAGAATGTAAAGGAATAAAAACAAAAAAAACAATACACCATATTGATGCATTTTAGCCACATTAAAATTCGGCCAATAGATTATCCTGACCGGTCGATGATTGGCTCAAGATTAAAAAACGAGACTCAACTATGTCCAACGAGGTTACTTCATGTCCACTTCGTAAATTAGATCCAAATTTCAGGAACAGGCATTTCCACATCTGCAAACATTGACTTAAAGTGTTGATTTCAGTTTTGTCCACTTTCTATCAATCAGTATCTATATACTACTTATAAATCGTGTCAGTAACACATGTCACACTACTATAGGAGTTAATTTAGCAATCTCAACCACTAGTTTAGCGACTATAAAAAGTAAGTCAGCTTGATATTATTTGACCAATGGTGACTAGCAGTGGAATCTAGGATGACAATTCCGTCTTATGTGTGACTTAAGTGTGCGTGCGTGTGTGTGTTCTATGTCTAATCCTCAGTGTTGGTATTGACTGAAATCGACCACTTAAATTGACATGGGGTGGCCAGGTGAAGTGACTCACCATCGTATTGCACTTCGAATTGATGTTAGGCCAGTGAGCACGAAGCCTACAGTTCAAGACGTTCTATCGATTGCTTCTAATCATCTAACACACTTTATGTTAACCTATACTTAATTTCACAAAAATATCATAAATTTATTCAGTGATTATGTAATATTAATTAATTTATGAAGGTAATCCAACTTCATTGACTCCATAGTTATTCTGAAAGACGAAAATCAAGTCTACGTTATTACTAAATCATAACTGAAACCTCATGTGAAGTGTTGGACAGATGTATCAACTGAGGATACCAGATGTAGAATTTCATCACTTTAAACTGTCATGTTCCATACTATTGCAAAAACATCTAGTGAGTGGTGTATCAGAATATTATTCGAGATTATCATTCTGAATTCCGCATTAAGTGATTTGATTGGATCGAAATATTAAGTTTCACGATTTCGCTTCACTGACTCAGAGGGTCATTGGTTGACGTGTCGGTGTTTGAAGCCAAGAGTGCTGAGTCCGGCTGGGTATAAAACCAATTGCTAAGGATGCAACTGCATTCTGTTGTTGAGTTCTAATTAGGACGAAGCTCGCAACAACGACCCAACTATAAGCCATCATCAGTCAAATAGATTCAGATTGGAAAGCATATGTATCAGTGCGAAGTGAACACTTGACATACTTGAAATTGAATCGTTTGTTTATTCCAACTGGTCACCATTCGGCAGGAGACAAAAGGCTAGCATTGCTTAGTCGTATACTGGTTGGCAGACGATTTGATAAATACCATCAGAAGTATTATTGTACATTATACTGACGTTTATATACAAACTTTGTTGACAGTAAATTGTTATTCTGGGCAAAGTTAAACTTTAAGCACCACTAACTACCACCAATCAGCAAATGACCTCGAACGCACCAATCACATGAAGGAGGCATTTTTGTGTATGGAATATATATATTTATGAAATAATGCATAAAAACTGTAGAAAAGTGTTACAGAGGATACCTTGCTCTTACATGTGATAAAAATAGCTCTCAGTTTTAGGTTGGAGTTTCAACAGAGCATAATTCCGTTGTGGGTAAAATTTGTTTTGATAAAGTCTCTTAGTGTAATACAGTAATACTTCCTGAGCAATAGATTATGCTCAAAATATCATCAGTAAATATTACTGTGTAACACTGTGAGACTTTATCAGAATTGTGGTGAGAGCTGTCTACTAGCCAATTGGTTGACAGTAATTGAGGTTAGTGTTTATGTATCAAATATTAGTCATGTTGTGGTGAGAGATGGTTGCTAGCCAAATTGGTTGACAGTAATTGAGGTCAAAGGTCAAGATGGACAGGCGGATACAGTTAACATATAGATGAACTGACACAGCCACAAGAGATGCAAGGTTAGCTTTGTGTGAGAAACAACCAATCAACAGACCGTATTTTCTACTAACATTAACCTACAATAATGTACATCAAAATCTATAAATACGTGTTGACTTTCCGTAATAAACGTTCTGTTGCCTGGCCCTTGTCTTCTGTCGTTACAGAATAAGTGTTAAACACCACCACTGTGCACAGGTTCTATTCTTATATCAACAAAGTAATTTAACCACGTTCTATGCATATAATCTAACTCGAGCCAACCCTAATGCCGCCTTTATTAGGTTAATCTAACCCTAACTTGTCCTTGGCCTAAAAGCTAACTTAATCTTTCCCAAATCGTAGCTGAAACTTGCCTGATATTCCATTTAATAGCATAACACTTCGATGAGCATATTTTATTGATGATGACAACATTATTTGCCAGGTTTCACTAACTTGCTCAGTGAGCGTTTCAAGGTCATTGATGTGGTCGCACTCCATTGGTAGTTAGTGGTGCTTAAAGTTTAACTTGGCCTATGGGTGGAAGAATAAACAATCGTATTACCCTACCGTTTTCTGTTATTCCGCTTCGGTTACCTTATGCATAGTTTTCTGCACGTTACACATAGTCTTCTGAAGCCAATGATAGATTCAGGATCTTTGAGATCTGGACAGTTAACAGTATTATTATTATTGTATCCTTTAATTCCTACAGGAACATAGGGCTTCAGCCGTGCGTCTCCATTGCGTTCGGTTCTCTGCTAGAGTCTTCACCTGGCTCCATGTCTTCCCACACGTCTTCATCTCCTCTTCACATAACCTCCTCCAAGTCACCCTTGGACGACCAACTCGCCGCTTCCCTTTTGGGTTCCACTCAAGGGCTTGTCTAGTGATGTCACTTAATGGTTTCCTGAGACAATTAACAGTAGTAAATAAAAACATTTAAACTTTTGTCCCGAAAGATCCTTGTACTCACCTTCAACTTTAATCGTTTTATAGGCATACATTAATGATTCTGTCTTATTCACAGTGCATAATAAAGCATACTGACCAATACTGAAAAAGCTGATTTTAATTTGATTTGAATGAATTCTCTTGACAATCAACTCTTTCTCACTTATAACTAATGGACTATAGAAGTATGATAATTTATAAATATTAATTGTTAAATGAAGATTGTTTTGAATGCTGGTAGAAGTGTTACTATTAATACTGTTATTATTATTATTATTGTTAATAGTGTTACCATTGGAACACTGAAAATTGACATCTGAACTACCCAATGGAATGATATCATAATTTGGTTCAATGATCAATGTGTTCATTAAATCTGAATTAATAGAGTACAAAAAAATGAAAACATTTAATATTCAGGTGCTGGTTTTGCAGGGATTTGATTTGATTGGTTACAGGATTTCATCATGAACTGACATCAGTCAGAGAACCATTGGAAAACCTAGGAGTACTGGAGAGCTGTTTCATCAGACTAGTTTGGAACTCTTCATCAGTACGCACCCACTCCACTACCAGGGTCCAAACCCAGGACCCTACGGTTTCAAAGCCATATTCAGCTAGGTAGTAGTTACCTGGGTTCTAGTGGGAAGTTCTTACCAGTGGGTCAGGCGTGAGGACAAATACTCACTAGCAATGATACCGGCTGGAAGTTAGAATTCATGGGCTGGCCATTGAATCGGGTCTCATTGGCTGAATGGTCAACGAGCTAGACTCATAACCAGAAGGTCCTGAGTTCGACCTCTGACGGTGGATGCACACTGATGCAGAGTCCGGGGCTGAGACGAAACAGCTTCCCCGTATTCCCAGGTTTCTCAGTGATTCTCTCACCGATGTTAGCTAATGATGAAATCTGAGGAACATTTAAAATTAAAAATAAATTTTTCTACTGAACTTTTTTATAAACATAATGAATATTGAACTAGAAGGAAGTAGAATTGTCAAGTAATATTCAACCTAGTTGTCATTAATCTTACGGATATTTGCTAATCATAATTTCACTAGATATCTTTGTAGTATATAATAATTATCACAAAGTAAACATAGAGAACATGTTGGTGAAAGCAATGAAAAAGTTTGGGGATTTTCAAATATTTTTGACTTGTTTACCTTAACCTGAAGCAATTTATTCCAAAGAAACAATGGAAAACGAGGAGTGAGGCAAGATTATTTGTCCCTAACATAGAACATTTCATAAATGTTCACTCATTCATAAATGAATGGCAACAAGCTAACATCATTACAAAACTAGTTTGCGCTGAATATCTTACGGAGATCTAGTCTGTTTAGATTAAAATAACGAAGAGAGAAGAAGAAGAATATCAGTGGTCCAATTTTCCAGCATCTTCCCAACTGTGATCTACAGAGTTACTCAGTACTGTGCAAAAGGACTACGAATATTTCACTCAAACATTCGGGACTTTAAGTGTTGTCTTTGTATTCAAAAGCATTGTTTGGTGTTTAGTTTTATTATAATTATTATTGTTATCATTTTATTTTCATCAATAACTTTGTAACGACAAAAGACAAGGGCCAGGCAACAGATCGTTTAAGATATCAACAGATATTAAAAGATTTCTATGTACATTACTATTAGCGCTATTATTGGCAGAGAAGCGACGACTTCTGATTGGTTGTTATTCTGTACTGCTTGTGACCGTTTCTCAGAAAGTTAAGCCATATATCTGCGAATCCTACTTGCACACATTAAGTCTGCTGTGATTGGTTGTTGAGTTGCTCAAGGTTAAGCTTTGTTATTGTTTTTTCTCATGGCCCCAATTTGGAACGTAACATTGACGTTTTGGCTTGCAGACAGCTCTCACCACAGCTTTACGTTTCTTATACAGACTTTGATTTAAAGACTTTTGTACGTAGTCTTTTGGTAACCTCTGCTGTGATGAACAAACTTCTATTTATTTTCTACATTCAAATTGATTTGACTATTTTTGTAATTTCATTTTTATCTCTTATTTATTTTATTCCTTTACATTCCCAGTAACGCACAGGGCTTCAAGGTAGAGCACTGAAGTTTCGGCAGTAGTGGTTTTATTTTTATGAAGTGTGGTCGCTAGCCTCACGCCCAGTCCTCCCTCTTTACCGGCATAGGGTGGTTTAGTAGTGTGTCCGCCGGCCACATGAGGCGTTTTTGGCCAGCGCTTTTATCACTGAACCGCTAATTCACGACTATTTGTAAACTTATTACTAAGTAGTGAATTCTCTAAGCTAACGTTTGCATGTGCATTCCCTCCTAGATTATTCCTCAAATTCCGTGAATATTCTATTTGGAATATATTGCGACTGCATAGCTTCTGAAAATTATACATAGGAAAAAAGTCTCCTTAATATTATATTTGCATTATTGAAGTTAAAGATTAATTATGTGGTGAGAGCTGTCTGCTAGCCAAAAGTGATAGACAGCAATTTACGCCAATGTTTACGTCCGAAATCTTGGTCATTAGAAAAAAACAAGAACAAAGACTAACTCAATAACCAATCACAGCAGACCTAGCGTGGGTGGATATGGTTAGCAGATATATCACTGGACTGTCTAAGAAACGGCAACAAAGAGACGACAGAATAACCTTCAGCAGGAAAATAGCCAATCAGAAGACGTTGCTTCTCTGCTAACAATAACGAATAATAATAATGATCAAGTGTTGGTTTGTAGGGATTTGATTGGTATCAGGATTTCGTCATGAGCTGACATTAGTAAGAGAACCATTGGAAAACCTGGGAGTACTGGACAGCTGTTCTGTCCTAGTTTGAGACTCTTCAGCAGTACACACTCACCAACAGGGTTCAAGCCCAGGACCTTCTGGTTACGAGGCGAGCTCATATACCATTAAGCCACTGGGACCCGATCCAATGGCCAGTCCATGAATTCTAACTTCTGCCAATTCATGACATAGCGCAACCGCTAGCCAATGTCTTCGGCGAGTATTTGTCCTCATAATAATAATAATAATAATAATAATAATAATAATGTAAATAATAATGTACATAAAAACCTATAAATATCTGTTGATTTTCTCAATAAACGATCTGTTGTCTGGTCTTTGTCTTCTGTTGTTACAATTATACAAGATCTGTGCTAACTGATTTCAGTACAAACTTGAAAGAAATAGGTAGAATTAAATTTTAATCATTTACAACATCAGATTACAATTCACCACAGATTTCATTTGGAGCCAAACGTACCCAGATCACAATCAATATATCGTGTGCTCAATAGCATAAATGGCAGTCAAGAAAGTAGGCACAATTTCATGATGGTATATACTATTTATTGATGTATTTGACTCAAAGACTTATAGGCGAAAACTAACAAAATGGCTGAAGAAGCAGTGTAGCGGAGATAAGACTCCAGGTGAACATAAAGAAGACGGAGGAAATGAAGATAACTAATCAGCTGCAACAACAACCAGCACCAGTCACCATCAACGGGAGAAATTTGAAAGAGGTTGCTTCCTTCACTAACCTAGGAAACATTGTTTCAACTACAAGCAGTCGGCATGGATGAGGAAGTCAAAGCCAGAAGCGGAAAGGCAAGGCAGAACTTAATCACTCTGAAATCAGTTTGGGAATCTTGTTTACTCCACTTGATATGAATCAGCTCATCATATGATTCATCGTGTGACCGGATGACTGTAAAATTTCATCATCTTTTTCTCACTTCAGTTCCGTTCAAATCGCCAAACAGTGAGAATATTTATTTTTCGCCTACCCTAGCTGAATCGCCTATCAATTGGAACAATCTATTTCTACTGCTTTGACATGGTAAAAAGAATATATATGTATATGACGTGTTTCTCGTAATAAAATCGTTTCCTAACAGTCACAGGCACAATCCCTGTCTTTTGAAATTCACGTAAGTCAGTGGAGCACAAGGTACCACGGATGAATAGGTGTATTTAGCAAATCAGTTGAAGTTTTCGTTGCGTCAGTATTATTATACCCACGCTTAAGTTCGCTCGGTTATGTCAGTTGGCAACAGGTCCATAACATACACACGTCAGAATAAACAATAAAATTAGGGTTTTCAAAACTAATGTTAGACCAGTCAGTTCTCCTGTATGGGTCAGAAACTTGGCTATCGCATCAAGAAAAGCATTTCTAACAAGCTACTGCAGGCTTTTATCAACAACCGTCTTCGCTGGTTCCATATTGAAGATCAAATGGCCGGCTAGAAATAATTAGCAACAAGAATCTTTAGCAGTGAACGAACCAACCAAGAACCTATTTCTCAACAAATATGCAGAAAAAGGCACAAACAGCGAAGAAAATTTTCTTTTCGTCGAAAAGAAAATTTTCTTCGCTGTTTGTGCCTTTTTCTTATGACTCAATATGGAAATATGCAGAAGTGGAGGTGAACCAGATTCATGGCACTGAGGAGATCATCGAATAATACTTGGTTCAAAGCTAGCCCTTCTGTGGGACTTAAATGGCGAGCGAAGAGGTGTGTGTTTCAGATTGGCATAGAGGAGACAGTGCAATTAGGGGATGAGAGACTACCGGCAATCGTGGGCTTAGCTAAAGACGAAATCAGAAAATACGACGAAGTGGAGATGTTTTGCTGAACAATAATAACAATAATAATTGATATGTTTGACTGTAAGCCACTCAAGTGAATATTAGCTTGATCGAAGGGATCTAAATACCAGACTGCTGGGTACCTAGTTTGACCTAGCTCACACAGCTGAATCAATTCAAACCACATAATCTAAGTAGCAGAGATTACTGTTTGATGAGAATAGTTTCCAACTACTTATTTCGGTTAGTAGTATATACACATCATACCGAAAAATATACGCCAAAGAAAGGCAGGAAAGTCTTCTTTTTCCTTAACCGATGAATACAAAATCACACATGGAATAGAAAGCATTATAAGTACACACAAATGAGCAGACAATGAAAGAAACGAATATATTTATCTCTTTACCAGAATAAGAATAATCAATTCTCCAGTATTTAGTTGTTTGAAATAATCCTGTACTAATTGTACATTGATAGATAAATTCGCCTTGTATATCATTATCAATATTAAGTTGTAATAATGCCCCAGAAATGTAGAAGATTTCCTCTTCTCCTTTAATTAGCTGAATAGCAATTGTTTTATTTAATAAATAGTTTTCATTGGGTGTATAACATTTGTATAACTTTGGTTCATTTTCAATTGGTATAAACTGGGGTTGTTGAGGATAACCTAAAGAAATTGAATAAACAAATAATATTCAAATGTAAATTATTATATGTGAATAAATCTCAGAGAAATTGAAATAATTAATTCCAACGTTTCGTTTCGTGAAAACTGATCCGAACTTCATCGGAGAGATATTGACTCATTAAGACATGAGACAGAGATAGTACGGCGACCTCCATTATGGATAAGATTTTATTTTGATAAATCATACAGTGTTATACAGTAATATTAACTGATGACCACGTTTCGAGCACAAGCTATTGCCACTCATAATCATATCAAGGCATTACTCACACAACTTTTTCTTTCATTTATATCCCATATTGATTTTTATTCAAATATGTAGTCAATTCCACACATGCATAATGTACATTAGCTAAGGTAAGAATGGTTTACCCCGCAAAGATGAGCAATTAAGAAAAAAGCTCAGCAATTGCACTACATGAAATAACACACAACCACACAATAGGGTGGGATAGGGTTAAAATTCTAAAAAGTAATCTATGTAGGTGGAGAGCGAGAGAGGTTGATTACTGAATCCTACCTGGTTCATTGAGTCTACACCCAACACAACACATGCAACAGAAATGACTCAATGCAAATATCAGAAATATGGAAGATATTATTACCACCAGTCAGTCAAATCAGAGGAGGATAATAAATAAAAGAATTAGTTCGTTCACAAGATGTTTGTAGCATAGAGGGTACTGATATATATATAGAGAATAAGTCAAACACAAAATACCTTGGTGTAGTTTTTTTCCTCTGACCTTTCTTGGTCAGTCATCCCATATGTTGACGATTTCTAAGAAAATGTCCCGTCTAACCACCTTCTACATTAGGAAGTTGAGATTATTATATTATTATTGTTCCCTTGGGTTCCTAGTGGAACATAGGGCTTCAACTGCACATATCCACTTGCTTCTGTCTTGTGCTGTACTTTTCACTTGTATCCATGTTAGTCCATACTGTTTCAGTTCCTCATCACACGATCTCCTCCATGTCACCCTTACACGTCCCACTCGCCGCTTTCCTTTCGGGTTTCACTCGAGTGATTGTCTGACGCGCGATGTCACCCAGCGGCCTCCTCAGCGAGTGTCCAATCCATCTCCACTTTCTCCTGCATATTTCTTGAGCGATTGGTTCCTGTTTTGTTTCTTCCCATAGCTTCTTGTTTGTGATTCTTTCCGGTCATCTAATCTTCAGTATAGAGCGAAGACAGTTGTTGATAAAGGTCTGCAACAGGCTGTTGGAAATATTCTTTGTGATCCGCCAAGTTTCTGATCCGTATAGCAAAACTGACTTGACGTTTGTATTGAAAATCCGAATTCTGTTGTTGATGATGGTGAGTGACGAAGATTTCCAGATTGGTTTCAGGTTGATGAATGTGTTTCTCACCTTCCCGATTCTCGATTTGACATCCTCGTTCGTTCCTCCTGTAGTTGAGACAATGCTCCCTAGATAAGTGAATGAAGTAACCTCTTTCAAATCCCTCCCGTTGATGGTGATTGGCGCTGGATGTTGCTGTTGTTGTTGTTGTCGTTATTTGGTTATTTTAATAACCTCCGTCTTGTCTATGTTCACCTGGAGTCCTGTCTTCTCTGGCTGCTTCTTCGACCAGTTTATCGGTTTCCGCTTGTGAGTCTTCGATCTTGTGTGACATCAAACATAAGTCATCCGCGAAATCCAGGTCTTCTAGGTTCTTCACTTCGGTCCAGGATATCCCTGTCTTCTCGTTTCCCACTGTCTGACGCATAATCCAGTCCACCACAATTAGGAATATCATTGGTGATAATAAGCACCCTTGTCTCACTCCTGTGTTTACTCCAAACGCCTCGCTGAGTTTTCCGTTGTGGATCACTTGACATGTGTCGTTGTCGTACAGCTGTTGAATAAGGTTGATGAATATTTGGGGTACGCCGTAGTACTCAAGTAATTTCCAAATTACTTCGCAGTCAACGCTGTCGAAGGCCTTCTCAAAGTCTATAAAGCTGAGGCAGAGATTTGATTGCCATTCCATGCTTTGTTCGATGATGATGCTTAGAGTTGCAATTTGGTCAGAACATGATTTGCCTTTCCTGAATCCAGCTTGTTCTGGTCGGAATTCTGTATCCAGTGCGTCCTTGATTCTCTCCAGGATGATGCGACTCAGGATTTTACTTGGCGTCGACAGGAGCATGATTCCTCGCCAGTTCTTGCAGAGTCCTAGGTCGCCTTTCTTTGGTAGTTTCACTAGATAACCTTTCCTCCAGTCAGTAGGCACCTTTCCCTCTTTCCAGATCTTTTGCAATAACGGAGTGAGCATATCTGCTGTTGTTTCTGGGTCCGCTTTCAGTGCTTCGGGGGGTATTCCATCTGGTCCAGCTGCTTTTCCAGCTTTCAGAAGCTTGATTGCATTCAAGACCTCAGCTTTCGTTGGAGGATTGGTGTCAACTTGCAGTTGTGTACGTGCTGTTGTTGGTATTTCTGGACGGGTTGTAGGTGGTGGTCAATTCAAGAGTCCTTTGAAGTGGTCCGCCCATTGTTTAATCTGTCTTTCTTCTTTGGTAATTGGGTTCCCTTGGCTGTCTTTTATAGGTTTCACTTGTGTTGATCTCTTCCCGGATAGAGACTTGGTTATCTGATATAGTGTCCTCAGGTCCCTTTTGCCTGCTGCCTTCTCAGCTTCAGTAGCCAGGTTGTCGTAGAATTGTCTTTTGTCCTTCCTGGCACTCTTCTTCACTTCTTTGTCCATTGCTGTGTAAGTTGAGTTCAGCGTCTCTTTCTCTTGTCCATCTTTGCATTGAATCATTTTCTCTTTCACTTTTCTCCTCTCCTCTATTAGTTTCCAAGTGTCTGTTGAGAGCCATTCCTTGTCTTGTTTCTTCTTTCTTCCTAAAACCTTTGAACACGTTTCGTTGAAAATTACCTTCAGAGAGTTCCAATGGTCTTCCACGGATGATTCCTCAGTGGTGCCACGTAGTGTTTCCTGCTTTGCTCTAACAGTTGCAGTGAAAATGTCCTGTGTGATTGTGTCCTTCAGTTTTTGCGTGTTGAACTTGCATTGTGGCCTATCCCCAGGTATCCTCGAGGCTTTTAGCTTCAGCTTGAAAGTCCCTTGTACTAGATAGTGGTCTGAACCCACATCTGCTCCTCTCCTCGAACTTGTGTCCAGTAGGCTCCGTCTCCACTTCCTTGAGATTGAAATAAAGTCTATCTGGTTTTTGGTGTGTCCATCTGGTGAAATCCATGTTGCCTTGTGTATATCCCTGTGTTTGAACACACTGCCACCAATCACCAAATCATTGAAGGCGCAGAAGTCTGAGAAGAGTTCACCATTTTCGTTCATTTCACTGAGGGCCTCACGACCCATGGTGAGTTCTCTTCCTGTATTGTCTCCTCCCAGTTTCGCATTCATGTCACCCATCAGGATTTTGATATCGCTCTTTGGGACGTTGTCCATTACTGTTTGTAGTTGTCTGAAGAAGGCCTCCTTCTTCTCTTGTTCTGAGACGTTTGTAGGCGCGTAGCATTTAATGATTGTAACCTTTTTTCCTTTTGATTTGAACCTAGCTGTCATTATCCTGGAGGAAATTGGTTCCCACTGCATGAGAGCTTTGCCTGCTGTTGGTGACATCATGATGGCTACTTCCTCGGTGTGCTCGTGATTGTCCTCTGGGTGACCGGAGTAGATTATTGTCTCTCCAGTTGGTAGTTGGCACCTTCCGCATCCGTTCCATCTGCTCTCGCAGATTCCCAACACTTCTATTTTATATCTCCTCATTTCTGCGGCTACCTGAGCAGCCTTCCCAGCTTCGTACATTGTACGAATATTCCACGTCTCCATCCTTATTTTTGCTTTCATCGAAAGAAGGCACATCGGCTGACTGGCTTACCGAAGGCTTTCACCAGCCTGCGTCATTTCACTTCCCCGATTCCAGCGAAAAGTAAGGTTATTGTTTGTATTTTTAGAATTTTGAATATATTTGTGCGTTGAAGTTTTAGTAGCAATTTGGTTAAGTTTTGGGGGTGGAGTTGCTAGCACCACGCCCCAACCCTCCCTCTTTATCCGGGCTTGAGACCGGCTAGAATACTTGTGACCTAGTAATCTAGGCGAGGAAGTTAAGATAATCCGGAATAATTCAACCACTACTTTAACAATTCGTTAACTCCTGCATCTTACCTATTAAACTTTACTGATCCCCCCCCTTATTCTTTCCTGAACTATTTCATATTGTGAAGGGTATTGAAGGTTTTCAGGACGACAAGTGGTATGCTACTAAGTCAGCTTGTCACTATTGTAATCCACAGACACCTGAACCCATGTGAGAAATGTCCCGAATCGATATTGTCTGACTCCCAACACATCACCCTCTCCATTCACAACTCTGCCTCCTCGCTTGCATCTCATCATCAGGTAGGACTACAAGTCATTATGAAAGACGACATGCTTGTACAACCAAGTACAGAAACTCCATCATACCCTGATTGGTCCACCCGTGCTCTGTATGACAGAGATAATGTTTAAGCATAAAACCTACGAATTACTATGTCATTAGTAAAATAAGTGGCTCCTTTATTCTTTCCTATTTGTAATCTATAGCGACATTATTTCAATTATCATCTTATGATTTTAGGTATTAGCATTATTATTTTCATCATTATTATTTTACACCTTTGGTACATTTTGGACTTTAGTGTCACTGCAAATACCAGGTTCAAAGCTTACTGTTGATTACCTCCAACCACCAAGTATTACCAATTAAGAGTTCACCGTGATAGCAAGCCACTTAGTTTGGTGAACACATTGCAAATTTCACTGGTACAATTCAGTCTGTACCATACAAGGGATTAGATACATTACACTAGTTACTAGCTACAGTCCAGTCAAAGGAATACGAATTACTACATATTATTATTACCCTCCTCCTGGGTTCTGAGTAAAACATCGGGTTTCAGTAACATATCTCCACTTTATCCTATTTTCTGTGGTCCTGTTTTATTGGACGAATAATTGCTCGTAGTCTCCCATCTCCTCCTCCTTCTCCTCAAAAGATCTCCTTCATACCACTTTCGGACCGACGCCCAACTTGTCATTTCCCGTTCGGGTTCCAATCGAGCGATATCATTCAACAGTCTTCTTATTGTATCCCAATCCTTCCCTATTAGATTGTTCATTAGGTATATCACACAGTGAAACAGTATTATTTACTGGATGACAAGGTTTCGAACAAAATTTATTACCGTTCATAATCATATCAATTATAATCACACGACTTTGAAACTTGAGTTTTATGGTTTTCTTTGTTCTCTTCTATTTGTCGTGGGGGCAGTAGAATTTTCCAGATATCTGGGACAGGTGTTGAATCATTCCTATTACATGTATTCTCCTCAGTTTATTCGATAAACAAAGCTTCTGTTATCAATCTCTCCCTCCACCCTGTGACATTAGATTTTAAAACGGTCATCCTATCCCATCCTATTGTATGGTTCTGTGTAACTGCATGTAGTGCTATAGCTGAACTATTCTCCAGATTTCTTATCTTATTTGGATCAACCAATCTAGATTTTGCTAGGTTTTTATGTTCAGCTAGTCTGACTGCCCCTGTTCTACCAGTTTGACCTATGTATTTGACCTGACAATCATTGCAGGGTATTAGATAAACTAAATTGTTTTGTTTTAAAGGCTCTACAGGATCCTTTAACCGACAAAGCTTGTTTCTAATTTTGATTTGATTTTTACAGCTTGATTCCACACCGTATTTTCAGTACAAGTATGGAATTTTCAGCATGGATATCGGTAGCCCAAATTCAGGCCGACCATAGATATCGGGTGTGCGCCAGCAGGGGATCGAACCCCGAACCATGTGCATGGTCGGCGAGAGTCCTAACCACTGTGCCACCGACGCACCTAATTGAGTTTGTGGGTTTGAATGCCGTTTTTTTATTCCTGCCTTGTTAAGAATTCTGCGTAAGGCTTCCGAGGTTCGTTCCTTGTATGGAATTACTACTGATGATTAAGATTCTTTATTGTTGGTGTCGTCATTAATATTATTATTATCGTGACCAGTGAGGTCCAATTAGAAGTCACGTGTGGATGGATTTCCACCAACGACAATAGTTGGGGTCGCGCTAAAATCACGAATTGGTAGAAGTTAGAATTCATGAGCCATTGAATCGGGTCCCAGTGGCCGAATGGTATACGAGCTTGCCTTGTAACCGGAAGGTCCCGGGTTCGAATCCCAGTGGGTGCGTACTGCCGATGATTCCCAAACTAGGATGTAACAGCAGCTGTCCAGTACTCCCTGGTTTTCAATGGTTCTCTAAGTGATATCAGTCCGTGATCAACTCGTAAAATTATTATTATCATTATTATTGTTATTATCACTATCGCTACTATCATTATTTATTTTATTTTTACATTTCCTTACATATTTCCTGACTAATTTATCCGGGTAGTTATTAAGTTTCAAAGCTTCTTTTATGTGTATCAGTTTCTGTTTTAGATTTTCTTTAGTAATACTTAGTTTTTGTGCTCTGTCATTTAAACATTTCACCAATCCTATTTTTACTGACATAGGATGGGATGATCGGAAGTCTAAATATCTGTTTGAGTGTGTGGGTTTCCTGTAAACACTTGTGTTTAACTTCCCATCTTCTTTCCTTTTAACGTTGCAATCCAACATTGGGAGCTTCCCTTCCTGATTTTCCAATTCATAAGTGAATTGAATTGCTTCAACATTCGGGTTGATGTGTTCGAAAAATTTATCTGTATCCTGTGTTCTCAGTACAGTGAATGTGTCATTTACATACCTCCACCATACTTTTGGGGTGGGGTTGAACGTTTCAATCGCTATGCTTTCCCACTTATCCATGAATATATCTGCTACAACCGGGGATATTGGTGATCCCATGGCAACTGCCACAAACTCAATTAGAAACAAGCTTTGTCGGTTAAAGGATCCTGTAGAGCCTTTAAAACAAAACAATTTAGTTTATCTAATACCCTGCAATGATTGTCAGGCCAAATACATAGGTCAAACTGGTAGAACAGGGGCAGTCAGACTAGCTGAACATAAAAACCTAGCAAAATCTAGATTGGTTGATCCAAATAAGATAAGAAATCTGGAGAATAGTTCAGCTATAGCACTACATGCAGTTACACAGAACCATACAATAGGATGGGATAGGATGACCGTTTTAAAATCTAATGTCACAGGGTGGAGGGAGAGATTGATAACAGAAGCTTTGTTTATCGAATAAACTGAGGAGAATACATGTAATAGGAATGATTCAACACCTGTCCCAGATATCTGGAAAATTCTACTGCCCCCACGACAAATAGAAGAGAACAAAGAAAACCATAAAACTCAAGTTTCAAAGTCGTGTGATTATAATTGATATGATTATGAACGGTAATAAATTTTGTTCGAAACCTTGTCATCCAGTAAATAATACTGTTTCACTGTGTGACATATCTAGTAAACAAACTAATATGGAATTACTTACTACCACAGTGCTGAAGTTTTACACACATATTAACCAATCCTTCCCTGTCTTCTTCTACAAAATTGTTGAGCAACATGTTCTTGGTTATTTTAAAAAACTACGAAAACTTAAATGCAAAAAAAATAGGAAACACAGATAGATTTTTTAAGGGCATGGCTTGATCATTTTGTGGAATTTATCTGTCCTAGGCGTTTTCTTCTTTCCAACTTTGAGTTCACATGCACTTCCTATCTGACTGTCAGTCTATCACCTACACTATACTTTAGTATATTTTTGATTACACTTATAAGTGAATAATTAACTAACCTCTAACAATTATCCTTCTTGTTTCACTTCTCCATTTCCCCAACTGACAATATGCATTCCAACGTCCACCGATAGGAAATTCTTTTACAGAATATGCAGAATCTGTAATTCTATTGAATGCTTGATATACTGGAAAGCTGGTTGACTCAAGGATAATTAATTTGCTCGAATCATCTGACATTACATACTGACCAATCAACGTTAACTTGTACTGACACTTTATATAATCGCCTGGATATAGAATCTCATTCGCGTCAAGCTCAATAATGATTTCATTTCGTTTAGATACTGAAATTGCACAAAAAAAGCAATGAATGGAATTGTGAAAATTTTACTGTACAGCTAACTTACTACTGAAAAGTATGTATATGATAATTGGTGGATGCATTAAACACCACTTATGTGATGCGATTAGAACTGAGAGACTTATTCCTAATATATACTACATGTACAGACAAAGACCCACTGGAGAAAAATGGTCCTATCTACAGTTTTTCCAAGATTCTTGACCAGCTTGCAGAAATCAAAGTTTTCGTAGTGTTGTTCTTGAACATTGGAACCTTTTAGAGTGTATTGATCTATGGGTTTCGGTTAATGCTCATTCCTCGACTGAAAGATGAAGTGCCTAGACTAGCTAGCCACTTCAAATTGTATCTACCACTTCAACTGAGCTTGTAGTGGAACGAATTATGTCGGCCGTTGTTCTAGGAACTTGATTTTTCGTGCTCACTCAAGAACATCTTCCAGTATGGCTAAGTAATGGTGTAGTGAAAACCATTAGTAGTTCGATATTGGACCATCTAGTGCAAATCGGCTACAAAGCCAGCCAGCGTTGAAGAATCCTTCTCTATCATCTACCGGGTACCAAATAAATTGCCAAAAACATCGAGGTATCGCATGCTCCGAACAGCAGAGGCTATCGCGATCCGCCTAAAACGACCGATGCTCTGTGTGCACAAAATACAAGTCCCGCCAGATAGCCACTACTACTGCCCTGACCGGCCTTCAATGGAGACTATAAATTCATGAATTTGTAATATTATCTTTCCTAATTTCTCTGATATTCAGTGTAGTGCGGTGTTATGTTGATGCTGTCGAGCTGTGATCCATTGATATTATTATTATTACTGATTCGATGTTATTTAAACAACAACAGCGTCAGGCAAGAATTGACTAACCTTTTTTCATCTAGTAAATAAACAATCTCCTCCATCCATCCTTATATACCTTCAAGTTTTACTTTTATTATTTCTATTATATTTATGGTCCTGTTGCTTCTTGTTCTCACTTTCATAACAGCAAACAACAACTTATCTCTATGACTGCTGTAATTTTTGTTTTTCCCCTCACCATATCATGTAAAGAGAACATCATATTCAATATTTTTAATCATGCAAGGTCTTGTATACCGCATCGACAATACTGTGTGAAACAAGCCGACGGCAATTTTCACTTGTATTATTATTATTATTATTATCATTACCTTAGCTGCTATCATTATTATTATTTCCATTTTATATGCTGCATGTTTTTTATTTTTTATTTATTTTTTTATATTAACCCTATTGTAAATGTAGAAAAATTTTCTGTGTGATTAATTTTATTTATAATTTGAGGAAATTAGATGCAATATTGTGATTAATGCTGAAAATCCCATTCTGTATCACAAGTACTGTTTTTGGAATAAAGTAAATCATTATTATTATTATTATTATATAAATGCCGTTAACAACACCAATTCTTTCATTATTATGTATGCATATAACTGTAGAACCTGATGATGAAGTTATCGAAAGGAGTTTTCTTTGTTCAGTAAGTGTGAGTGGACCTCTGTACTCATCTATCTGAGTGTGATTTCTGCCTGCCCGACATCCGAAGGGATACACCATCCTAGACGTCGTAACCTGCGGAGCATCGGAGCAGAAGCTCAAAGCATCTGACTGATTCTCTTTTGTAGATTTTGGGACGTCAGCCCATAAATTGTAGCCGACTGTCCCGTGCTCAAATATTATGCCTCTGAAATGTCTTGATTGCCATTCCACCCAGTCATTTTAGTGTAATGAACTGGTCATCATGTACATACGATGGAGGCCCTTTTTATAACTCCTCATTGAGACGCAGTTTGTACCTGCCTATTTTTCGTATACCTTAAATCAAAATAACAATTTGACAATGTTACATAAAATGGACTCAGGATATGGTTTCTTAGTGGTTTTACTATGTGGATGTCAAAATATTGTTGACTTTTTCATGCATTACTATATTTTCAAGTGATGTATCGCTAGTTTTTTGTTGTTATGTAGGATTCAGTAGACTACTTATAAACGCAACGGTTTTCAGTAGTATATAGATTCATACGAAAAAGTTAGTTTTACATTTAAAAATTAAAAATACTCGAAATCATTCAGGTTTAACCAACAATTCAGAAATAATTCATCTAAAGTAGCAAACATCTCTTAGGATAAATGAGATTCTATCCTGTGGGCCTGATTATACCGGAGTTATTTCTAACAGGCTACTGCAGACGTCCATCAACAGCTGTCTTTGCTGTCTCCATACTGGAGATTAGATGGCTGGAAGAAAGAATAAGCGATAATGTATTCTGACAAAAACTCAACGAAGAACTCATTGCTCAGCATATAAGCTGACGAGGCGTCTGAACGGCATCACCTGTCAGGCAGGGCCTAATATAGAATCTCTTTTGGTAAACGGCTAAATTAATTGTCTATCCCAGAGTGATATGGAGAAGATCTGGTGATGAGGTGGAGTAAATGAAAGCAAATGGGTAGTCGGGAGGCAGCTAAACAAAGGTGGCAGAAAACAGAGTGAAATGGATAATTAACACATCTGTGAAGCTTTATCTTCCACTCGGAACCGGTGGTTAGGACACTCGCTGACCATACACATAGTCCGGGTTTCGATCCGCTGCCGACGCACACCTGATATCAAAATGGTTGGCCTGCTACGTTTGGCCTACCGATATCACATGCTGAAAATTCCATACTTGTACCAAAATACTGTATGGAATCAATTATTATTATTATTTCCTTTAGTTCCTAGAGGAACATAGGGCTTCAGCCATGCGTCTCCATTGCGTTCGGTTCTCTGCTAGAGTTTTCACCTGTCTCCAAGTCTGCCCACACGTTTTCATCTCCTCTTCACATGATCTCCTCCAGGTCACCCTTGGATGACCGACTCGTCGCTTCCCTTTCGGGTTCCACTCGAGGGCTTGTCTAGTGATGTCACTTGCTGGTTTCCTCAGAGTGTGGCCAATCCACCTCCATTTCTTCCTGCCTATTTGTTTCACAATCGGTTCCTGGTTGGTTCGCTCATCGCCAGAGATCTCTGTTACTGATCTTTTCTGGCCATTTGATCTTGAGTAGTATTGAGCGAAAACATCTGTTAATGAGTGTCTGTAGCTTGTTTGAGGTGCTCTTTGTGACACGCCAAGTCTCTGATCCGTATAGTAGTACATCTGCCCGTGTCACAGGGCAGAAGTGATAAGTATACTACTGAGACACACCAGGCCGCGTGTGACCGGCCTCAAGCAGATGTCCCCTGGGCTCTGCGGTTACGCAACACTAACCTTTTTTCTATTTCAGGTACCCGAAGACTAAACTCAGGCTGGAGGCCAGCAACCCCACCCTGTAAACAAAGATGCTACAGAAACTTCAGCGTGCACAATCTCCTTGCGTCAAAAGAAAAAGTCTGTGTGGGGACATGGAATGTCCGCACCATGTACGAGACTAGCAAAGCTGCCCAGGTCGCAAGCGAAATGAGGAGATACGGAATACAAGTATTGGGGATCTGCGAAAGCAGATGGAACGGAAACGGACTCACCAAATTGTCAACAGGTGAGTCAGTGATTTACTCCGGTCACCTAGAAGACAACCACACACACACCAAGGGCGTGGGTATGGAATCAAGCTATGATAGAAATTATTAATTAGAAATTATTAGAATCGCAATATATACGATTATTTTGTGTGTCTGTGCGTACATTAAATTTGTCAAACGAAAATACAATTCTTCTTTGTACTGCAGAAACCCTAGCCATTCAGTTAGAAGAAACAAAACTGTGCATACAAAAGAAAATTATTCAGTCACTTCTACTATTACGATAACAACTCTGTTGATTAGACTTAACTTTTGCCTGTTTGCTTGTTTTTTTTCCACCAACTTAAAACTCTTGCGTAACTCCGTATGTTATTTTGTTTCCATGTACATCCTGAGTACAACTCTTTCATCAAACTATTCGTGTTATTACGTAACTCTCCTTTAACGATCGTTTGTGACAACTCATCCCTTTTGTTACTACCCTCTTATATCAACATCAAATTCCTCTGAACGCTTTTTGTATTACGTAACTCCACCAAATCCCTACAAACCAATACTTGAATACCAATGAGATGCTCACTGGCGACTGGCCCTATTCAGGTAGGTAGTTACCTGGGGTTCTAGTGAGAAGTCGTAACCAGTAGGGTGCAGCAGATCGGGTGTGAGGACAAACACTCGCCGAAGACATTGGCTAGTGGTGGCGTTATGTCATGAATTGGCAGAAGTTAAAATTCATGGGCTGGTCATTGGATCGGGTCCCAGTGGCTCAATGGTCTACGAGCTAGCTAGCCTTGTAGCCAGAAGGTCCTGGGTTTGAGCCCCGGTGGGTGCGTAATGATGAAGAGTCTCAAACTAGGACGAAACAGCTGTCTAGTACTTCCAGGTATTCCATGGATTCTCTAACCAATGTCAGCTCATGATGAAATCCTGTAACCAATCATTGTATTTTCGTTTGACAAATTTAATGTACACACACACACAAAATAATCGTATATATTGCGATTGTACAGCTGTGGAAATGAATGCGCCGCCAAAAAGAGACTCTTCGCTGAACTACTTGTCTTCTGTCTCTTAATGTTCGAATGGGAATTTTTCATGAACTAAAAAAAATTTGATTTTTGTTTGTTTATTTACTCTTTAAAACGCTCGTATTACTTTCAAACTCATGAGTAATACGACATTTTCCTTTGTTTCTTTGTGCATTGTGATTACAACTCATTCATTAAATTATTTACCTTATTATGTAACTTTATCACCCTTATTCAACTCCTCTTACATAATGGCTAGTATTAGTAACTACTATTATGACAACTTATCACTTTTGTTACTACTCTCTTCCAAGAAAAAGAGATTGTATATAAATGCGACTGTACAAGAAAAGGGGAAGATGGATCCACTGAAAAAAGAGACTCTTCGTTGAACTGCATGTTCTGCTTCTTTCTGACTGACAGAGATATATGAGGCTGACGATTATTGCTTTAAATTTCTTGCATTCTGATTTGAATGTGGAGTATCAAAGCTTTGAGCTTTCAAATGCAATGCTGCATCTTTTTACAGGCTTGCATTTCTAGCCTCAATCATATCATTCTAATTTGTTCGGGTTTGCTGCCGACAGCTAAACTAGGCTATGATGAAGAGTGCATCTGCTGGGAGTCGAACACGAACGTCTAACGTGGCTGGTAGGCAATCCAATCTTGATGACTACAATAATAAAGTTATTGTTTATTTATATTCTCGACAACGACTAAAATTTCAGTTGTGCCTTTTTCCAGTACCACTTGCTAATTTCTAGAAAATTAAAAATTCCCACTGAGTCATATAAAAGAAAAGACGTTCTGCAAAGAGTCACTCTTTTCTAGGTGATATCATTCCCAAGCTGTACAACTGCATAAATGTTATATAACAAATTCTCTTAGCGACAAAAGGAATATTTCCAAAGATGTGTTATTGGAATTGTAAATTTCAGGTATTGCATTACGTAACACAAAAAGCGTTAATCAGGTAGAAACTAAAATAAAATTAAATAAATTGAGTGATGTAACCTAATAGACGGGGTTGAGTGGAATTCAACTAAAATGTGAAGGAGAATCAAGTTTACAACAGTGGCAATAAGGGGTAGAAATTTACAGGGGTGGGGGAAGAAAATATTATACAATTACGAAACAAAAAACAAAATTACATATTTGGTGTTAGGATAGATTAAGTCCATTGTAGATTTAATGACTGGACAAACTTCTTTGTATGCAGAGTTCTGGAATTAAGGTGGGAATTACCATTGCTTCCGAAGTCTGAAGATGTTTGGTTGATACACTCTTAGCGAGATTCCCACGTACTGAGTAGATAACATCGAATATGGTTTGTGGGTTAGCTTGGTGTCCGGATTCGATTAGGTGATCCAAGATAGAGCTGTGGTGGGGCTGGGAGGGATCACCTTTTCTCCTTTATAAAGCCATCACTGTAGGTAAGTGTTAGATTATATGTTTAGGTAGAGAACTCTGAGCACGACCAACATATCTAGTTCCACACGAACAGGCGAATTGATAGATGTACAATAATGCGACCAATTTTGGTAGCTTATCCTTCCTGTTCATGTGAATCATTGGTTTCGTAGAGAAGGTTATTTGAAGTTCAGGTGTAAAGAAAGTTTTATTCAGTGAGCGAAATAGGTGGTTACCGAAGTGTCTTCATTGAATTGTAGATCCAACCAAAGAAGTCGTTTGGAAGCATAAACTGGTACCAGTGGTTAAGGCTTCAGAGATTTTGTGATAAAACGTTCTGGGTAGCCATTTTCAAGGAGGTTTCTTTGCAGAGCGTTCAGCTCCTCTTCCATAGCATCAGGCCCAAAAATGCTGTGTATTCTGTGGCTGAATGAATGGGTCAGATTTTGTTTTGTATACAGAGGAACCCAACTATGGAAGTTAGTGATTTGTGCGTTCCATGTCGACCTTCTGTGAATGGTTCTTTTCAATATCCACGTCTTGTTTATTTCTATAAAAACAACTTATATAACCTTTTGACATATAAACCTCATTATAACTGGACTAATTGGTGTGGCATGTTTGCAGTGAACGCGTAAGAAAGGTCAAGAAAGGTCACGACTGCATGATGTATCAGTAATCTCAAGGGAACAAGCCCCAAAAATCCAACCCCAATTCAAAGTAAACCACGACAATGAATCACTTAGCTTGGTGACCAACACAAACACTAAGGACTAAACAGGTGATACTGATTAATCCCGCTAATGACCAGTCAATGTGTACCAGATTTATTGTTTATTATTTCCTAACACTTTGCTTAAAAGCTGATCACTTTTAACTGTTTGTATAATAAATGGTGATGGACTTATTATTTTACATTTTATAGGATTGATCACTAGACGACATCAACTAGAGGCCCATTAGAAAACCACCATGGAGTATTGTACAGCTGTTTCGTCGTAGTTTAGGACTCCCCAGTGGTACTCACCCAGCAGAGTTTGAACCCATAACCCTCCGTTCACATTTTGTCTGGGAACGTGAGTCAGGAACTTTTAGCAGATAACTGGCAATTTACTCACGATAAAATCCCTACCACCGGATAGCTTGATCCTACACGGTTGTAGTGAATAGTCATTCCAATGAACAGAATAAAGCCATTGTCCAATATTGTTTGGCGTTCAATAATTGATCACCTGCAGTCTCCTAACTTACTATATGAAGATAGATAAATTACTTAAAAGCTTTTGAGATCAAAAACTAGAAAAGTGGACAATTTATTCAATCTAACATGAAATAAATAGTTTTCAGTTTGATCATGGGTTGATATCAGTTAGAGAACCATTGAAAACCAGCAGTGCACGACTGTTTCGTCCTAGTTTGAGACTCATCATCAGCACGCATCCGCCGAGATTGAAAACTACTCTAGTGCTCGTTAGTGACTGGTACTGGGGAAAGTTGTCTGGAGTTCTAGCGACAAGTCGTGACCAGCGGGGTCTACCTGGTAGGGAGCGAGGAGGCATACTCGCCAGTGATGACACATCAGCTGATGTCAGTCGAGCTAAAATCACAAAATGGTGCAAGTTCAAATTCATAGGCTGGCCAATGAATTGGATTCCAGTGGATGAATGGTCAACGAGCTTCCTTGTCTTGTATTCGACAGGTTCTGGGTTCGAACCCTGGCAGTGGGTTGGATAAGTAGTGGCGATTAGTCAGGAACTAGACTGACGAAACAGCTGTCCAATACTTCCTGGTTTTCAATGGCTCTCTAATTGATATCAATCCGTGAACAAATCTGGAGAAAATCAAATCCCTACAAATAAAAATTCTTGAAAAATAAAAAATTCAATTTCTATCAAAATTCTACCTGAATAAATTGGGATCTGATAATTCATTGATTTATTGTTAATGTAAAAACATTCCACGTAATATGGATTTTGACTGGGTGGATTGAAAACCTGAGAAAAAAAAGGAAATTTTGCAGTAAAATTATCTTTTTAATATACTTTTTTTCCAAGTCTCACTATACGGAAAAATTAAAACCAGATGAAATAAATGATGACCGTGGGTTGTTACAGAATCAGTATCAGTGACCTATGTAATGGACAGACTTTCTGGGAAATTCCTCCTCGATAGTCTATTTGGAATGTTTATACTTATTTACATGTTCCAATTAACTTTTTAATTATAACACGTTTTCCACCCACCTGGACTGTGTATCATTAATTCGACATTTTCATATCATATGTTAATTTTTGACCTTTATTATTATTTACCTTCGTCTTGTCTTGTTTAATCTTTAATTGCGTGGAGGATTTCATTATGAGCTGACATCAGTTAGAGAACAACTGGAAAACCTGGGAGTATTTGACATCCATTTCGTCCTAGTTTGGGACTCTTCAGCAGTACGCACCCACCGGGATTCGAACCCAGGATATTCTGGTTTCAAGGCGAGCTCGTAGACCATTGAGCCACTGGGACCCGATCCAATGGTCCTTGAATTCTCACTTGTAAGCAGAAGGTCCTGGGTTTGAATCCCGGTGGGTGCGTACTGCTGAAGAGTCCCAAACTAGGACGAAACGGCTGTCCAGTACTCCCAGGTTTTCCAGTTGTTCTCTGACTGATGTCAGCTCATGGTGAAATCCTCCATACAATCAAACAAAATCCCTACAAAACCAATACTTGAAAATTAATCAAATGCTCACTAGTGACTGGCCCTATTCAGGCAGTTAACCTGGGGTTCCAGTGGGAAGCCGTGACCAGTAGGGTACAGCAGGTTGAAGATGAGGCAGTAACTCATTGAAGAAGACATTGCGAAATGGTCGCGCTATGTCGTGAATTGGCAGATATGATATGATTATGAGCAATAATTTGTGCTCGAAACGTCATCAGTTAATATTACTGTGTAACACTGTGTGATTGATCAAAATAAAATCGTATCCATAATGGAGTTACACTCTACCACAGTGCCCAAGTTTTATACTTATATTCCAGGTTTTCCAGTGGTTCTCTAACTGATGTCAGCTCATGATGGAATCCTGCACGCAATCAAACAAAATCCCTACAAAACCAATACTTGAAAATTAATCTTTAATTGCAATACTTCTCTTTGTGGTTGTGTGTACATTGACAATGTGTTTGTTGTTTAATGATATAAGTTTGTTAAGGTGAATGAAGTTGATTCTGACACAGGATTACCTGAGGGAAACCTTGGTGGGAAGTTCCTGGGGACATGGCTTTCGATATATCCCTTTTTCGCTGGGAATATTCTCCTTCGCTTCCTCCTCCTCTATTCGGAAGTACCTTTCATAGTTGAACTCTGGTTAGTCAGTTTTGTCTTACAGTGCTTGTTTTAGAAACCCACACTTCCTATATAGCAGCTGCTTTATGGCACTGTTGAGGAAAGTTTGAGTTTTTATGTTATTACTGTTTGACAGAACCATTAAAATATTGAAGAATAATGGTCTTTCCCCTGCTTTCAGAACGTTTCGTGATAGCGCGTGTCTCAACGAAGTCTTTTCGTCTACAATACAGATACAGATACAGAGGGCTAGTTTCGCATATGCCAGTCTACGCCATCTCTGGCGTAGACGTGATATCCGGCTATCGACCAAAGGGCGGGTGTACTGCTCATCAGTCCGCCCCATCCTCCTTTATGGCTGTGAGACCTGGCCACTGAGAGTAGAGGGCATGAAAAGGCTAGCTGTGTTTGATCATAGGTGCCTGCGTTCTGTCTCCCGTGCTAGGTGGCGGTAAAATAGGGTGAGCAGTATTGAGATAAGGCATCGGTCGAGTGCTAGGTAAGGAGGGGAAATCAGTCGACGAGACTGTGAAATTACATCGACTGAGATGGTTAGGACATGTGTTGAGCATTTAAGCCTAGCCATCACCTTCATCGATGGGCAATGTTAGCTGACATATGGTCAGGCTGGAAAAAAGCCACTGTTGGTCAAACCAAAACATGGCACCAGTCAATGAAATCCACAACAGTTAGTCTAAGCCAGCCACGTAGGAATGTGTAGACTTCCTGGTTGGGGTCCTCGGGACGGTAAAACCAATGGTTCGAAACAATTGGTGACATGGCTCAAAATTGTTCTCAATGGCTGTCGCAGATGTATCCACTCCTTGTGGCTTATGATTTCCAATTAAACTGTTTTGTTCTCCGTTATTACTATACTTATGTCTCGCAGCCCTGTTTTCTGTCTCTGATATGCATTTCTCCTACTTTCCTCTCTTGCTTTGTGTGCTATATGGAGTGTGGCGAATTGAAGTGCCGCACATCTGTGCAAAGTTCTATGTCGAAAACAGACAGACAATACAATAGAACACTAAGGTCAGTTTCCTGCATTCGGACCGCAACCTAATAAATTTGGTCATTATAGCTTATGCATTAAAATAGCTCTGTATTCTTTCAGCCGATCTATAAAAGACCTTAGGTCAACCCATCACGAGATATGCCTATCTGTTACGTGGACCAGCAGTATGTAATTTACTGCCTCACTTCAAATCCCCATACATTAGCTGCTCAGGCAGGTCAATTCTTATTCTTCCTAATCTATACTGAAGTTGAAGGAGATGAGAAGGTTGTGAATTAATAGTGAGAGCGTTTCAGGTAGTCTTGGATTGGTAGACTACCATCAGAAAGTTCGATTAGTAGTAAATTAGTCCATGTAGAATAAAAAGGTTTACATTTGTTCTCTAACACTTAGTATATCGATAAAGCAAAGAAACTTGTTATGAGGTTACAACTTTTTGATGCATAAAACTATATACTACTCACTGATTGAAATAAGTAGTTGTATGCCACTCATATCAACCTCTAGTACTTGCTGGCTAGTCGGATCGAAATGATCTAAACACCGGACGGCCGTTTGGCTCTCTCGGAGCCAAGCTAATCAGCTGTGTACCCAGTTCGACTCAGCTGAGAGAGCAGAGTCATTTCAAAGCACACACGGCTTCTGGCTAGCTACTCCGACGAACTGGTCAAATCACATGTGTGGTGTGTAACTCCTCGTCTCAATCTGTCAGTAGTAAATAGTTGTGCGCAAATATGCTTACTTTCTTGATCACGATTTGTCGTATCAAGTAGATCACATATTAGCGGTGATCTCAATAAATTGGTTTTCAAAGGAAATTATAGCGGTGGAATTTCATTACAAATCGTGTTCCGCTCGCAGGATTTAGATATGATGGAGAAGATTTATAGCTAGGTGGATGATTTTGATGTGATTGTGTTCTCTGAGCTGGATAGTTAATTTGCGAAGCTTTCGTCACCCTACTAGGTGACATCTTCAGCGCATACCTCAATTTGAAGTGAGCTTTCAGATTTCTCCACGAGTTTATTAATCATCTCTCCTGGTGACCTTAGACGTGATTGGTTGTTTTTGTGCGTTTTCACACCTTCTAGGCTACTTGTATTGGAAGTGTTTGTTTCTTTGACTTGAACTTTGACCCTTTGTGTGTCAGGTTTCTTTCTTATCGGTTGATAAATTTTCTCAATCTCGATGTGTCTTTTGATTGATGATTCACTGGAATGCCAAGCTTCTAAAAATTCTCTAGCATTTTTGTTGCTTGAACCCAATTTGAACATTGTATCAATCGAATTTGATTGAGACAATGTTCAGCTCAGAGAACACAACCACATCAAAATTCCTAATCAATTTGCAAATTGTGCATTTGAGCTAGTTCATCCACTTAACTAAAAATCAATCGAGTATTTCTATTTATTGAAAATCTATCGACAGAAAATACAAAATAACTTAAAAAAGGCATAGTGAATCCCAAATTTTTTCGCACTGTTAAATGTAAATTTGGTTTGGACTCATTTACTCAAAGCTTACTGTTTGTGACCACGCATGTTGTGAACAATAGGTGGCTCTCGTAGCCTACTCACCTGTTAAATAATCCTCTGGTATCCCAAACGATAGTTCCCGGGTTTGAGTCTGGGTAAGTAAGGATACCACCACTCCCTTGAGAGGGGGTACATCCAGATGACGAGTCCTAAATAGGATGATATGTAGGTTTCGGCTTCTACTACAAAATAAGTAACTTTGAGCTTGTTAACACTGTTTAATGAACAGGCTTTTGGTAGAAAGATTAGCATTTTCATCCTGTTGAAAGCTGTCGACTAGTGTGATTTTAAACTTGACGAGATCATTGTCCAATGATCGGATCAAATCTATGTGTGTGTTTGTGTTATTGAAATGAAATATATAATTAACAGTGTATTTATAACTTACTTCAACAACACCTGGATGCAGCTGACGTAACCATAATTCTGATTTTACGCGTAAATATGGTTTAATTGTTTTAGCCAACATTGAATTATTTGTCTCCACATCACAAATAACCAAATGAATACGTTTCGTTGTAACTAGTACTTTTTTCTTGAATGGAATCAGTGCTATGAATTATTGGAAATTTAAAAATAGAGCAATTAATTTTAATGTGTGTTTTGAAGAAGAGAAAAGTTATTATCCACTGTGAAAAATTATTTATTAACCACTGGCTACAAGTTTTTTTCCTTCACGTCCCCCAGTGGAACATAGGGCTTGAAGCTAGTGGCTTGAAGTTTCTGTAGCAGTGTTTATTTTACAGGATGGGGCTGCTAGCCTCATGCCCAACCTTTCCTCTTCACCAGCATTGTTTCTGGCTTAGCGAGGTAAAGGAGTGCGCCTGTGGCTGGGGATCGAACCCCGCACCATGTGTATGGTCGGCGAGCGGCCTAACCGCTATGCCACCGACGCGGCTACCAGTTTGGGTTATAAATATTAATAATAATATTAACAGCTTTAGATAGAGCAATAAGAAGACGTAATTTGTTTGAATCGTCTGTGTAATGTATTTACGCAACACATTTCGAACAATCTGATCACACTCCACCGACTTGACATAGGAATATATATGTGTGAAATTAATAAAGAGCTTAGAGGTGAGAAAACAGACTTAAGCCAAGTTA